TGCTGGCCAACGAACATGGATGCAGCCCTTACAAAAGTTTCACAACACAAAACAATAAAAATCGCTGAAAATTATAATAATTTGGAATATATAACGCCATGATGTTGCGCGAAATACAAAGATCGAGAACTCAACTCCTATTTAAACGATAAGTTAGACAAAAGAAAACGCGACTGAAATGGTAGCGTAGCATTGCGCTGGTAGACCGTTTCAGTAAGCATTTCAGTTACCTTTAGGATCACGAGTTTCCTACCTTAAGTACGTCAAGGACTTGCTCGACGTTTATTTCTTTTTCTCCAGAGCACCTTGAACTTTGAACTTTGTTTTGTTGATGCGGGAATCGAAGAAAGAACCACGTTTTTCCATCTGGCGCACCCGCTGAGCCATTATTACCTTCAAGCATTTGCCTAGCGACGATTTTACTCCTATTGTCACTACCAAAGAAAAGATTGAATTAACAGGAAAAGGTATCTATATGTCAGTTTTAGACCTTAGGACATTTCTCTCTGTGCAGGTATGAAAACAACTGCTGCTGAATTTGCATATCAAGGAGCCATAGGTTCATAAAGTAAAGTTCATAAACGCTTCTCTACAGTTAAATTGAAACGTTCCCTTTACATATAATTTGAAGAAATTTTTGAAGTTTTTCCTTTTGTGAACTGTCCATTTGTTTTCTAATATTTTATATTATTTTAAAATATAGTCTTTATTTCCTGATAAGTCTATGTGAAGAAAAGAAAAAAAAAAGATGTTACCATCTCATCCGCTTTCAGAGACATTCTTGTATTTTCTGCGTCAACCAACCGGCTTCGTGGAGGCGCTCTCATTCGGTCATGTAAGCTTTTAGATTCAGGGAACTCAGTTCAGAGTCGCTTCCTATTCAGCACCTTTTCCCAGAATAGCGACAATTTCAATGTTTACCACCATCAATTTTTCTTCCCAAGATTTTTGACATCATTCCCATCTTCTTTTCTGTTGCTTAAATTTGAGAAAAAGAAAATCAACCGTATTTCAATGGTAATTTTATGCTTACGTCCCATGCGTGACGGCCCGACTGAAATATTCATACTTAAGCATTGACATTTGTCAGTCTTGTTTTTATCCTCCAATTAGATGCATCTCGTCTCTTCCTCAATCCGGACCTATACCGTAATACACGACGTGAGGGCCGAAGAGGAAAATGTGTAACTTAGTCGTCGACGCAATTGATAATTTCCTCATAAGCAACGAAACGCAAATCGTTTGGTGAAGCATGCTGCTTGCGTTCCCTTCTCTTTAGTAAGCAGTTGCGATGGCGACACAATTGTAGCAAACATTCCTCGAAGGAAGAAATATGTTCCCCCTTTGTATGCCTAGAAACTGCGTCAGAACTCTCCGTAGCGATAAGTTTGAGGGCACCTCTCAGTTCCAAATGTAAAAATTAAAACTTTTACTAAAGCTTACCTCTTCTCATAAATGCTACTGCAAAACATAGTAATTTGGCGTCGGCTCCGCCGCTTCGCGGATACACAACATTCTTCTCCTGTGAAAACAATTGGTCAATAGTCGCGGCACGATGGTAATTCGTTATATAAAAGTTTACAAGAACGTTTGAAAGAACCCTATGGAGCCAATCCAACGGATCATTTTTCACGAGGCTCGGCGAATGCTTCCTCTCCCACGTCAAGGTCTGCTTTAGTATGATAGGATGGTGTTACAAAGAGCATTCGGAAAGTATGTGCTTATGCGTAACCACTGTTTCACATCGTCCATGTTGCCATCAAACTTTGTCGGATCAAGGGCCGCGATTTATTTTCGTCAGCTTCACGCACAGAGGAAGTTTAGGGAATTACTTCCTTTCTACTTGTCACGGGGAAATTGCATGACGAGCGAAAGGCAAAGCTGTGTCATAATCGTGGACCCTTTGTCACAGTATCTACCGATCCGTAACGTGCATCGATTTGAGATGATTGTGGTTTATACAGCGTCCTTTGTCCTTATTTCAGACGATTCTATTGTCAATCATTATGTCAGGAAAATAGACTAGAATGGTCGAATACTCGCAGAAGATCCAAAGTCACAAACCATTCTCATTATCTTCTGAAATTTAAAGTTTAAATCCATGATATTTTTTCTAGATGTGGTCCGACAAGCTGTCGGGTATAATTTTTATCCATTTTTAAGTAGAGAGAAGCACAATCGCAGGTTACAGAGGAGATGTTTGAATACTGTTTTAGCTCTAGTATCATTTAAGCCTTCATTTTTTTTCTTGGTTTACTCGCACTTCATATGTGAATAGGATTACTCTAATTTTATATATTTTATGTTTCTTAGACTTATTAGTGAAACCACGGTAATCTAAGAAACCTCGCAACATCACTTACAATGATTTTTTTGTCCACTGTGCTGATATTTTGAGCATGGAAGTCAATATTAGCTAAGATTTTACCTTTACTGTCGTCATTTTAAAATGAACGGCAAACAACAGGAAGTACGAGTATTTCTGCACTTAACGAGTATTTATGCACTTAAAGAAATCATGAAAATCGCTTTTTAGCGCACGCGAGTCTAAGTCTACATAAATCAGTTATTAGTTAACGTTCATGTCATCGAAAATTTTCCGCTTAGATGAAATTAACGGTGTGTCCGGAAATGCTTGAACACTTGTCTCATTCGTGTCTATAATTATGCAAGGAATGAGTGTCTAAAGTCACGCTAGTCACGACCAACACTTCGCAAATGGATTTTACGATTTTTGACTCAAAGTGTCCCTCTTCTCGACGAAATGTTTACAGATATTCTTTCAAACGCGCGAATGATACTTTTCCACTAGAAAACTGGCTTTTCGAGGTGTTCCCCAAGTAAAAAAGAATTATTGTCGTCCGGCGACACACCTGTGGTCGCCCAAATTAAGGAATGTTCTTAAGTTGCAATTGTTAAGTGAGCCATAATAACGCTAATATACTTTAGTTGAGGCCGGTATAGAAACTCTCACTTGAACTTGCTTTTTGACACGGCAACAAGTCAGTCCGTTTGGGACGATTGGACTCTATTGTCAATTCAAGAAACGGAAGGTGAGTATCGTAAATTCTGTTATACCGTTGTCCAAGTGAAGAAAAAACTCCTGCTGTTTGAATTAGCTTTTCTGGAGTACTACTGGAAAAAATATTTTCCTTCAAGTCGTTGGCAATTCACTCGTTTACTCTGCAACAGCCGGCCTTAAGGTAAATTTTATCCGCACAGCTCTTGGTTGATTTACACGAACTATAAATCATAAAGTTTATTTTATCAAGAGTCTGTTAGTCTGAGAGTTTAGGGCTCAGGTTATTAAAAACGGGAAACAAACAAACAAATCATTCCAAGTAGGAAAAAATCCTATTTGAGAACATCGCGACAGAAAAGTTAAATGAATATGTTACAGTAGATATTGGTGTTCTATAGGAAACTGAGATCCAATATCATAACAGTACAGTCTTGTATACTATCAAAACTTGAGCAGTCTGTATAATCTATCTCAAATAAACTGCAAACAGTTATTAGACGAATATTGTTGATCTGACAGTTGGACTTTTCCTTCGCTTAATCGGCCATAGTTTCCGATAACGTAATGAATACTTCTTTACCATAAGCTTCACAACCGAACGACTCAAATGTAACGGTTCAATTGCGTCAGGGTTCATCAAGCTCCGGCGAAATCCAGCGAGACGTTCGTGTATCGCAGTGAGAAAAAGAGCAGTATCGTAACTTGGTCTGCAGTAATTTTGAGCGCTACCGATACATCGTAAAATTATTCATTTTAACACAGGTAAAACAGTCAGTTTCCCTTCCAGAACCTCCAGAGAACGTGGTGTGATTGTTCGGACACATAGCAAAGGGTTCTTAACAATCCGCTTACTATCGAGGCATGCTGTATGTGTAGATGTGTTCACGAAAGATCAAAAAGAAGCTCTAGAGATAATACGAGAGCTTCTCAAATTATATCTCTAACGTGATTTTGGAAAATATATTTCAAAGGTTTCGGCTTTGTTAAGTAGAAGCATCACTTAGGGAAGGTATGCGGAACTTTAAAGTTACGAATACTGATATCCGACGATGATTTTGCACATTCCATTTGCAATGTCTAGTATACTTTCATGAGCCATCGATCTTTTGTTTTCATTTCTTCGACTACTTTCATTTTTTTTCCGTTGTGTTTGTTTTGTTGAAACCGTAAAAAACAGCTTATCGATGACCCCAAGGCAAAATCGTGATCAAAAGCGATCTGATGTCACAGTTGACAGCCATCTTAAGAAATTATCAATTTGTGGTTTCCACCGCCCATGCTGTCGCAACACTTTTAATTTTAGCCGGATAGATTTGTCTTTAACTTTTACACAACCTCTTCCTTCGGTTTCTGACATCTGAGTAAATGTTTCCACCCGGATGGGAAAGAACCCTTTATAAACGATCTCTATAGTGTCAGATATTCTACAAATCACCGACTTTTATGTATTACGTATAATTGTTGACATCAATATCGAGCATCAGTAAGATTTAGATGGCAAATTTCGTTTCTTAACAATTGCGAAAGCCTGTTCTTTATATGATTTGACGATGGCTTCCATTGGTCTTACTAACGGGTCAGCTGAGGCAATAACATGAAGGAATGAGAGGCGTTTATGGACGTTCTATTTAAGACAAAAAAATTATCTTTTGTATTTTGAGACAATGTTTTCTCAATTCTCTTTCAAAACAGTCAATCAAAATGAAATGAGTCAACATCTGCCATTATTATGGTTGCCAAGCAAATTTATCATCAAGTCCTTTTAATCACAACAGATTGTTGACAAAGTTAAAACTTCCTTGGGTGGTCATGCGTTACTGCATCACGCCCGTGTACGCTAATTATGGGAAAACCCCGCATAATCGTACAGCTGATAATCACATGTTTAATGTGTCTATTTCTGCTCGTTTACATCATCACTGATAATGGTATTTCTTATCTGGATTTTTTTCCTTCAGAAGACTCCCGTTCAAGAAGCTGATACAAATGGCTTCCCGTTACGAGGCGATGTCCGGACAAGCTTGGCACGAAGAACTACAAAATTTTCTTCCACATGCACTGGATTGTGTCGACCCTAACTGCCTTTTACCTCTCTGTGTTAACTTAAAACTAACTTTGCGGCACGCGCAAGGCTGTAAAAAGGTAGACAACTGTACAATTTGTCAGGGGATCAAGTCTCTCGCCTCAAGTCATTCCAATTCCTGTAGAGACTATTATTGCCGTGTGCCATTTTGCATGGAAGCCAAAGTAACGGCACAACAACAGGTACTCATGGATGAATTAGGGAAAGTGTTCGATGCAGGACTGGACAGCCAAGAAGATGGTGAAGCCATTCATCCTTCGCAAGATACAAAAGAGGAATGTAGACGAGAGGAAGCTTCCAGAATGCACAGTGATTCTCACTGCATGGCAGTTAGAAACAGTGAAACATCAACACCGGTTGAACTCAACAATGGACCCAGTGGGAACACTCCGGCCACACAGGCGCCATTGTCAGAGGCAAGTTACTTTCAACTTGCAACCAAAAATTCAACTCAGGTCCCTGACTCAGTGGAGCCGATCCTGCCAGATTTGAGAAAACGTTCGTCAACCGTACAAAAACCAAAACACCCTCAGTCTGGCCTCCATGAGAGTTTGCATGGAAACTACATCCCAACCTGTACGTTGAAATGGTTACCATCCAAAGCAGATATTTTTTCAGTTACGAACCAACCTCGACCAGCCCCTAAAAGGAAATGCGAGACCATCACCGTCTCTACTGGTGAATCAGCTTCTCCACCGACTAAAGTTATTCGAGGTGCCTCTACTGGTCTTAAATCACAGCAAGATGATAGTCCTGAGATCGAAATAATAGGAATAAAATCATCTGGGCGACTAGCTAACCAACTTAAAGGAACGGCCCCGCCGAACGACACCAACCGTTGTAAGGAGAAGTCCAGCAAAACCGTGTTCTCACCACGAGCACCTTTGAGGATTGCCGCCAAGAAACAGGATGAAAAAGCGGGCTCAATGACACACCAGTGCCACTTCACCAAAAGGAATACCTTACCAAAGAAAGTCCCTTCTTTTAAGCCTACAGCAGGAGTGCAGTATTCAAAAGTTTCCGCAAAGAGTCGGTTCACCCTCTCGGATTCCTCTCAGACTGATTTTCATCAGGCCTGTCAGGAAGAAGTTAAAGTAAATAATGATTTAGTGGATGATTTTCTCGAAGAGATGTTCTCCACACCACCACCATCTCCAACATTTGAAATGTGGCTGGGAGAGAACGCTGGATCCAAAGAAAATTCCTCAGCATTGAAGGTTGTCCTCTTGGAAACGTTATTTCAACTGTTCGGAGTTGTAACTCAGCCCAAAACAGAGAAACAAGAAGCTGTGTTTGTTGATTTGCTTGAACGGACTCTTGGCATGATGAAAACAGAGATAGCAAAGTGGTGAAGTCTTGAATACTGACTCTCAATAGTCGCAGCCTCTCATCTTTTCATTTGACCTTTTTTGACTCATTTCACATTGTCCAATGCTGTTTTGCCGAGTAACTGTAATTGTTCTTATCAAAAGTTTTGATAAGAACGATAAGGTCTTCTCCGTTATTTTCGGTCACAGGTGGAAGTCACGATTCAAACAAGGACACTGCGTGAGAGTATTTTTCTTGGTAAGGTGTCTAAAAATTTAACTTAAACCAGTTGAGTGTTTTCCTGGTCTCTAAAATTTTGGGACAGCCTTGCTAACCTTTCCAGAGTGTGCTTTTTTTTAGTTTGATAAGCGTTTCTTTTTATAAAAGAATCATTGTACACCAATTTTTTGGTGCAATCCAAATATCGCAAAGGTTCAAATTGTTATGATAACCATAACTTTGTGTTCAGAGTGTGCCATTTTAAGTAAAATTAATAATAAAGTGTTTGAAGCTCACCTTGATAGAAAATTCTACTTGTTACCAGTGGGCTGAACTTTGCAATTCTGAGGTTGCATCAGTTATTTTCATAGGTGAGAACTTAAGTGATTTTATCGAAAGGCCGTTTGTAAATTACAATGGAAAGGATAACCTGAGGGGAGAACCACACTCGAGTTCCCATTCTTTCACCTTCAATAAAGGCCTGTTCATACCGTGCGTGACTAAGAACACACACGCGGCGTTCGCACACTTGACAAATTGAGTGACCAGTCGTTCCATGTGCATTACTCCCAGAACAAATCTTAGGGATACGTCGCAGGGGCAGCTCGCCTTCGGTGATATGAGGGAGTTTTCATGAAAGTCTTTATATCTACGAGAGAATTTGTTTTTGTTTCTCCCACGAGCCAAATTGACGTTGGGACTCGCCTTTGTAGGGTTAGCAACGAATCTGTTGACACTTAAGGCCACGAAAAAAGCTTGGCTTGAAAATGGATCGTGCAGGAAATATCATAGATTGCGGGCTCAGTTACTATTTTGTGTCAACCTACATTTTATTTTCATGCAATTCGGCTTTAGGGACTCGTGAAACATTTAAAAATTTACTCATGTAGCGCACCAATTTGTGAACATTTCGGAGAGAACTGCTCCAAGGCGAACGCTGATTTTACAAGTTGAAAACACTCAGTTTTATACGTCAAAGGCCATCAAGATTTAAAAGCCTCTGAGGGCAAAAGAAGATTTCGCGGAAATCTAGTACCATTTTCACGAGGAGAAACAGTTCAACACAAAGTGATTGTTACAGCCCGAATTAGCAGAATGTGTTTAAACGGTAGCTCGTGCCGACATTCTTGTGGGAATTCGCACAGAAAGTCGTAATGGCTAAGTTCGTGGTCGTGTTCACGCTCTGTATAAGTTCGTGTTAAAATAGTTCGTAGGAATGTAAGAGAAGAAGACATTTAAGACATTTTGGCAGATGCAACAGTCAATCTCATAATTATTGACACTCAGCCTAAAAATAATCACTAGACGGCGCAGTATATCTCAGAATTGACACCCACGCAAACTCTCAGATTTTACGTACGAGCCAAGGGGGACGAACTTAATATCATATGTCAGATTGAAAAGACCCATCGCTAAAAAAAAGGGAAGAGTGGCAACGCATACAGTTTCTAAATACTTCGTCAAGTTATAATTTATTCGTAGATTCATTTAGCCAGTCATAGTTCCTGTTAGGGAATTTATAGCCAGTCATATAGTCGGTCACATTCCCTCGGTAAGATTATTAAAGCCAGTCATTTTTAAAAGCATTCAATCGTTTAGGCAATAATACAGCCTGTTCACTATTAATTTATTGGGAAGAAGTGGAAAATTAAAATACACTAATTGTGCATATTCTCTCACGTGATATACAAATATAGCAAAATTTACAACTTTCTGGTCTGAGCAAGTAAGTAATGAAATGAAACAAGAAAACCTCTTGAATGAAATGGGGTTTCAAAATGGTGATCCACCAATTTGCATATCCCTCGTCATTCGAGTGTTATATTCGCCCTAGTTCCATCCACGTCTTCTACCGCTCTCTGTAGTGTCACGTAAACTACGTTTCCTGACTGCGAACACAAGCTTGTATCGGTCACTTCAGGATGTTGTCTATATCTCGCCACAAATTGTTTCCTGTTTGTTGTAAAAACATTCTCTCTTAAGCGAATATATTAAAATCAACTAAGAAATGAGAATACCTTTCACTGACGTCTTCAGACTGTGCACGCCAGTTTGAGACGTAGTCAAGGTTTCTTTTTAATTCATTTTTCGAGTGCCTAAATTTTGACCATTTAACTTTGATGGGGTCCGTCAAGTGAATGAATTTTTTACCATCCACCCAGGGGCTTTACGTGGTAAAAAAAGCGTAGGCCAATGGCGGAAAGGCTGGACACCGTGGGGTTACGGTGGAGGTGTTCGCGTTTCCTACTTCAGTTTAGGGAGCCAAAAGTTACGCAATTTCGAGTTTTTCAGAGACATCACTCTTTAAAATACCTTCACTTTTCCCTGATACCAATCTTAACCGTAGAATTCCCATAAAATAACCATGCAGCATTCCCTAAAAAAATTCAGTCTAAACAAACGCCATAGCAAAAAAAATAGCATATTAAGTCTAACAAATACTCTTACGCCCGCAAGGTCACAAAGGGAATCTATTCACGAATAATTTATCCCGTTGGTGACGGGCAGTCAAAGGCACTACAAAAATGTAAAAAATGAGATTCTATGATCCAGTTGTAAACTTTATTGCAGATAATAGGAAAAGATTATCACGTTCACAATTGTTTTGGGATTTGTCCAGAAACTTGAATCTTCACAGAGGGATTGTAGGAGAAAAAGGTGTCCATTAACAATTTGGTTTATATAAGAATAAGGAGAAGCGTTGAAGTAAAGCTGAAGTGAAACGTTTCATATGATGTTTGAACTAAATTAGTATTAATTATAAATTAGTGTCTTTTAACACAAAAATTGAAAGTGCTTTTCCTTAAAATCAGATAAACAACTCTTGCAGTTTCAGATAGAGTCCTGCGTGGTCCGATTAAAAGTGAGTCCTGCCTTTGTTTACAATTAAAACAATTTAGATGAGTCGAACTTGGTCCGATTGCTAATTGGTCCTGCCTATGTTTAAAATTAAAATAATTTTATGATATAGCCTGAGTTGTTGACCCATTTAATTACTGGGTACTGAGATATTTTTACATGACCTCTTTGGGTCACCTTTAAAAGTAAACTAAAGTTCTAGAAAACTTTAGGAATGCGGGGGAATGCAAATAAAAGACAAAAATTAAAAGTATTTTAAACTTTTTTTTAGCAGAACTGATCCTAATGTTTATTATCTGCGGCCTAATATTTAAGATTTTTTATAAGTTACTCCAGTTACGCGAATTTGTCTTCACTATATTCATACATACGTGCATGTTAGACAGACCGTGACATCGAGAGACCCATCGCACGGTTTTGCAAATAACCTCAATACAGTGGGAGAAGAAAATAACGAACAAGGAGTTACCTTTATCTATCCAACCTTTTCTTTTTTCTTTTTTTCTACGTGCCCTTTTGTACTGTTGTATTTTCATGGAGAAAAGAGTTTATAAATGAAATGAAATGGTTGAAAAGTCCTCGTCTAAAATAAATATTTAACTTGGAAACACATCGGCCGGTCTGATACCAAAAGCGTGGGTGGTCACGGTGGGAAAAATTCCAAGGTAGAACTATCTGGTACATTTCGCTATCCAACCCACACAGGAAGTTGTTATTTTTCGGCTAGGTTAAATAACCGAACAATCAGTAACAATTTCACACGCTTTATTTTGGGGAGAAATTACCGCAAGTAAGAAAGAACAGTTTTGCAGTAAAAGAACTGAGCTGCAGAACAGGTGAGATTTTGATCAATGCTTAAATTTCCACCTTAATATCCTTGGGTGCTACCGATTACTTCAAAGAATGAAGTTAATTCTTGTGGTAGATATGACTGCCCAAGAGACGATGCATTTTCAAATGCATCCCAAAAGTACGTTTATCGAAATTTTAAATAGTGGACTCTTGCAGGGAGAAAGTAGCTTGACGCTTAGAATTATGATTTGAAAACAACTTTAAGAGGTGTAATTTTTGTGATATGAATAATTTTGAAACAAGTATATTTATTAAGGACAGCCCTCTATCGGTGCTGGGTGAATAAAACAATTTTCATTTCTGTTAAATCGCAAATGCGTAACCTGAAAAAGGTTGGCAAAGCAATTCAATTTTTTACCTCTGGTTGTAAGCTTTAATCGCTTAACATGCAACGAAATAGCATCTTCTGATAATCTGGAAAGTCAGTAAACTCAAATCGTCTTAATGACTCATATTCGCACTCAAGTAGAATTGCAAAATGAAGCTTGAAAAGATGAGAGATAAGTATGGGCTCCAAGCCACGAATAAAAATGAGTGAAAACAAATGACAAGAGGGAAAAATTTCTGCGGCCTCTTTCCTCGGCCTCACGCTTTAGCGAGTATCTTTGAAGTTGGGAGAAGCTATAGAAACAGCAACCCTAAGTGTGCCTGTAACATTGCAAATTAAGAACTTTTTCACCTTGGAAATTAGGATCAACCGTTTCCTTCTACTTGTTTCACAAAAACGACTCAAACCTTTTCACCGTGACTCTGTTACTTCGTGGCAATAGTGTCCGATATGAAAAGAAATATTTTAGCCAAAGCTAAAAGCACAACGTTTAATTCTTACCAACTATTAACTATTAAATTCCGCCTTAAGGGAAAAATAACCACCCTCACGCCAGAAACGACCCACCTATTATCATTTTATTATCTATTAAGGAATGTCAATAAAATTCCTCAGCTCGAGAGCCCCATATTCGCGAGAGTTCAGCGCAAAGGGAACTGAGAAATTTGAATCCCTTTCGTCAAGAAACACGGAAAAGGGAGATATCACAAGCTGCCGGTATTTTTTTATTAAACGCAACTTTGAATGCTAAGTGATATACATAGATTTATTCATGGATTGTGCACGCCAAGGGTATTTAATCCAAACCATCCATCTGTTCTCGTCTTTACTTTCAACCACACAGGTTCTTCCCGCCAGGGACATTCGAGTTAAACTAATGGCAGAACCAGAACCAAGGAGAATACTCCATAATTCGCAAGGGTTACAACAGCACGCCTTAAATTGCTCAGATTCCGCATGTATCATTCCGATGTGCGTAAATAAGAAACTTTTACAGCTAAAACATTCTCAGGGATTTCAAACTGTTAATGCCTGCAAAGTTTCTCAAACGTTGAAAACCCTAACTATAGAACCAGCTGGATCCTGTATTGAACCCAAGTGCCTAATACCTTTTCGCATGGGTGCAAATGACAACCCTTACAAAGGGGCCCAAACTGACTTGAATGATCACCTAGGGGATGTAATCAAAGACAATTTTCCCCTAGAGTTTTCATTCGAACAGAGAGATAGTTCTGAGATATCAAGACCTCAAGGAGTGAGGAGTAAAGTGACTCAGAGACTGGCAAAATCAACCCTAGCACCTCCTCCTTACTTAAAAAACGCGAAAGACGCGATGAAAGTCAACCCAACCGTTCAACCATTAAACGTATTGATTAACCATTCAAGCTCGGTTCAAACGACCTCTTCGCCTGCACATCTGGCTCCTCAGTCTTGTCTTGTACAACGTAAAGATCAATCCAGTGTAAACGCAGCCAATGGTATGACAGGCTTAACGCGTCGTGCTTTAATGGAGCTTTTTCCAGTATCCTCAGCAGGCACCTTAACAACACCGCCCATTGCCACTGGCTCTTCGCCGTACTCACAGGATACAACAATAAATGCTTGGGCTAAAGCGTCAGCTCCGAACAACAGTGTTGGTAACGACGTCCCGTCTCCGTTTACTCTTGGGCAAGGCCAGAATGCCGCGCTTCTGCAGACAAGCCAAATCGACAATGCAGTACAGCGCCAGAGAATACATTCAGAGACAAGTCCTCCTTTTCCTCAAGAACCTGGAACTTCCGGTAATACACCGCAAGAGAGAAATTTTAACGTAGATGATGGAGCTGACAATGATACTGGTAATACCAGAACTCAGATGAAAGCACGCCTAATGTATGCGCTATACAGTATTCAACGCCTGCTGATGCAAACAAAGTCCACGGAGGAACAGCAGATGTGCATTCGGTTACTAACAGCCGTTTTACACGAAACCAAAGTATTTCTGGGGACGCAAGTATAAAGGCAAGATGGAGCGGAACCGTTTGTTATTTATCGCCTGGGAGGGGAGGGTTGGAGTTGGAGAATTTTAATTGTAACACGATATAATTCACCTGATCCCTCCACAAGGCTCTGTAATGTTCTTAACATACCCCTCCCCCTCTCCCTCCCCCTCCCCCTCCCCCCATTGGAAGTCAATTTTCTATAGTCCTCCCCTAATATTCTGATGGTGACTGATACCCTCCTCCACACCCCCTGAAAACCATGTGATCCTCAATCCCCCTCCCCTCCCGGACGTCAGATAACGACCGGTCCCTATTTTTGATGAGCTGAACTGAATGATTCAATGAACAAAGAGGGTCTCGATGAGGTTAAACGTTAGCCATAAAATGGCCAAAAAAAGCTTAGCCGTCAGGCGTAAAAATTGGCAAATTTTAACTTTTAGTCGTAAAAAAAGGTAACCTTAAAAAAATTTCTGTTTACAACAAATGGAAAGAAATCAATAAAATTAGGAAAATTTCAACCGTAAACCGTAAGGGCCGTCACCCCATTGGGAACCTCAATAAAACAAAGCCTTGCGTTTTCGTACTTTTAAATGCCGTTCTCAAAATAATAATGATAATTATAACTTTATCATGTTTATCCGAGTGAGTGAAAACCAGCGGAAAAATTAGGTATGTTATAATATTAAATTATCTCGAATTATGCTCTACAGGTAGAATCTGTCGTGTAAGGTAAGATGTAACAGACGACTAAGGATACAACCTACTTTGCGCTCTGAAAATCAAGCTTCAGTCTACAAGGTTCAATGAACTTCTTTCTACCGAGCTATGAAGTATGTTATCGAGATTGATTGGGAATCATTATAAAAAAGACATGGTATAACTAACTAGAAACTTAAATGCTCCGGAGACATCGAGACATCAGTGTGCCACTGAAGAACTCACCGATAAGGAATCTTATGGAGATACCCAAGGAGTAAAACAATGGAAAGATTTAAGATAAATTGAGAAAATTTCGGTTTGTAGTCAACCCGTGTAATCGGAGGGACAAGACAAAAATTGGAATTATGCAGTCTACCTTTCATCTGTGAAATTACTGTGAAAATATTACAATAGTGGTTTTAAACATATATACTTTTCTTGTTTTTTGTTTGATTCATTCAAGAATTGAAGGAAAAGTAATCGAAATCAGAGAGTTAATCGTTCACGGATGCAGCAAGGGCGTAGCCTTTGGATAGTTGAAGTGACCTGGGATGATGGGAAGATGAGATTTGTTGTATTAGTTCTTCACCGATTGAGAATCATCAGAGTAAAACGACACGCTATGACTAATTAAAGACTTAGATGGTCCAGAAACATAAAGAGTGCCAGAGTTGGAAATCTTAACCCGCTTACGAGTTATTATTACGAGGAATTATGCAGTCTACCTTTGGTCTGTGAAGATACCGCGAAAATATTGTAATAGTGGTATCAAAATATATACTTTCCTTGTTTTCTGTTGGATCCATCTAAGAATTGAAGGAAAAGTTGGCGAAATCAGAGAGAGTTTGTCGTTCACGGATTCAGCAGACGTGACTCCTATTCCAATTATTATTAATGATGTCATGGCTCCAAGCCCAAGGGCGTAGCCCTAGAGTAGTTCAAGTGTCCGGGGATGACGAGAAGCTGAGATTTTAAGGCGTCCTCAGTTGGGAACTCCTTTCTAATGCATTTTTTCCTTTTTTACTCACGACACGTACCTCAAAATATAGCGAAGATCAAGGGATAATTCAAACTGAATAATATTAATGACCTTCTTGTCGCTACTTTTGGTAGTAATTTTGATCCCGTGCCCTGCCTACTATGAAAGTATTCTCCGACATCCGAAATGTCCGTCTGTGTCTTTTGGGTTTAATAATTTCGAATTGGACCGCTACTAAGAAAAAATCCCTTGATTTTCTCTTGCCGCCAGTTATCGTTAAAAAGTAAAGAAAGCCAACAAAAAGAGGATAAATCGGAAAAATCGTTGACCTAATTGTTGTAAATCTTCAGTCAGGTTAAAAGAATCTCAAACGAATGTCGCTTGCGCTGTTAAGTATATCAAAGCTCACTCCCATGACAACACCCACCAGACCATAAATAATTTGCATTTCAGTCACGTATTTTACTAAATTAGATTTAGAGGAAGATTTCACTGAGTTATTATGGTAATTCAATTGGGGCGTATTTTCGATCGAAGGTTATTCTCTAGAAGTAAAGAATGGATAAAGCAGACAAGGTTCAGGGTTTTGTTTTAAGAAGGTAGATCAAATCCAGTTCTTTCCTTCTTTGACCCAGTGAAGTTGTAAGACTGAATAGTTCTTTTACGTGATCTTACCGTAGAAAAGCGAACAACGGTTACAATTAACTGCATCACTGAGTAAAAATTTGAAGCAGATTTCAGTTTCAGTAGACTAGTATTTAGCTGCTAATTTACGGCTGCGCTATTTATTCATTTAATAATTGACAAGGCATCAGCAAATACGTTCAATATCGCCCGACCGTTTCAATCGCAGACTGAAGAAGATTTTTTTCCCTTTGTTTGTTTCAAGGGCAAAACTTCGGTTCTAATAAGAGGGGCGCAGCTCTAGCACTAGGTGAAGAAGGAGAACGCCAAGGTGAAAGATATTGGGTGGGTAAGAAAACGAACTAGCAAGCCACACTCTTTTCCGGACTTTAGGAGCTACACATTTGCGTCACAAAATTTCGACTAGCTTTATATTTGCAAACATTACCAGTTTGGAGGAAAATGCACAATATTGGTTCAGTGATTCGGCAAAAACTGCAAAGGGGCGACAGTAAGCCCAGAAAAAAAAAAGGAGGCCAAGCATACGAAATATTTGAGTAGATCGATCGCAGACGGTAGATTGGAAACCGTTGTACTCCATTTGTTCGGTTACAAAGTTTTCACTATTATCCCAATACGTAACAAGGGATGAACAGTGACTCGACCGTTCCATGCCAAAAGTCAATATTGCATAATTGCCCAGCAGTTGGCTAAATATTAGAGTTGCACGGCCTTTCAGCCGTGCCATGATGACTTCGCTTTCAGTAGCGTTCTAAAGGAAAAAATATTGGAGGTGAATTGATGGAATCAATTTCGTTGGTTAGCTGTTTTACGCTAGTTAGGGTGTGAACTTCTGTTTAAAGAAAACTTAATTTCACGTCTTACGTTAATTGGCTCTCGAGAACCACAAAAACACTTCACTTTATTTTTCTAGGCGCATCCGACCTCAACCTAATTTGTATCGATAAGTGACGCGTCACCAGCATCTGCATTTATCCCATTTGAAAAAATTCACGCAAAAAAAAACAAACAAACAAACAAAACAAACATAAGCTTTTGAACGAAAAAATTTCTTGGCGTAAATATTGAAATTACCCTTGCAAAAAGCAAGTTATAGGTTGCGAGCAGGTTTTATCATCTAAAGATGAAACTAAATTCACTTCCTGTGGGCGAATTTTGGTTATATTTAGTCATCCCTGTCACGTTAGCTTCGGCTCAAACCACGCACCATTCGGAAGGGTTAGTATTTCAGTTGAAGTGGTAACTTGAGTTTAGTGAATCAGACCAGAAAAAGAATTGATTTAAAAAAGATAAAAAGAGTAGGCCTACTCGGCTTTCGTTGGTCTTTACCTAGCATAAATTCTTAGATTGTATTTTCCTTTTCTTAAGGGAAAACTGTAACGAATTACGTTACATTTTCGTTGCAGCTTTCAGCCTGACTGCTTCACGTGATAGGACTGGCAAAGGATGTGAGGCAAGCGTAAACGCCCCGCAGTAATCATTACAATAACAGTCGAGATCCAATTTATCCAATCTCCCGGGGACAAAGGAAATTGGTGTAAGTTACGGAGAAACCAGATCAGTTCCGAAACTATATGAAGTTCGGAAAGACTGTGGGTTCATGGAAGAGTAGATAATAACAAACTTATTACCCGGCGAAGCCCTTCCTCAGAGCATAATAAGGGTAAGATTCATAACAACAAAAGCTTAGATATCTGAAACATCTATGACTATAAGAAAAGTATGCACCCACGCAATTAATTTTGTGGGCTTGTTATAGAATCGTCATGCAACGAAATCTACCTGCATTCTGAATCAATTTCGGATAGTGGCACTGTGGAAATAAGAGGTTGATGTGAGTGGACCAAGAAACCAGGATTTTAACCATATTCTTTCATATATTTAGACAATGGAAGTTCGACATTTTAAAATTTAAGGTCAGTCTCTGTAAAACGGAACCGGTTGGTGCGTGTGAGTCATACCCCGGAAGTAAATTGCTCGGAATTGCTCATTCGAAAATTCCGCATTTTTAACAACCAGATATCGCTATATGCCTCAACAATAAGAGAGGGTGCCTATAAAAAAAAAGCTTACAAACGCTGAACGAGTGGTCTTTCTTCAGTTTCTCGAGCAGGTAACATTCATCCTAAAGGTGTGTATTCCCGTTTGCCAAATTTGGAGTTTGATATCAGCAATCAGAAGGTAAGCCTGTCTTCACATCTCTCAGTGCCTTATAATACCTTATTATCTATCTTCGTTTCGCTTTAACTGTGATTGCAACTGGGCTCTTATTCAGTGAAAAATTATTTAACCCTACTGCTTGCAACTTTTTGCGGGTATCATGTGCTGGCTTGTTTAGCTCGCGCTAAAAAACAACGGTTGTTTACATCTTAGCCCGGGCTGGCAAACGTCCGAATTTGATCGCCGTGGGGTAAATCTACCTCAGATCTGTAAAATAATCTCACTTGACAAATATTGCATGATCGTGACGATCTCATGCGTCGATTACGTCTGGTTAAGAGAAAATTTTCTCTCCGGCAGTGCAGATACCCTCTTAGACTTCTTGAGCTCGTTAACTCGCTCTCGTGATCAAAAGATAGTTCATATAGATCTAGCTTCGATGGTGAAGAATGCTTTGAAATTCGACGCTTAAAGCAAGAGGATCGATAGTTCGGTGATATTCAAGTCTTTTTTCGATTGAACGATTTTAAATTTCAAGTATCCGATCGACCTCCTACGTGTAATTGTTACGTGCTGCTCCAAGCTCAAAGGGGCGGGGTGGATAGTACTTGAGACGGACGATGTTCTCGGGCGTGCTGCATAGGTGTATGTTCGAAAATGGTAGCTGAATCTGTTTTAATTTTTAAAATTGGCAAACAAGAATTGCGTGTCTTGAGCGAGCGAGCGAGCGAGCCATTGTTTTAAACCAGGCATGAATAACAATACACTACAAATCCCACGCAGTTGTCAACTTATTCACAGACGCCACGAATATTATAACTTTTAGTTTTTTTTCCTGGCTTTAGACCGTAGCCTTACAAATCAAAAATGTTAGTGACGGGAGGTACCTCAAACACGATCTTGTGTCTTTTGCAGAGTCGTAAAGAAATTCTGTTTTAACTTTAAAAGCATTTTATGGTCTAGGTTCCTTCTAGGAAGCGATAATTGTTTCCGGTAATTTGAAAGTTTATACTTTCCTAGCTCATTTTCGTTTGTGAAAAAGTACAAACCCTTGTAGGGAGTCTCAAAGTTAAACTCTAGCTAGCCAAACTGTGGAAGTATAGTTCATAAGACAGCGGTTTAGCTTTGTCAGAAATATTTGTAAATATAGTCATCTTCTAGGCAGGAAATAACTACGTTTCTACTACGTAAAGATATTTTCGCTTTGAAAAGAAAGTCTTTCAAGAAATTCTTCTTTCCGATAAGCGTCAATCTATTTCTAGCATGGAAAACATGTCCGTAAGGTTTGTGTTGTGTCGAATAAGATGGTGATGTTTCTGAGAAATGTTTTGAGATTCGACCGGAAACTGACTTGTAAGTTGTTGACGAAGGCAAAAACCTTTATAGATAGGTTGCAAGCGGCTTTTTTTTGTCAACGAGTGATCAGACGCTAACACGCTTAATGCTATGTATTGATCCACTTATTTACTTATTTATTTCATTATTTGAAAATGGATAAGCTGATTCATTGGTAGATTTAGGGGCAACAATCACGAACATCAAGGGAAATCAGACGTATCCGAAAAAATATGAAACTTAGGGGACCTCAATAACTCACAATGGATTTGGCTTTTCTAGATCATCGCGAGTTACGTCATAATGGCAGGACAGGAAACCACAAACACAAAAGATGCAGCTGCCGTACAAGGACGGTTTAAAAGTTCCCTAGAACTTCTAGAACACACTTTAAATTGTTGGAACCCCGAGTGTCCACTTCCACATTGTGTGAACATGAAGTTGACGATGAAACACACACAGGGCTGCAAAAAGACCCAGTGCCAGGTGTGCCAACGCATGAAAAACCTCGCTATAAAACACGCTGAATCGTGCGATGATGTTTACTGCTGCATACCCTTTTGCATGGAAGAAAAACTTAAAGAGTTCGTGGCGTCTCAGATGGCGGACAGCAACACCTTGGACAAGAGCCAGCATTGGAAAAGAAGAGTTGTTACCGATGACGAAAGGAATGACCTTGTCACACCAAACTCCTCTCCCTCCAAGAATGTAAGGAAAATGAGCGCACCTCATCACATCGACAGCTGTTCTTCGGTGAATAGTAGCGACTTAAAAGGTGAATTAAAGCATCATTTTGTAAAGTCTTATTCTATGAAAGTTATTCGAATTGAAATATGAAAGAATTGAATTTGCAAGACTACGATGTAGTTTAAGTATATATGCATGTTAAACAGGAATGCCTATCAAAGGTCCTGATTAAAGTGATGATAATCTATTTCAAACTGAGTAGCCACATTGGTAATGAATTCGCAACTGTTGTTAGCTGCCTTGGTGGGCCCTGCGTAAAGGCAACGATTTGATACACGGAAACCTCAGGAAATTTAAAATTGAAGAATTCATAGCTAAGAAAGAAAAGAACACAGCACATAAAAGTGGTTTCATCAATTTTTAAACAACGTCATGCAAAAAGGGAAAATCGAATGACCATGAAGTTATTTCCTGTCGGAATAAAGAAATGTATGTTTCTTGGTTTCGAAATTTGAATTTTTTATCAGCGTGTTAAAATAGTTCGACATGTAAGCAGGGTTGCTTTCTGTAATGCCCTCAAATCTGTGTTAAAAACTTGAAATTTCCGCCCATTTCTGACCGATTAGGGACTGTGCAATAATTATCAGGAGAAGGGGGATGGGGGGGGGGTGGTATAAAGAGGGGGGGGGGCACCATGTTAACTTATGGCCATCTGATTGAGGACCTTAAAAACTGCTTCAAAACAATTATTAATTACTGTTAGCTCTTTGTTAAATTTTTTATGCGAATACACTATGTTTATTCATATCAAATCAGTCCCAAAAAGTAATGAATATCATTTTAGTAAGATAGTTGGGGTATTTTAATCCTTCAGTCAGCTTTTCAGCAGCTGTCCCCCCTCCCTCCCCCTCCCCCCCCTCCACTTTCACAGAAAATCACATGCTGTTGTTTTACCGCCCTCCGCCGTACTGATAATTATTGTAGAGCCCCTTAAAAGCAGAATATAATATTATTACTTTAGCTCTAACAAACTAAGTTACGTTTATAAAAGTTGAAAATAGAAAAACTTTTGTGGATTTGTAGGTGGAAAGACAGCTGTCAATCGCACAGCATCAGCAAATGAATTCTCGTCTCCATTGAGGCTCAGGACTTACACCTATCCAACTGATCAACAGAAGAGGGGACATCCTCTTGTTTCACCAACCAGCTCTGCGCCGTTTGTGAAATCTTCACGTCTGGAGCAAAGTAGGAACCACCTTGGTGCAAACGAAACGGTTACTTTGACAACCACCCAGCTCGATGCTTCCACAGGACCTCTTTCTGCTTCCGAAGAGGGTCCGATAACGACGAAGATTCAGAAAACGTTCACTCCTTTACTTGCGGAAAAAGTAGATGTGCAAGAATATACAGGGACGCAACAGCAAGGTATGTCCTCTCTTCTTCCAGACAGGAGTTTTCAGAGCTGTCAAGCCACGCAAGCTGCCAATGCAGAAATTCGTGGGGGAACAGATCAGCTCAATACCTACCCCTTCTCTACTCATGTGGACGTTTCCAACTGTAGTGCACCGATGGCACAGAGCGTCGGCGACAACCCTTATGGCGCGATGAGAGGAAATCAAGGGAGCAACGGTAATGCTGTTTTGAAAGCACGCCTTATGGACGCATTGAATAAGCTTTTAGGTCTGGGCCTGCAACGATTGGAAACGAAAGAGGAGCTTGTGATATGCATTAAGTCGTTGAGGAAAGCTGTCGAGGAGATCAAAGCTCTGGAGTAGCCCTTGACATTTTATACCATTCTGAACGCCATTACTTGTTTACAACTGTTATCTTAAAGCCGAATTTTTTCCAATTTGCACAACAGAAATCAACCAATCTGGTGGCTCAGAGAAAATGATGTGCTCAGACTAGGAAAATTAGCCATGATTAATCAGTTGTAGGTTTTTTTAAACTCCCATATGATCCTCAGTTGCTTCGCGAGTTACAACAATCTTCTCCCACTAACTCCAGTCATGTGCAACTGGCTTAGGAAATGGCGGGATTTTCAGTGCCTTGTAAGTCGTGTAAGGCACGGTGGCTCAGAGTTTGGCGCGCTGAACCTCTGACATAGTAGGCGTTACGTCCTTTGATCCAGTTTCTTGATCATGTGCTCCGCGCGCTCGGCTGAGAGTAGCACTGGGGAGGACTGCCATCGGTTGTAATGGCTGACGTTTTCACAAAGTTAGCAGAAGTCATTATCAGAGTCAAGATTTCTCCTTGTGGCCACCTACAAAATGTTTAACTCCGTGACGATGACTTCTGGTAAGATTTACCAAACGTCAGTAACTACTACAGTCTTTCCCGGGACTCCCCTCACCTGGACGGTCATACTGCATGATCAAATGTTAGTTCTAGCTAACTTCAAACCGCCTATTGTTTAAAATAGTTTTCTGATGCCTTTTAACTTCAAACAAATTGAGTGACCAAAAAAAGTATTTTATTACAGAAATATGCATTTTTTTACAACATAGTGCCATTCACAGTGATGAGGATTGGCGAAAAAAACTTAGTTCATGAAAAAACTCTAGATCGATATAAAGTTAAAAAAATATTTCATTCATTTAAATAATCGGCGATATATGTGTTTGATCAAGACATAATAAATATCTCTCAATGATATACTTTAAATTTAAAATATCTTTATCAATAAATTAGATATGGATAAATTATTATACAATAAAAACTTTGAAAACTGAGACAGAAAGAAGGGAAAATTCCTACGTTATGATGCTGTCACATTGTGACTACGTATACAAACTTTGTGACATATAAAAGATCGGTCAATGTTAATCACCGGGAGGGGAGGGGCGGGGAACTCTAGTTGTGTCTCGATAATATGTACTTGATCCCTTGATAAGTCTCTGAAATATTCTCATGAATCTCCCCCCCCCCCTTGACAGTTACCTGATCCCCTACCAAGGCTATGTAATGTTCTTCTAACTCCTACCCCTACCCCTACCCCTACCCCTACCCCTCTACTCCCCCTACCCCTACCCCTCTGCTCCCCTTACCCTTACCCCTCTACTCCCCCTACCCCTACCCCTACCCCTACCCCTCTGCTCCCCCCCATCCTTCACGGGTGATAAATATGACTGGTCACTAATAAATACTTGTTATTTGTTTCATCTTCACACTATACAAACTGGGTATATCTCGCACTCTTGTTGATAATTTGAAACGAAATTTATATAATTTATTTATAAGTGATAACTATGCTGAACTCAGTAAACCCGGCCTGAAAATCAATTGAAATCAATGAAAGAAATAAATAAAATAAAATACTGATATTGATCCAAAATAATTTTACATTTAACTGACTGATCATTGAAAATATATTAGTCAAAGTCAAAAAGACCTCGCTGAGATATTAAACTATTATCACACCTAGCCATAATCACCTTCTTGTAGACAGAGCATTCTTAGATTTAAAAGAACATAAATCCTGACGGCGGCTAAACGTTGAAAGTTTTTCTAAGAAAGACTGATCAATTGAAGAAAAAAACTAATGGAAATCGGCGATCGTGTGATTATCAGAGATAACAAATCGATCATGTGCTTGAAAAACATTTTCCCTAAACCATTTTTGATATAGGTGATTGCTCAATATAGATTTCAATTGACTGATCAGGCCGGGTAATACCCACTATAGCCAAAAATACGAGTTTCTTATATTCGTTAAGTAAACTTTCTATTCATGAATATCACTTGAAAAATCTCTGTCCTCATCAAAATAGTGATTTTGGACTACTTCCCTTGATTCTCTTCGCCTGAATGCTCACGAGTGCATTTCCACCGTCAGGAGACTTGAGCAGTTGATCACATAAGTAGACAAATTTACGTTTTATCTGCTTCCCTTGTAAAAGTACCCAACTGTTATTTCACGTTCCTTCCATCGCCAGATTGGTAAGCCGCTTTTTGGGTCGCACTTATCTTGGACCAAAACTTTAACTGTGTACTTTATGGCGGTACAGTAATGGTCGCAGTTTGGACAATGTGCCTCTCTTAAAAACCTTGGAATTTCACTTGGTCGGTCTGTAGACCGCCATTGCCATTGACAGGGGGATGCCCCCTGCATTATGGGCGAGGCAGAGCGTGTTTTTCTTAGTAGCGGTATCTTAAGGCCTGATTCGTCTGCCTCAGCCATGGCGTTTTCCATGATCATAAAGCGTTTCTCCTTCAGTATACGTCGCAGCACCTTTTTAGGGTACATTTTTTTACCACATGGTTGTGGCAATGGCCCTGCCAGTAATGTAATAACAAAAGAGGCCAGCAAGCCAGGAATCTGTGAGGAACAAGTTATGTCTTATTAACCTTATCATCAGTCTAACATTTACAGTACATCTTCTACGCAGGGGAGTAAAAGTTAATCATGCGGTGCGTGAAGTGGAATTGAAAAGTTGTTAGTGGTATAGACTGCGCATGCGTTTTCGACAACCTAGGCAAACAAATTGTCAACATTCCAACAATTTACATCAAACAAAACTGAAAAAAAAGCTAAACAACAACAACAACAACAACAACAAAAGCCTATATGATGAAAATGATGAGGCACTTTAGATTCCCATTTCCTCTCATCCATCTTAATAAATTAAGAGATTCTTTAACAAATGAGATGGAGATTATTAAAACCACAAATAGCCTATACAAGATTGTTTTATATAGGTGTAGACGATCCTTTTCAGGCAAATGGGAAGATGTAATCGCCTAATCAAAAACCTGGAAATACGGTCCACTTCGGGAACGACACAATGTGTTTGGACAAACAGATTAGAAACAGACGATTATCATATGCAAAGGAACTATTCGAGCGGAGCTAATATCATGGAAATTAAGTCTACTGAAAGATATACCTTTTATCGTGAAATTTAGTCATTAGAGGCTTCCAGACGTTTAGCGCTGAACAGTTAAACCATGGAAAGGGCTGGAAGCATAAAGCGGTATAATTTGCTAACTGTGAATGTCGACTCAACCAAAATTATTATTCTAGCAGAATTAAAATGAATTCTAGTAAAAATAAGTGCCGTAATTGAGTGAATACAACTCATATCGTAAACCAATTGAATATTTGAATGATATTTCGGACTATCCTGATGTTTCTAACGATTTCAGTGATTTTAAGGACAACTTCCTGAGCTTTGGCCTTCGATTAGCGTAGTAGCTGATCAAAATCAAGTTGATTTTATCGTCCACTGATCTCTTAGGCTAGTACGCTTCAGCGAAGCACAGTAAGCGCGGAGTTAAATCAATTATTACAATTTAACTTAGATCTTATTCATGAACGGTTTTTCAGAGAAGTGCATAAAAACTCATGAAAGAAAAAAACATAAACCTCACTTGCAACCTGCAAAAACGGAAAAAGGATATGTCATATTTGGACTAAACGTTTCGGGCCTTCTTTCGAACGACAGGCTCAAGGAAAATCAAAATAAGCCTCTTTGCCGTTCAGCCGGAAAACTTTGACTAAATACGGCCGGCGAATGAAGGTTTAAAAATTCTGTTTACAAGAGTTTATCAACAGGCTCTAATCTAGCTAACGAATGAATCATCGACCATCCTGTAAAGTTCTCTCAGTTCAATTACAGTTACTCACCAAGAGAAGCTTCCTTAAATTCATTTCGCCGAATATGCTGCTGTGAGGAGCTAAAAGTGTTGGCCAGTCGTTTTAGTCAACGAAATCCAAGGAGATTCTAAAGTATTGCAAACGAAGTTTCTGCCATCCTATTTAAGACACCCTAGAATGGGTGTGCCATTATTGCAGCTAAGGGAAACCCCTTACATTGGTAAATTATCTAAAAAAAGATTTATTTTTAACTCAGTTGATAGATTGTGTACCAAAACAAATGAAGCGCCGAACGAATTTTCCTCTTCCGTGTATATTTCTGCTCCGTGTATTGTAATCTTATATCTTCCCCCCACACAGAAGCCTTTTAAGGAAATATCGTTAGTTTAGAAATAATAATTACGTATAAGTTAAAGAAAAGGTTTTCTTTTTTATGTTTTCAGCAAATTTTAAATTTGCTCCATTACTCACGTCCTGAAAACCCCTTTGTTTGAGCTTAAACGGTGGTGAAACTCTTCTGCCTATCATGATTCATAACCTCCGTCACGCCAAAATGCTACAATGTCACGCTGATGAGTCCTTCGAAGGGGAAACTACTTTCCAGTTGCGCAATAGTTCTTTAGATGTTATTTTGATTGCAATCTCTATCAATATTACTGGCAAATTAATTTTATTGAGTGACTAAACTATTCTTTCGAGCTAAACCGGGTTGCGTCCGCAAAAATAGCACTTGTACTTACTGGCAGCGTCAGAAGATACGATTGAAACCGCGCGACGTTATTATTTTGCTGACTTTTCCCGTTAGATCTTCGCTAAAAAAATGTTACTCGGTGATTTAACTCTGCCTTAATGAAACCGCCAGGTTATTTCCCCCTCTAGTAAAATTTAAATGAAGTGCTTTCGCTGCGGCTTTCAGATTGTCATGTCCCTTCAAGCAAAGCCATAGAAGAGGCCATTGACGTAAACACTGCCCTTATGTCATGAATTGTTTACTCCAAGTTTCCATTTTATTAAAAAATTACTGATTCAAAGACAGCGACCGAAAGTTCCGGAGAATTTTAGTTTCACAGCAATCTACTCACAGGTTAATGACGCGACACAATGACTCACCATAATAACCGATCCAAATGTTAAATTACACTACTCAAGAGTCAAAATTGACGTTTACAGTAACAAACCCCGTTTTTTTTTTGTTTGTATAGACGATGTAAGTTGGTTTGGCCGATATCTATGGAAACACATAACAGGAAGTCGATTGGAAGCACGCTAGTGTATTGCGTTACATGCCTAGAGTCAAATGTTTTGCTTTGATAAAAATACCTTTGCATAAATAATATCTTGCCCAGTCACGCATCCGCTTTAGCACATTCTGAAGGATGTAAAGAATCTCTACTGAAACTGAGGGGACATCTGATAAAATAGCGTAATTCTTTATGACATTTTTTTTAGAAACATTGATGCAATTGTAAGTAACAACGGTAGAGTTTCTGGAAATCAGATTACATGTCACGTCACGTATCAGGGATATTATACATCCAAAAGCGGCTATGGGCAAAAATTGTAATCGCTTTACCTCTGCTGACCCTCGTGTCGAGGATCGAGCTCGACCGCTGACACAAGATATCTCAACCTCTAAATCCTTGGCTTTGAACGACGGATTAAATTCAGATTGAATTGGCGTTGCTTCCAAGATAACTGAGAGCAGCCAAAGCTTATATTGACCCGTTCAAACGAGCCAAACACACCGCTTCCGTTTTATATGATTTCAAACCTAAATTGCGAAAGTTAAGCTCCTTTTAAACGGATTAAATTTACTGAAGAAGAAATACGGAGAATATTGATAACGAAGAGCCTTCAGCGGACATCCGCATCATATCTGGATGAGCTGTCAGGCGTGAAGGTACATTACACGTCACAATGTTTTGTGCTGAATGAAAAATCGCTCAGCCTAAAAGATTTTAGATTTCTATGATAGAAAATACGTGACAGCTGGTGACAGAATTGTTTACAAACAAAATAAGATATTTGCACAAGCCACAATGTTGGTGTTTATTGGCCTACGATAGACTAAAGGAACTCACCACAAATTTCAATTTAGATTATATATTCCCGAAATCGGCATGAATGATTACCATAATTAGTTTTCATTTTCATTCACTTTATTCCAGTTAATCACTCTGACTTAAACTATCTGAAATATTATAACATTTGTTTAATAAATAAAGATACTACAAGGCTGTTTATTTTCTGGTTACGTATTGAATATAATTAAATAAATGAGCGCATCTTTGGGACGTTCTGTTAGAAAAAAATGATATAAAATGATTATTTAGAAAAATCGTGTTCTTTGAAATAAATGGATACAATAAAAAAAATGGTAATATGGACGATGATCATAGTAATTGAAGTGATAATAAATAAGATAAAAAGTAAAATAAATATACCATTATTGAGTGTTCTCAACTTAGAGAAAACATATTTTTAACTCTTTGAGTCAACTTTTTTTTTTCCATGCTTGGCACAGAATCTGTAGAATTCTATTCCTTTAACTCCCATGAGTGACCAAGACAGAATTTCTCCTTACAATATCAATACAATGTCAACCAGACAAGTGATGAGAATAAAGAAAAATATCAATTTGGGGATAACTAGTTGATCCAACACTTAATTCTCGGAACTAACATGATAAAAATTGTATGATTAACAGTAAGGAGAATTACAAATTCGATCTGGGAGTTAAAGGGTTAAAAGCTATTTTCACGTTGTACGAGGAATAATAAATAATCACAATATGATGATAAAAATTTTCTAAAAGCATCACGGATAGTTAAATTTAGAATTAAATTCATTCAGCCTGTTTCTCCTTCTAAAATTCTTTATCTGCCTACTTTATGATAGAAGGAAATATTTATAACTTTTACATCATATTGAATTTAAGTGCGTGTCTACACAGAGGCTCTCCTTCTGAACTACTTTCGGAGTTCACATCCATCTTCTTTTTTATATTAGTTCGTTTATGTCCTTCTTTTTCTCCTTCCTTTCGTCACTCGTTTAAGTGGTTTTCATATTTATAGATTATATAGCTTATCTCTTTGAGGTACTTTGCAGATTCATCCAAATCTTGTGTCGTATATTCCCAATGTCACGATGACACATTGAAAGTAGCTACATCGATTTGGTGTTTTTTTAAGGATTGTACACAAACGCCACTGGTAGTGTCACTGTCTCCCATTTCCAGACGTCCATTCTCTCTCTGTGAGTTCTTAGACTGGCGTTACAATCTTTAACAAGTACCTTATGATCAAACTCCACGGGCTTGCAAAACGAAGAGCAACTTTTGCACACTAGTACTGCTTTGTGTAAAAATCTTGGCTTTCTATTTACGTTCTCGTCAAGCTCGTCAGTCCAATTACAGTGACGGGATTTTCTTTGATCAATGCTTCTCCTCTGGCGAGGCCGAATATTCAAACTTTTCCTAAAATCCTCCCATGAATTTCCTCGCACCAGTAACCAACCAGACCTGGAAACTCTTTCCACGACTTTTCTTGGTGTAACTAACGTCACTCCGCAAGGAGCTGAGTTGATAATTTGGGCCAAATAGAGGAGCGTAAAAACTGCCCAAAACGCCTGAAACATAATGAAGAAAAGTATAAATAGATTGTTGCGATTGTAAGTTCTTATGCTAATATAAATATTGCTGAGTCAAGAGAAATTGGCATCATACTTAATCAATAATTCTGATTTCACCTTACAGTAGATTAAATAACTGACTAATCAAAAATATTTTCGCCTCGCTCACTCTGGTCTTCAAATCTTAACAATTACCAAAAACACTTTTGAACTTTCACTATCTGACCTCTCACATTTGAACGACAGTTTTTGCATTTGCTCTGCGTAGAAATGAGATATTTTCGGTTATAGTATCTATTAAGGGATAAGAAAAAGGGGTAAATCACAGATTAATTTTAATGCTGAAGTTTTCAGCCAACGCTTTTTAAATATATCAGTTATTATTTCATTAAATCAAACTCAGTGTAAAATGTGCGTGATAGTGAATCTGTTTCAGGTGAGTGAGCAAATCGAAATGTTAATTTTTAGTACAATATAAAATTCGCGAACCGTGAACAAAACCTAAAAAAAATTATCCAATGCCATTACAACAAATGTATCAAACTCACACGTAAATTTAACAAGTGATTTTCAACATCAAATTGTAATTTAAGTTGGTCTGTGTATTCCATATCTTTTCCAAATTACAAGACTGATGTAATATTTACGTTTAAATTCAAGTTTCGGGATGCCTTACCAAAGCCCCGTGTTAACTAAGAGAATGAATGAAAACTACAGTGGTTTTTCATTACTGCTGAAAAATAATTTCCATCTTACCTTAATAACTGAGAACAGCATAATTCTTGGTGTTTTACTCGACTTTCACAGCGTAAAACAATTGCACCGCTCGGTCTGTCTTTGGAACGGTTGAATACCAGCGCAAAGCCAACAACAGATGGATTTGAAATTTTCTTAAAGCGGAGCTACTTTATATACTTCACACCAATGATATATTTTCCTTCCACTTCATTGCGTCACCAACGCGCTACGCGCGATGCGGAAAATTACGCGCTAAAATAATCAACTAGAGAAACATAAGCGCATCGAGGGGAATCCCTTTTCAGACGAGTCCGTTTCCGCTAAAAAATCTGCATTTTCATTTATTCAAAACTAGTTGATGATGGCATGTTTTATTTTCGGCGATGTCGTAAACTTTCCGGGTTCGACGATTTCACTTCGTTGGTACTTGGCAACTGACGATGCATCCCGATGATTTACCAGGACCCAAGCCGCGTCGGAGAAGTCACGATTGACGTTTACCAAAAAGAGTGGGAATGTTTAGCTTAACAATAAGATGAACTTCAAGTAATCACCGTTTATTGTTGTCAAAAGTAGCTTAATGGCTGCTCTCATTCAGCTATAGTGATCAATTACTTCATCTGCTTTCAGCCTTAACCACCCACGAATCAAAACGGAGATTCGGATTTTTACATTCAATTAAACCCTCTTGAAAACTTTTTTCCTTGTTTATGCAACGCCTAAGTCATTATAAGACCTAGAAATATTTAACAATGAAAAGTCTCTTGTCTTTGCAAATTTCTATTTTAGAGAGCCGTTTGCAGTAGAAATTGAGCATTTTGCAATTGGCAATTGAAAGGACAAATTTCAAATTGGCATCACTGAAGTAAAAAAACATTTTCATAGTTCCCCTTTTAATTTTTCTCTTCGATATCTTGCATCATTTCCTAAACGACAGTTAAATACCGCTTTAGCTTGCCGCTCCCAGCGATTGTAGAGAGATTCCTTTCAACTGTCATTTGTTTACTAGCCAAATTTAGGGATGACATTAAACCACAAATAAAAGCGTTTTTATATCAAATAGGCACCGATTGAAAATGAAAGAACTCAAAATTTTACATTTATTACGTAGTAATGTATCATAATTTTACTGGTACAAAGTGTTCATGATATACTACAAACGTTGCGATAAACTTCCTCCCTGTCCGCGGCACCCTCCGAATGTCATCAAGGCAATATCAGTTGTATTCAAATAAAATAAATTAATTACTTGATTTATTTTGAAATTTATTTGCGGTTGGTGAACTTTCGTTATAAGCTGAACCAAACTATAGCCGGCTAACTTACAATTTCAAATGAATCAGTCAAACTAAACTCCATCATTGCTAGCCATGAGTCAGTGTTACGAGCTATTTAGAACTATACGCTTCGTTGCATGTTCATTCATTATTATTTCATGAAGGCAAACGTGATAAGTGTATAACGATAGTATTGTGACAACTCTTAAACTTTACCCGTCGCTCAATATTTCACAGAATTTTACTTTAATACTGTAGTTTGGATAACAAGTGGGCGGCATATAAATTTGTTGAAAACACTTCCTAACCACAATGGTGACGTAGTCTTCAACATTTGAAAAAATACTCGCCCTCCCAATTTACGTAAATTACTTCATCAAGGATAAACAATTTGCCTTTTTCTAATTATTCCATAACGTTAGGTTGAGAGCAGCGTCTGGAAACGCTTTACAGTGTTTCCTGTATAGTTATGCTTCTTTATTCCTTCACGTTCTCTTTTGGAAGACAGTTTCTTCCTTCTCAGTTTGCGGTATTCTATGCATATCAGTCCGCGCTCAACTGTAAGTTTCTTAGAGGCGGTAAACATTTGCAATGATCTTCGCTACAGTAACGTTTGGCTACCATAAACTATGGATAGAGTCAAAATTGAACAATAATGGTGATATTACAAAATATTGCAAAGGTCATTTCACAATAACACTTTTTTTTTTGTCCCTGTGTTTAAGTTGTTGTTGTTCCTTATATTTTCATTCGCATCTTCCTCTGAAGTTCGAGGAAAGCTACATAAGTCGTATTGCTTTACTTCGATCGACTTCCAAACCCTGAACAAAACCTCACGAGAGGCAAATTTAAAATATGATAAAACCTGGCGGCGATATCAATTGTCTGCAGCATTTATGTTTATATTCAGGTAGGGAATAAAAGTCTGCTAGAAGTCTTGTTGACAGAATCAAAGGATAGTATATTACACTTTTAGATTAAAATCCCGGCTCACTTGGTTACTATTTTTGTAATTGTTTTGTAATACGGTATTTCTTAACGACTCAGCCGGGTCGGAAGACGAGCACGGCAAAAGGGATGTGACAATAAGTCTTAGGCCTGGTTTAATACCTTGAAAAAGTGATCGAGAGAGGAAATGCGACGTTTCCAGCATTGACTTGGTCTACTTTGACACGATCGAATGTTCGATGGTTCGTTAGACTTACTTATTTTTGGAATCAAGCAAAGAGCAAATATATAAAGACTCAGGCTTGTGACAAGTTCAAGGAAGTGATTTTCAAAGTCAAACATTACATTCGTTAAATACACCAAGATATTTTTACATGTTTCTAACATTAGCTACAGCCACGTATGCGACAAGCTGCCCGATTATGTTCCTAAAAAACTGAGAAACTGAAACACTGAAACCTCTTTGCACATTTTCTGAAACACTCCCTTTCCGAAATAATTATGTTATTCATTGACACCGCGACAGAACGTAAATTGCGTCTAAAAGCACTAACTTAAGTTCAAGCATTCTTCGTTTAAAAAATAAGAAGTCACTTAGTGCTTACAGCTAAATAAAAGATCTCTCCCCGCGTTAATTTAAGCGAGGAGAAAGATCTCCTAACATTCACCAGAACTAGGCTACTGAACTGAAAATAAGAGTGATAATTTAAAAATGGAAATTTCCTTTTTTTGCTAAAAATAAATGACTTAATCAAACAGGAATTCCGGCTATGTCACTGATATCGAACACAAGTTCATAAAATTAGTTTTCCCAGGATCATACCACCTTTCTGCACCCACTACTCAGAATGGCTTATCGGTCCGTGAATTCAAACCAGACTAGCATGGTTTGTCACTAAAATTGATGAAACAACGAAACTGTTCACTTCTAACATTGCTGTCGAGAAAGCAATCGCTTACTTCCCTGTAAGTTTTTTGTCAAGATTTAATTCAGTTTAGTTGTCAACATGGAGGAGAAAACAATGCATGAATTAAAGGCTTCCTTTATGTCAGTGAAAACTAAACAAGAAACATCAAACCCGCATTCATCAAGTCACCAGATATTGTTTGAGTTCACTCATCACCCGAAATTACCAACTTCCGCAACCCCTGAATTCAGCTTTACCATGGAATGATTTTATTTTTGACTTTGAAAACTTTCTTAACCCTTTACACCCTAACATCAGTATGCATATTCTCCATACTGTTCACACACCTTTCTAAAGAGGCTGGCAAGGAGAATTTGTTTAACTGTCAAGAGCTGCTTTAGTTCGTGATCATCTCCTCTATTTTCATGACTTCCATGTTTGATTCAGGGGGGATACAGTAAGGAGAAACTAGATGTAAGTCACTCTTAGGGGGCTAAAGTGTTAATCCTATATTTCTTTGTTTACATTATTCTGAAGGCCGGATATCATAAGTCTCTGCTTTTGTGATGCGAAAAATTCTTGTTTATAAACGGAAAGTAGTCAACCTTGTGCATCTAATACCGCACCGGAAGAAGAAGAATCTAGTCAAGCTTAATTCTCTTGCCTTGTTACCGTATAGAGTAAAGGCGAACCAGCCATAACTCGGTATTAAAGTTGTGCTAAGTTGTGATGTTCAATAAATCTAACAATCATCTTTTATTCGCCTACAAAAGCATTACTCCTCGTATCTTTTCGTGTTGTTCCGTTTCGCGTCGTTGGTTGAGATTAGTCGCACTCGGGGGTAAACTCGATAAAATGCGATAAGACTTAACACAAGTCCGGACAAGCTGAAGCAAAGCAAACAAGGGAAGAAGGAAAATAAACAAGGCAAGTCAAGGCAAGACATAAAGAAAGAGGAAAAGACAAAAAAAAAAAAAAGCCCAGGCCAGTACAAGAAGGGCAAGACCAGGCTAGGAAAGCAAAGCTGGTTACACAAGAATAGTATGATCAATGTAGTCGAGACAGTCTTCTTTGGAGCCGTTCTTGGGGGATATCACGCGACACTCCCCTCAAAATGCGTGACATCTGTAGAAGAGCTGAGAAGGAAGACTAAAGTCCAACTGGCTTGATCTAGATACAGTTCTTTTGCGAGTCGTCGTGACACACGATTAATCAGCCTACTAAGATTGAGAAATCGTATCAAGCATTGTTTTTCTTCGTTTCACCGACTGTCGGATTCATGAGTCGCTACTCGTTCGCGATCAAAAAGAGAGTGCCTAATATCGCAGATAAGTATTTCTCAGTCGCAATCACGACTTAATAGCAAGCATAATATAAAAATATAATTAACCAGTGATGTTTATATCTGATTCATTCTTACTCAAATAATTACTCAACAGATTTACTGAAGTCTGGTACAATGGATAGCACTGGCCACACTAAACATCATTCAAGAACAGCAAATATAATACTCTTAAATAATTTCTATTTTTACTGCCCATACCTTAATGACACAGAAATGACAGATTTTTCAAACTCGAGTTCGTGCCGCCAGTTTCATTAACATATTTGGCAGACATTGTCTGCCCTTTTTTACTACACTTTACAAAATCATGGATCTAAATGTCTTTCAAGACAATTATAAGAAGCAACATGAAGAGAAATTTAAAAAAATAAACGTGGTTCTCTTTGTGTATGTGTGTGGGGAGACGAACTAAGTGTAATTATTGGTTCGCGAATTTACAGGCGATGTGTCCCCCCCCCTTTTTTTTTCCCCAGCGTAATTCACCGCGTGATGAAGTTAGCGAAAACACATCCCGACGCTGAGTGCTATATGAGAGAACGTGAAGTGAATTCAAGGAGTCTTAAACTTGCTTGGTTCCGTAAAAGAATGTGTTAACAAAAAGAATGACACTGGAGCCAACACTAATGCGAACATCGGTCCATGAACTGCAGGGTCACGGAGTTGCGTGACAGCCAATATTCCATACGCATGCGCCAACCAATGAGCCACGATGATTATCGCGTGACGTTTGCTCTTGACCAACTGACTGATATGCTAAAAGGAAACATGATTTTAGAAAAAAATGTTCAGCAATTTTTAGTTACAATTGACACATTGTCACAAATGTTGGGAGATGGGGTGGCCTGGGGGTTACATATCAAACTGCTAATATAATTATTTTTTGCACTTTCCTCCCTTCGCCTGAAATACACAAAAAAATTATGCCTGTTCTCCAGCCTACTTCACTATTACAGTGCCTCTCTACACCCACTGACAATTTGTCAGAGAAACCTTAAAAATGCTGAAATTACTTTAAGCTGATGAAAGCTACAGCAGTACAGGTCCTGTTAGGCTTGTATGATGTTACACTGTTGCATTAGAATCCTTTAACTCTCAGAAGTGACTAACATAAAACTTCTCCCTACAATATTCATACATTATTCAGCAAACAGGTGATGAGAATATTCAAACTTATCAGCTAGAAGCTGCTATCTTGATCTAGCACCAAGTTCTCATAACTAATTTACAAGGAAATGTGTAGCAGCTAGAGGGGAGAATTTACAATCAGATCTTGGGAGTTAAAGGATTAAAACCATACCATCTGGGATATGCAAAAGTACACTAACCGTTATTTTATTCTTGGCAAGGACTGCAGCAGTGCTCAGGACAGAGACAGTTAAAGTGATGTATGGGTAAGAATAATCTATTGAAAATAAAAGAATGGAAAGTATAATGAATATGTTATATAGAGTGTCAAGGTTTTCTCATCAAGACTAAATAACTTGATGCCTCATCATAAACAAAACAGAACAAAAACACTTACAAATGATTCCACCAAATAAGGCATGCAACACTGCAAGGGATGGTAAGAAGTACATGGCAGCATACGTAGAATCTCGCCCCTGGCCATCACAGAACTGGTGTGAAATAATGGGCCGGAACAAAAACAGGAGCCCAACAGAGAGTGCATAATACATGAGCACTATGGTGTACCTGACACAGGAGACCCAAACATTAAAAAGCTGAAAAACGTACAGAAATTCACCAGAAATGTCTACTTCTGGTCTCACAGAATATACCTGATCTACATTCAATGATAACCTGGACCGAGGCACCCTTTATCAATATGTCCCATGTGCTTTAAGAGATTGCAATGCAAACATTTTGTTATCTGCCTGTTGAGGACATTCATTGCAGACAATTCATCATTCAATGCCTTCATAGAAAACAAATGACTAATGATAATCATCAGGCCATAAAATAAACTTCCTCAACAATGTCCTCAACATCACACATTTTGTACTTCCCTATTTCCTTGCCAAACCAGATACTCCCCTATAAGGTTTATTGTAAATTTCAGTACATTTTAATGGACAAAATTATATTAAAAAATCTTTTTCAGTAGGAGCTTTTCATAATGATAATAATCAATTCTTCACCAAACCACCTTTTTTGTTGCTACTTACAAAGGATAAACAGCTTCCTGTGTGCAATGAATGGTGTTGACATAATCAGGTTTGGGATTAAAGAATATTGTATACCAGTCTGCAATTTGTTTTGTCTTGCATGAGGTCAAACTTAGGCTGCCTATATGTTTAAAGACAAAACAAGTTTAATTTATCCACATAAACACTAATCTTTGGAAAAGAGACCAGTAAATGTAGAACAATGTATACTGCTTAAAGTTAAAGTCAGACAAAAGACATCTCTTTCCTGTGTTGTTCATTTTGTTTTTCCCTCAAAGGATAACAAGTCCTTCTCAAGTGGGAGATGTTCTGGCCTATCAGTTCACATGCTGGACTCCAGGGGCCAGTTGAATAAAGGGTGGACAACACTATCCCATGATAAATCACTATCCCACAGATAAGTGATAGCAAAACATATAGTGTAATCCACTGTGCAGAGATTTAGCCAATGGATAGCAATATCCAACCCTCAAACAACTGGGGCCAGGTCAAGAGGTTTGATTAAAGTTCAGGGAACCTCACTGTGTTGTGCTCATGAGCAAGATACTTAACTCTCACCATGCCCCTCTCTGCCCATGACATAGTCCCCAGAAAACAGAAGTTGCCATAGAACTATACATGTTGCAGGTTAACCCTTTAACTTCTATGAGTGACTGAGACAGAATTTCTCCTTACTGCACAATATCAATACATTATCAAGCAGACAAGCAAGGAGAATCGAGAGAAATATCAATAAGGGGATTATTAGTCGATGCAAACCCCAAATTCTCCCAACTATCATCACAAGAATTGAATGGGAAACAGTAAGGAGAATAACTAGTGAGATCTTAGGAGTGAAAGGGTTAAAATGGGATTGGGGTTGAAATGATTTCAAACCACATGGAAGGTCAATTTATAATTTTTGCTGCTTAAGAAAACTGATGATATATCTTGCTTAAACAAAGATAAAAAGTAAATGCATAGAGCATCATTACAACATAACACAATTGAGATAAAATACAATGCAGTAACAACATATTAAACATACTGCAAAAGTAGTGATTGATTAAAGCATTTAACCTCAATGTAATCTACAGGTAAGCAGTCATATCCAATTGTGGCATTGTCTATGTGTTGCATGGGAACAAAAAATTAAAAAAAGACCCTTTAAATGTTTCATACATGTTTGCAGCATCTGCTAACCCTTTAACTCCCATGAGTGACCAAGACAGAATTTTCCTCACAATATCAATATAACATCAACCAGAAAAGTGATGAGAATAAAGAAAAATATCAATTTGGGGATAATTAATTGATCCAATACTAAATTTTCAGAACTAACATTATAAGAATTGTATGGTTGACAGTAAGGAGAATTACAAATTTGATCTGGGAGTTAAAGGGTTAAGGTTCTACACTAACCTTGAGGTTTACTGACAAGAAGAGAAAAAATGGCAGCTAAAGTACTTTCAACAAAAGCACTCACGCAGAGAAGCAAGATGCTGCAAAATAGTCATAAAAATAAAATTGAGAAATCAATTGCATTCAAAGTACTGGTGAAAAAAAATTTAGATTAAAAATCTCCCAACAACATCAGTCACACAAAACTCTGAACTTGAAGCACCTAAATAGAAGCATGACTGAATATTAATAAAGTTTCATTTGAAGTTACCTTTTTCTATCTCTTTTGGCAAACAAGTCAATGAAGAACCAATGAATTATCAAAGACAAGAATGCCATAAAACCCAAGTACAACCAGTCATATAAATCAGGAGATGATGAGCATTCCAAGCATACCGTGCCATTGGTATTATAACCTCTTGGGCAAGCCTAAAATGGAAAGATTTTTATATTATTAATAACCTTTATTTTAAGAGGGTGACACCAATTACTTTGAAAAGTATTCTCCCTTGTGGCCCTCTAAAAACAAAATTGATAACAATAAATTACAACAATAATGATAAAAAGCCTATTTACAAATAGTAATTAAAATAAAAGATCTTAAAAAAAAATTCTTATTTTCTCCCTTCCTAGTGATCCTCTGAAAACAAAGTTGATGATAATAAAATTAAAACAATCAAGATAAAAACCTATTTACTACTGATTACTTATACAATCAACCCTGATATTTTAATAGGAAAAAACGAAAATTTGAAAATCCCAAGCCAGAGGTGAATAATCTTATGTTCTCCCAACTTTTCTTGACAGTGAGTTGTTACACTCCTGATCTATGAGGATGAGAGCAATCACTGCAGTTATGTACACTACTTAAGCAGTAGTGAAAAGAAAGCCTGAAAAATTCAGGCTTGTATGCGAGTTGAACCCATGACCTCTGCAATACTGGTGCAATGCTTTAACAACTGAACCTATAAGCCAAGTTGGAGCTGGTCATTTTGATGGTTCGTAATAAACTTGAAAGTGATAAATAAATGATTGTGAATTTATGGATATCATACATCTGAACTGCCGTTCAATACACAGAGAAATCTGTTAGAAAGTGAAGCCTTTTGCTTTATTAGAACTTGCAATAGACTGGAATCCTTTACAGTGGAGAAGCAGTGCAAAATGATATGCATTCCAATAAAAAAAAACTACATGATGTAGGAATGACATTGTTTTGACGTTGATATACTCAAAAAAGATTTTTCATATTTGCCACATTTAGAGAAGCATACATTTGAACGGTATTTTGGATTTAATTCAAGCTTAGCAACTAGCTTACTATTGGACTGTAATAAAGACATGTAGCGTCTGCATTCTCGAGAAATTTTTAAAAATTTGTTGCTTATTAAAGAATCGCATTACTTACTCCGCAGTCTCCAGGTTTTCCATCCTCTTTAATTACCCTTCCACAGTATTTCCCAGGGCATGGTTCAAATGCACCTACAATAATATTATAAAACAGCTGTATGTTTTCACCGCCGATATTATAAGTTAAATGTAATAAACATAACATTTAATTTTGATCGATTCTCCGAGAGAAGGGAAAGAAATCTAGTGTAAACTTTTGAGAAAACCATTACTTAGTTTGGATGTGATGATATCATGATTTGTTCGCCATGTTTAAACTATCTAAGAATTCCTTACCGTTTATGCCCCCTTGTAGTGGCAAAAACCAAGTGAATGACAATAGAAGAGAAAGGAAACGTCTTTCACTCATGCTAAAATACATTGAGTCCACTTCAAACTACATCTTTTTCAGCCCTTTGATTCCCACCTTTGACAATAGAACTATAGAGGTTATTTCTGAAGTCTTAAAGGTCGAAACTATCCTAAACAAGTCTGCGGTGGAATCGGCCAAAATCAACCTCGGACATCTCCAAAGAACATAGTCGCCATTACAAGGGCTTTGTAACCCAGCCTCTTTTCGCGAGAGCGCGCGATCCGCGCGAAAGTTTCATTACGGTTAATCTGCGTTAAGTCGATTTTCAACCAACTGCTATTCAAGTGGGGTTTGTCATCTGATATAAAATATGATCAGCAAAGAATTGAAACCACTGTATCAAATGACAAGCCCAGAATACCTGCATGATACGTGTTGAGAAAGACAAAGCCAAGGTCGACTTAGGTAAGATTCCCGATCCTCTGTGCTTCTACCCCGTATTTTTGAAAGTTGATTGTAGCACTTCAAAGGAAGAGGAATCAAATGCAAAGGTAAGATTTCAATTTTAGTTACAATGTGATGTTTTGATCATTCTTTCGCTAAATTTCTCTTTGATCTGGATCACTGGTTCACGTAACAAACCTCCCACTTACAACAACCCCACAACAAGTCCCGGAAATTGCATTTGTCACCATACACGTTGATGACTTTTAGCCTTCAGATATGAAAAATATAATTCGCTTTGGGTCAAGCCAGAGAGGGATCACGGAAACGCCTTTACCGTGCGCTCTTGCGGATCGCAAGTAGTTAGAGATAGCCTGTTGCGTAGATAACATAAATCTTGGGTTATGTCTACTCTTATACGAAATTTTATTCCTTTTTTATCATTTTATTAATCTTAACACTGCTTAATGCAGCAGCGCTTGCTACGTGCAAGAAAAATGAAAAGTCTAAGCGACCGTTTATAGTCTGTGATGAAATAGTTATTGTTTACCTGCCGTGTAATTTTTCCTGGGCGCTGTTCGTACGTAATTAGCGTTTCCCTTTCTTTACACAACCTTCGTGGAAGAACGAACGGCAAATATGTAGAATTAAACATAAATTGGGTATTATGGATCAAGATTTGAACGCAAAGAGGAGGCTGTATCTCCGACATCATACAGGATTTAAAATATCACAGATCTATTTCTACTGCATGACAACATTTTATAGATTTGTGTTGTGCTCATGCTATGTACGCACTCTTTCCTTCGAAAAGGTAATGAACAAAAAAAAAAAAAGAGGAAACCAACGTGGCTTTGTCGTCAGTGGAAACTTACGCGCGAGCTGGCATGTTAAGCCCGAATTTATGAACACGTCACGCTCAAAGTGGGTTATAGCGTGACACATGGTCCGGCTAAAACACGCTAAATGAAACTGAAAGAAATCTCGAAAATTAAAGCAGTTGGGGAAAGAATTGATGACGGTAACTTCAAAACACGTCAACAACTTTTGTGGGGGACTTATCAGAAATCGTGTGAGTTTGATGTCGATCAGCAAAGCTACTATTGACACTTTGAAATTTCAGAGGGGTACAGAGGTTATAGGCGCCTCACATAACATATGCTCAACTTTTCCGGGCTTTCTGAGAAGGGAAGTGTTTTGAGTCAATCCCGTGATTTATTGCCCGTGATATATTGTTTGTAAAATAAACAGAGTAGCAGATAAAAAAATAAGGTATTTCTTTTTTTCCTCAAATTTTATCTCTTAGATTGGAAATGAGGATCTTTACACTATCCATGTGACATCACGAGTGCGTCGTGCGTCACCGGCCAACTACTGGACAACAGAACAGGAAGTCGAACCGATGGGAGGGGAAAAAACCGCAAAGGTATTTTGAGGAGACTGGATATAAAGAGCTTTCCTTGAAAGCTGTGTATAATTTGAATAAGTGAGAGTCCTCAGAGGTAAGCGCAGTTTATCATTGTTTTTTTTTTTATAATTTTCTCTAAGTATCCTTTTCAGGAATGTGCTACGCACCGATGGAAGTGTTTCTCTCCTGAATCGAAATTGAAAGTTGAATATCTGAGAAAGATAACTTTATAAATATTTTGTAAGAATTTGATCTTTTAACTCTTGCGTCAATTCTCTTTATCATCCCGGAGAGGTTTGAAGCAATTCAAATGGAAAACATTCAATTTACGATCTTGTTTACTTGATTCACTTGAATGATTATTGATTGTACCTAAGGTCAAGATGGCTCAATGTTTGCTGAGATCTATTCAACGTTTCGTATGGTGTAGGGCTAAACAAGTCGTTGCGTTTATCAAACAAACTTTGTCAATATTGGATTCATCATAGTGTACGAAGATTACACGAAAGAATTGCGCTTTTTTTCGAAATGAAATGACGAAACTCATTTTGGTTTCTCTGCTTTGAATGTCTTAAGACGAACTATTGCAGTTTAACATCAGTCACAGTCAAAATTCCTTAACAAGCATTGAATTTTTTTCTCTCGCTCAGAGATCCAATTAACAAAAACCAGACCGCACTATTATAGAATGGGAGCTGAGCATTTTGAACTTGATCGGCTTTTATTCACCTGTAAAGTTTTCCAATTTGTGACTTTACGACACAGTAGTAATCTTGGATGGCTGATGCAATTGGTAGAATCACGGAAACATTAAAAATTCCGCTTTCATGATGAAAGATTGGATTTCCGTCCATTTGACAAGCGGGACGCGTGACATGTAACGCAACGTTGTTATTCAGGTCTAAACCGAGGAGCTATCCTATGCTCGAATTAGCATTTATAAATTTGATTTTTATTCTTTTAATTTTTTATTTGTTTCTGTTTGATCAATTCTGCTGATGAGTAAATAACCAGATCGAGAAATGAGCATAACTTATCTCGTAAATAAGAACGGAAATATGCAATATATATTAAGCTGAGATATATCTAATTGGAATTGTCCCATCTATTTTCAAGATTTTCTAGGGAATTACCACATCATGCCAGAGGAAAAGACCGGCCTTGCTTTCTCCGGTGGTGGAATTCGCTCTGCTGCATTGAGCTCCGGTGTGTTACGAAGGCTTCTACATCGTAAAGTTAAAATTGATTACGTTAGCTGCGTTTCCGGAGGAAATTACACAGCCGCCGCCTACGTGGATTGGAAATACAGAAACAACAAAGAGGATGATCCGAAATGGCATAATAAATTTTTTGAACACATGCGAAGCAGAGTTGGTTACATTTGCAGTTGGAAAAATCCATTGCAAGGCATTTTAGAGAGCATCATACTGGTTTTCCTGCTGATCACAGTCAATCTTCTTATCCCCTGCATCATCTACAGCGCCGGTGCTGTTCCATCTGCCTACGTCATCGATTACCTGCTTGGCACGGTCATGCGCAAAGGCTTTAACTGCACCGATGTCCCACAAATTTCAAAAGGACTGAACAATTCAAGGAAACGTTGCACTCAACAATTCGAAATCGACGAGCCAGAGATGCGCAAGCCAGTTTACCTGTTCTTTTTTCTTTTCCTTGCATTCTTTGTGTCCCACGTCATCAAGACTATCGCTCCATTAAGACTTCGCTCGATTTCCCGTTACTTCAAGATTTTGTCCGGGTCGCTGCTTGCTTTAACGTACATTCCCTGGTTGATGGAGCAGTTTACTGAGGTTCTTCCCGATTGGCTTTATACGCTAGTAATCGTGCTGAGCATCTTTTTCTGGCTTGGATTTCCACCCTTACGAGGCAAGGCATCCTTAGCACTAGTGGCGTACGTTTATGCATCCGTTGTGAGATGGCGAGTGTATGAGACCAGTGTTATAGGTATCGAGTATGAGGAGAAACTTTTTTACAATCTTCTCCTCGTTTCTGGATTTTGCTTATGGTTGAATCCTTTCGTTGGAATGTTCAGCTCCACGGCAATTTTTACATACTACAAGTAAGTAGTGCTAACTTCTCAATCAATTCAAGAGGTAGCTGTTGTGTTGTCATCTACGAACGGAGATCAAGTAGGTTTATGCCAAGGATCGAACAATCCTCATTTTAACGTTATCACGCTTCTAACCATTTATTTACAGACAAGAAGAGGAGCATAGTTCAATGGAGGCAGAGTTACTGCGCACACTCGAATGATTTCAAAAAGCCTCTTTCAATCTTATACCTCATTCACACTAAACCTTAAATGTGTTTTAAACTTTTTTTGTTAAACACAGTTCTATAAATTTGTTACTTCACAGAAGCTGCTTAAACCGATGTTTGTCGACTTTAAATGTAGCTCACTGAAAACAAAAGTTAGCGATTACTTGAATCCTATGGAAACTCAGTTTTTAGTTCTCTGTTTCTAATTTGGGCAACTGCCCACCTACCCCTCCCCTAACCCAACAACAGTCTATTGATAACAAGTTAGGGTTAATGTTGGGTTAGGGGAGGGGTAGGTGGGCAGTTGCCCAGATACTGATATTGGTCCTTTTCATTTAGTTAAACCCGGTTCAACTAAAAATATTTTGCGTGAATGGGGTAATAGAGCGAAGTTCTTTTCAATTTCAGGTGGAGACTGCAGCGAGCGTTTTTTACGAAGAAAAGCGTTGGTTTACTTGGCTGTAACGGAATCAGTTGCCGAGACTTCTTCCCGATACTGTCCTGCTATAGCCCCGAGGAGCACGACCCAGCCAAAGAACCTCTAGTCATGGATGACCTAAAGCAAGTCAAACCGCAATACATCAGTAACGTGGCAGTGGATTATTGGCGCAAGAAACCGATCCTAAAAGAGCCTTCCTACGCCATCATGGCACTGTCACCGACTGAGAATGAACGAATCGACCATCAGCCGGGGGAACCTAGTGTGGAGGACAAATTGTATCCAAAATACGTCAATCAGACGGATGCCATGGTAACCTCTGCTGCTGTGATGGCACTGAGTCCGGAGCAGGAGGAGCCGTTCAGAGATCTACAGATGCTTTTGGGATTAACCCTCCGAAAAGGAATCAGGAGTAATCCGAATGAGTCTTTCGGATTAGCTTCAAAGGTGGGTTGCAATGTGAAACCTAACTTTAGGAAAACGATAAAACGATATGAGAGGCGAATGCATTCGCGGCAGGCGGACAGGCGACAGGCGTCAGGCTGCAGGCTGCAGGCGGCAGGCGGTAGGCGACGGGCGGTGGGCAGTAGGCGGCAGGTAGTAGACGGCAGGCAGCGGGCAACAGGCGGTAAGCAGCAAGCAGCAGGCGGTAGGCGGCAGGCGGCAGGCGGCGGTTGGCAGGTGGTGGGTGGCCGGCGGCGGGTGGTTAAACGGACGACTCGTGGCGATAACAAAATAAGCTCTCCACTGACCATCGACAAGTTTCTATTTCCGATCGTTTTTATTCCGTTGTCTCATTGTGTCGTCTGGCGTTTTTGTTTCAGATTTTAGCGGTTTTAATCCAGAGCATCGCAGCCCTCCCGATAATATTGCTTGCAGCCATCTGGCATTCTCCTTGGGACATGAAGAATGCTGAGAGAGCCGCTATTGCTTCGTTCGTGGTCTATTTTATAATTTTTTTCGGAATTGCCTTGTTGCAAACTGGCCGTGAAACACCATGCTTCCTCGACAACTTTGCAAGGTGAGAAATTTGAGAGTTCTACCTTATCAGTGTGTGTCCGTACAGAATGGAAAATCTATGCTTCAGTTGAGCGCTTGGCAATTGCCGGAATGTCATATAAAAAGTCTAAGATAATTACGACTGACAATCAGAGCTGAACAAAGGAAACGTAACGGTCTGATTTACGTTTTACATCTGATTGTGCGGGAAAGAGCTTTGAGTTTATTATAACAATCATAGCACACAATGAAAAAAAATTGTTCTTAATCCTGGATTACTTACAACATTTGATTTTAAATTGCTCTAACGATGGTTAATTTTTCGAAAAGCCTGTCATTAGGTTATTTTTTGTCATTAATTGCGCTCCGAAAATGCCGCGATAGTTTTTGTCTTCTTAAACAAACGTATTTTCTGAAAGCTTTATCTTCGATCAAACCTTTTGGCGCACTTCACAGCTTTTATTACTTTTAGTGACCTTGATCTTTTGTTTCCTACAGATGGTGTCACGTACATTTATATCATGTTCGAATGTTGCGTGAGTTATTTCAAGTGAACAACGTCGGCCCCAGGCCCCCAGCACTGCTATCTCTCAGTGATGGTGGTCGCCTGGAGAAATTTGGTTTGCTACCACTACTGAAGAAAAGACTTAAGCGGATTTTAATCGTGGATGGAAGTTTCATAGTGAACGATGAAGACTACGCCAAACAGATCCTGAAATCGATGGATCAAGCCAGAAAGGTCCTGAATTGTGAGTTTGTGGGATTTGGTGGCCGTGATGTGAAGGAGGAGATGCGCAAAACGTACGTTGATGTACCTCGAGGTCGCCAGCCAAGATATCATAGATTTAAGGTTCAGTATTACGACAAAAAACCCGATGAAAGCTACGAGAAAGTGAGTGAAGGCGACATAATGATCATCGCACCTCGTTACCCCAAGTATGGAAAACCATCTCTAGATTTGGAAAATAATTGGGATCAGTACCACCAAGATACCGGAGAGCGACTTGACGAAAAAGAGTGGGGTAAAGGGCCTGTTCTCAGCGAAGATGAAGTTGACCGCTTGACGTTCTGCTGCTGTGAATGTTGTCACTCAAACTCCAAAGTCCTTCAGTGGATATCTAAAAAGCTTTGTTTGGGATTCCCAAGTACGTCAACTGTCAATCAATTCTTTACGTCTTCACTCTATACAGCTTATCACCGCGAGGGGTATCGCGCATGCGTAGAATCTGGTGCCGAGGAATTTCTTAAGGAGTGTGATGCCACTGAACTCGCAGATATTGTGTAATGAAGAAGAACGCACCGTCCCACTACAGAGAATGAAAATAGTAAGGGACTGCGCATGTTCTTTTATTGTACCCTCTGAATAGAAATTGGCAGAAATTGATTTAAAAAGAAAATTTCTATAAACGAGGGTTTATTGGTGGGAAAACAAAAGAAATGTTTTATTATTGCAAAATTGCTTAGAAAAAAATTACCGTTTAATGACCATGAAAGATTGGGTCGGGAGGGTGAATGAGACAATCTTTGAGAATAAAGGATTCCATTGAATCTTCATTGAGGTAACAGAATTCCCTATAATTTACAAAGTTTCAAAACCTCAAAATTTTTATATAATATATGTAATGCTAGTTTATTTTAGCGAGAAAAAAAATGCCTGTAAGAGGCATCATTCAGCCGTTTATTATGGTTTATAATAAAGTTTGGATATAACGTGCTCTGTCATCGGTTGAAAGAGCGTGTTCTGTCCGAGTGTAAAATGCGAAGCTGAGTTAAAGCTGTCACGCCATATGCCAAATAGTACTATGTCCGACCAATTCCCGGATTTCTCTCTAGCCTTTTTTCGTTAATTGAAAGTGACATTTTCACCAAAAAAAATTGAATAAAGAAATTGAAAGGGAGTTTATTAGAATGCTACAGCGCCTTAGAAGGGATCAGGTAAATTTTATTGTGACAGAACCAAAATCCTTCGCTTCCCGCCCCGCCCCCCCCTCCCTTGCAAGACGATCACTAATGACCGCTTCCCAGCTTGATTGTAGATGAACCTACATCTTTTACAGTCCTTTGAATCCTACCCGACTTTCAAATCAGACCTTTAAAAGGACGTTCTGTGGAGTACATATAGATTTAAACATTCCGTAAAAGTCTACAGTCTCCGCGCTGGAGATCTTAGAAGCTTGAATTGCTTTTCTGACTTGGCGGAAAATAGTCATGTGATCGTAGGGATTAACCGCGAGTTAAAGAAAAGACATGTTAAGATGATGTCACATGTTACCAAAATATTCGGTCATCAATAAGTGCAGACCCCTTGCAGCACCTAATTGTCAAGAAGTTGCGAGTTGAAGATACTGAAGCCTACCAGGAGATGATTAGAATGAACTGCAAGACATTCTGAGGAATTTTTACGGCTACTTAATTCATTTTACCCTTTGCCATTTCGGTTTGAGCCCAGTTTTGGCAAAACTGCTGCCCGAAAAACTATCATTCACTATCATCCGCTCGTGCAAACGGCAAAAACTATCGTCAACCGGACTATCATGTCGAATTTGAAAATGTCCAAACTGCATGATAGTTGAAAGTAGTTGATGATAGAGCATGATAGTTCGTGTTCAAATACGCGTGATAGTTGAAACTATCATTAACCACTATGACAGTTTGAACGGGGCATAACTTATGGTTTAACAACACGAGGACGAGCTCGTACTTATACCTTGACAATCTTCTTTGGTAACAGAAAGAAGCTCTTCTTCTTCGCCACTTGATCCAAGAACGCTTGCAATTTTGTGGTGTGTATTTCCTCTAAAATTTTCTTAGAAGGAATCTTAAGCTTATGATAATGAGGACAAAACCGCATGCTTGTGTTTCTTCATGCACGATGTCCGTCACGACAATACATTACATGGCATTGATTGTTCCTATAGTATGCGTACTTGGCATATCATCAAACAACGTTTGTACCAAAGATTCCCGATCGTCGATTCAACTCGATCAACTCTTTCGCCAGATTGAGAGCAAAACTACGAAATGAAATGTCAGTAGAACTGAGAAACCTCACAAAAATCCGCGATTTTAAATGAAAAATCAGACGGTAACTCTTCGCCATTTTAAACTATGTATAACCTGATTGTTCCATACATTTCGAGAAGAGTGTAGTGTGTCAATAATCTTATTATATCCTATGTTATCTATTTGTCCAATATTTTGACTCGCATTGATTCGGTTATTAATCTGTGTTTATCAACTATTGTTACTCAAATAAGTGTAAAATAAATACCTATTAATTTGCGTTTCATGTTTAAAAGTAAGTGGTTAAACATGGCTACCTGTCATTGTTATGATATAAATAATCATTTAATTGAATGACACGTCATACCTCGAAAGTGAAAGTAGTCAGGGAAAGATCTAGAACTGATGATATTGAGTAATTTCTCGATACATAAATGAAAGAGTTGTGGCTAGAAAAGCAGTGATAGCATTGGTTAAACATGGCTACCTGCCACTGTTATGATTTTGAATAATCTTCAATTAATTAATAAAAAGAGCGCTAAACACACAGGCTTATTACTCGATTAGCACAGTTTGACGGATCATCTTCTCGGAAAACATATGTGCAGATTACGTAAAGAGGGGCGGAAGTGTTTTGTGGGGGAAACCCCCCGCCCACTGTGAAATCTAACGATAGATTCATTAGACGTTCAGAAGAGTTAAGAGTGTTCATTTGCTACGTTAATCAGAGAGGTAAGTGAAGTTTGCATCTGCTGTTTGAGGATTTTTACATTTTTAGAAAATGTTTTGTTATGGACGTACAATCTTCATAAAGACATGGCCATCTTATCAGGCTAAGCTATCGTTTGAAAGTAACTGTACATAAAAACTTGGTTAATACTTTGAAAGTATCTTAACGAATCTAAAATTCTCTTGATTTTTCGTGATCGCCTAAAAGAGGTTTAATGAACTTTATATGACAAAAAAAATCGATTTGGGATATCATTTACTCGATGAACCTGCCTTTTTGACGATGCTTGATAACTTGAATGTTTGATAAGTTCTCGAGCGGATGTATTATATTTGAAGTGAGGTAACACGAATATCCATTTTTACCGAACAAACTTGTTTAATGGAGGATTTATTGCATGGTACGAAAACCACGCACGAATTTCGCAAAATATTTTAGTAAAATTCTTTTTAGTTTACATTGTGTTGACTGCCTCGTACGAAGTGCTGCTATGTTGAACCTCAATTGCTGAAAAAGTCATAAAACATCTGGAAAACTCTCTGGTCTCTCTTTCCGCGCTCGGGTGTCTGATTAGAACATTTTCATTCTTTCATTGTAATTTGCTTTCTCCAGTTTCATGCGAAGGGAAAAGCGCAACCAGCCGCAACATTATGTATAACCTTAATGTTCCATACATTTCGAGTAGAGCCGAAATGTGTCAATAATCTTATTATAATTCATGTAATCTATTTGTCTGACACTTTTATTAACATTGATTCATTAATTAATCTGTGTTTATCAACTCGTTTTACACAAATAAGTGTAAATAAGCTTACTGTGTACAGGTGTCTTGAGATATCAGTTTGTAATTCGTCATCGAATACCTATCAATTTGCGTTTTATGTTTGAAAGTAAGTGATTTAAACATGGTTCGCCTTAATTTGTCTCTTAAGAATACCTGCCATTGTTGTGATTTTGAATAATCAATAGCTCGAAAGTGAAAGCGGTCAGGGAAAGACTTGATGATAATGAGTAATTTCTCGAAACATGAATGAAAAAGTTGTGGCTAGAGAAGCAGTGGTAGACGATTTTGTGTATGTGATTTTTTGGCGGTGGAGCCACAAGAAGTTTGAAAAGGAAAAAATGGAAGAAATGGTAAATACTTCTGCACTCGAATCTCTACAGCTATTTTCTTTTAGCGACCAAAAGACCGCTAAACATATAAACCTATTAGGCGATTAGCACAGCTTCACTGATAATTCTTCCGGAAGACATATGCAAACATTAAAGAGGGACTTCCTTTCTGAAAATGAAAGTGTTTTGTGGGGTAAACCCCCGCCCACTGTCAGCTCATTTAAGACTGAGATATTTGAAAAAGGTATAGTTCAGTGGAGTTAGGAATTGTTTGTTTGCTACTTTAAGCGGAGAGGTAAGTAAAGTTTGCGTCTGCTGTTTGAGGATATATACATTTTTCGAAAATATTTTGTTATGGACGTACAATCTTCATAAAGACATGGTCTTCATATCAGGCTAAGCTATCGTTTGAAAGTGACCGCACTTAAAAGGTCGGTTAATACTTTGTAAGTATCTTGGAACTGTCTTGATTTTTCGTGATCGCTTAAAAGAAGTTTAATGAACTTTATATAACAAAAAAAATCGATTTGGGATGTCATTTACTCGATGAACCTGCCTTTTTGACGATGCGTAAAGTCAGGATTGCCCAACTTGAATGTTTGATAAGTTCTCGAGCGGATGTATTATATTTGAAGTGAGGTAACACGAATATCCATCTTCACTGAACAAACTTGTTTCGTAAAGGATTCATTGCATGGCATGAAAACCACGCTCGAATTTCGCAAAATGTTTTGACAAAATTCGTTTTAGTTTACATTGTGTTGACTGCCTCGTACGAAGTGCTGCTATGTTGAACCTAAATTACTGTAAAAGTCATAAAACTTCTCTTTTTCCTCGCTCGGGTGTCCAATCAGAAAATTTCCTTTCTTTCATTGTAATTTGCTATCTCCACTTTCATGCGAAGGGAAAAGCACAACCAGCTTTATCATTGATTTGAGTTTAGTCAGCTTTTATTAGTTTCTTGCCGGAAAGGCGGTTTCCCAAAAATTATGGCAATTTCCTGTTTGCAAATGAGACCTCATTAGGGGGATACGTGACATGTAACACAACTTTCAATAAGTAGCAAGACACGTGACATGTAACACGACTGTTGATAAGTACTTGGAAACTCGGGTATAGACGCTGGAACTCTCTTATAATTAAAACAGCAAGCCTTCAGCTTCCATACTATTATTGATCTCTTTACATATCTATCAATGAGCATTTTTAAATTTGTTTTACCTGCTCCAGTTATGAGAAAACAGAAATTATAGGAATGGTTATCTATTAACCTGCAATTCAGGCGGAAATGTGCAATTTCTACTACAGTGAGGAGTACTACGGGATTATAATTGGAATTGTTCTTTTCATTTTCAAGAATTTCCAGGGAATTATTACAGCATCAGAAATAACCAGAGATAGAGATGGCACAGATAGACATTCCAGAGGAAGAGATTGGCGTTGCATTGTCTGGTGGTGGAATTCGCTCTGCTGCATTGAGCTCAGGTGTGTTGCGAAGGCTTCTACATCGTGAAGTTAAATTTGGTTACGTGAGCTGCGTCTCCGGAGGAAATTACACAGCCGCTGCCTACTTGGACTGGAAATACAGACACGAAAAAACGGACGATCCGGATTGGCATAAAAAATTTTTTGAGCACATGCGAAGCAGAGCTGGTTACTTATGCAACTGGAAAAATCCATTACAAGGCATTTTAGAGAGCATCATACTGGTTTTTCTGGTGATCACAGTCAATCTCCTCATACCCTGCATCATCTATAGCGCTGGCGCTATTCCATCTGCCTACGTCATCGATTACGTGCTTGGCGCGGTCATGCGCAAAGGTTTCAATTGCAGTGATGTCCCTCAAACTTCAAAAGGACTGAACACTTCAGAGAGACATTGCACTCAACAATTCGAGATCGGTCATCCAGAGGTGCGCGAGCAGTTTTACTTGTTCTCTTGCCTATTCCTCGCATTCTTCGTGTCCTACTTCATCAAGACCATCGTTCCCACGAGACGTCGCTCGATTGCCCGTTACTTCAAGATTTTATCCGGGTTACTGCTTGCTTTGACTTTCTTCCCCTGGTTAATACAACAGTCTACTGGGGTGTTACCCAGCTGGTTGAACGCGCTGATAATCTTCCTTAGCATCTTCTTTTGGCTGGGATTTCCACCATTAAGAGGCGAAGTATCCCTAGTACTTATGGTGTACTTTTATGCATTCGTTGTGAAGTGGCGAGTGTATGAGACAAGTGTTCTGGGTATCGTGTATGAGGAGCAACTTTTTTACACTCTCCTCTTTTTTTCTGGATTTTTCCTATGGTTAACTCCTTTCGTTGGAATGTTCAGCACTACGGCAGTTTTTGTATACTACAGGTAAATGGCCTAGAAGGCTTGTTATTATCGATCGCCTAAAGGTGGGGGGGGGGGTCGAATAATTTTGTTTGTGTCGCGATAAAATTCATATGATCTACCTGTAATATTCATTCAGGTCCCCCCCCCCCATTGACAGTTAGTTTCATGTAGTCCCCCCTTTACACCCTATTGGTAACAGCAGCTGCAATTTTCCTATTGACTCAATTTCATCTACGAACAGAGATCATTTGGGTCAAGACTAGAATCAAACGTTCGTTAGCCAAACTTAGTCTTCCTAACATTTGTATGTCAGTGGTACAGACATGCAGAAAAACACAAAACAAAGGAGGCAAGATTTCTGTTCGCATTCAAATCATTCCAAAAATCTTTTTGAATCTAAGGTTGTTTTAATTTTCAGGTGGAGGCTACAGCGAGCATTTTTTACGGAGACAAGTGTTGGTCCACTTGGTTGTAAAGGAATCGGTTGCCGAGACTTCTTCCCAATACTGTCGTGTACTCGTCCGGAACGCAACCCAGAAAGAGTAACTCTGATGATGGATGACCTGAAAGAGGTCAAACCGGAGTACATCAGTTGTGTGGCAGTAGACTACTGGCGAAAAGAATGGAAAGAATTGCCCTACGCCGTAATGGCTCTGTCGCCGAATAAAATTGAGCGAATCGACGATCAGCCCGGCAAGTCCAGGGTGTCGGAGGTATTAAAACCAGAAAACGTCAGCGTGGCGGATGCCGTGGTTACTTCTGCCGCGGTTATGACACTAAGTCCGGAGCAGGAGGAGCCGTACAGAGATTTACAAGTTGAGCGAATCGACGATCAGCCCGGCAAGTCCAGGGTGTCGGAGGTATTAAAACCAGAAAACGTCAGCGTGGCGGATGCCATGGTTACTTCTGCCGCTGTTATGACACTAAGTCCGGAGCAGGAGGAGCCGTACAGAGATTTACAAGTTGAGCGAATCGACGATCAGCCCGGCAATTCCAGGGTGTCGGAGGTATTAAAACCAGAAAACGTCAGCGTGGCGGATGCCATGGTTACTTCTGCCGCTGTTATGACACTAAGTCCGGAGCAGGAGGAGCCGTACAGAGATTTACAAGTGCAACTGGGCCTAACCCTCCGGAAGGGTTTCAGCGCGGAGGAAGGAGGAATAGCTTCAAAGGTGGGTGGCACGGAGAGCGAATTTACTTTCTTGAGGAAGCTAACGTATTATAACAAATAGATTCAGTTTTTACGCGCGTCTGTTCAGTAGCAGAGAAGACGTCGAAATGTAGTAAGGGACTACTCATTGTTTATCTACTGGGGTAGTAGGAGTGGAGTATTTTTTGGGGATCACATGATTTCAGGGAGAACAGAAGGGGAATCAGTCGTTGCCAATAGAGTATGAAGAAGAGGGAGAGTATTATGGAAAACTGAAATCTTCGCTTCAAAGCGGAGAATGTGACCTTTAAATAACTATTTGATATATTCGCATCGATAACAATAATAAACATACCAGACCAAACGGGTAAATAGTGCTTTCCGCGCGTGTTGATTGGCAAGTACGGAAGTGATTAGCAAGCAGTTTTCGATCAATTCAAAGCTTCAACAACTCCCTGAGAAACCCATGGGCATTTGACTGTCATCCGTGCCCAAGGAGGGGGAGGGGGTTGAAGAATTCGAGCCTTGCCTGGGTGGGGTGGGTAATTCGAACCGAAAGTGTCAAAACTTTCTTATGGATTATACGTTTTTATCTTTTGATATGGAGGCAATGACTTAACTTTCGCAAATGAATGGCTCAGAAGTAAGATGTCTACAAGATCTAGGTTTAAAAATAATTTATAATAAAATCAGTCGGTAGAAAGTTGCGGTGGTCTTTTATAAAAAAAAATTGACTATCAAATCGTGCTCTTGAGTAGGGCATTTGAACACAATTGAGTCCCTGGGGCTGCAGTTTTAACGAATCAATCTTTAAAAGGTCAAATGCTCCGGGAGTTGTTCTATGGGGGAATGTTGAAGCTTCGAATTGATCGACGCATAATGAAATGAGCTTTTGATCAACCTTCGACAACTTTTTCATTTTTGCTCCTTTCCTATTCCCGTATTTCATTGTATTGTGAACGTTTTTTTTTTTTTTCAGATTTTAACGATTTTAATCCAGAGCATCGTAGCCCTCCCGGCGATATTGCTTGCCGTTATCTGGTTTGCTAACTGGGAAATTAATGCCGAGGGTGTGGTCATCGTTTTGTTCGTGGTCATCGCTTTGTTCGTGATATTTTTTGGCATTGCCATGATTCCAACCGGCGTAAATACACCAAACGTCCTTAACCAATTCGCAAGGTAAGAAATTAGATAATTTGGTTCAAATGAGTTTTCGTGTATCGTGTGCGTAGCGGAAAATGTTAGCTTCATCGTTGAGTCTCGTAAATCTAATGTAATTGAGACTGCCAATCAGAACTGGACAAAGGTAAATGCATGCAACACAGAGAGGGAGGGTAGGAGAAGGGAATAAGTCGTGAGAAAATAAGAAGCATCGAGAAGAAACTAATACAATATGAATCTAGGAATCCTTTCACCACTTTGTTAACCCTTTAACGCCCATTATCTCGTTAGTAATTCTCCTTACTGTCTGCCATACAATTCTTATGATGCCAGTTCAGAGAATTTGGTAGGAGATCACCTAGAAAATCCTCAAACTTACATTTTTTTTTACTCTCGTCACCTTTCTGATTGATATTGTAAGGAGAAATTCTGTTTTGGTCACTCATGGGAGTTAAAAGATGCCCTATCACGATCTTCCTTAAGTGAATGTCACCATTATTGATGCCTATTTATCAAGAAAGAGAGACAAAAATCTTGTTTCAGGTAGAGCTCATCAAAAGCTATTCTTAAATTTTGCCAAAAGGTTTCAAACTTTATAAACATTTACCGCCGTTGTTGTTCTATCAAGGTATTTAATTTTTGTCAATGATTGCCCCTGAACAAACGTAATTTGATAAATGTTGGTTTTGATCACCCTTCGCTTCGTTGTAGTTACTTTCCTTGTATTGACTCAGACCTTATATATTATATAGATGGTGTCACGTGCATCTATATCACGTTCGAATGTTGCGCGAGTTCTTTCAAGTCGACAACGTCGGCCCCAGTCCCCCAGCGCTTCTGTCTCTTAGTGATGGAGGTCGCTTGGAGAAATTTGGTTTGCTACCACTACTGAAGAAACAACTTAAGAAAATTTTAATCGTGGATGGAAGTTTCATAAGGAGCGACGAAGATTACGCCAAACAGATCCTGAGATCGCTGGATCAAGCCAGAAAGGAATTACATTGTGAATTTGTGGGATGTACTGGCCGTGATGTGAAGGAGGAGATGCAGAAAGAGTACGTGGACGTACCTCGAGATCCCCCGCCGAGATATTATAAATTCAAGGTTCAGTATTACGACAAACAACCCGATAAAAGCTATGAGAGAGTGAAAGAAGGAGAAATAATGATCATTGCACCTCGTTACCCCATTGGAGAGGAGCGTTCTCCAGATTTGGAGAATAATTGCGCAAATGAAGCTGACCGCTCGACCTTCTACTGTTGTCATTCAATCTCCAAAGTCCTTCAGTGGATATCTAAAAAGCTTTGTTTGGGATACCCACACACGTCAACTGTCGATCAATCTACTCCAGATTTGGAGAATAATTGGGGTCAGTACTACGATGATACGGGAGTGACACTTAACAAAAAAGAGTGGGGTAAAGGGCCTATTCTCAGCACAAATGAAGTTGACCGCTTGACCTTCTGCTGTTGTGAATGTTGTCATTCAAACTCCAAAGTCCTTCAGTGGATATCTAAAAAGCTTTGTTTGGGATTCCCTAGTACGTCAACTGTCAATCAATTCTTTACGTCTTCACTCTATACAGCTTATCACCGCGAGGGATATCGCGCATGCGTAGAATCTGATGCCGAGATATTTCTCACGAAGGGTGAAGCCGAAGGCCCGAGCACTAGTTGCCCTTCGGGAACTGAGTCCGCACTCCCGCACCAAACAGAAGGTCGGACACTTGAGAGCAACCGTGTCGTCACGGGAAGATCAGAGACCGCAACCGAGATAACAGCTGAAAGCGAGAATTTGCCTAATCAAGTTATGTCCTCTGCAGATGGTGTATAATGAGGAAGAACGTATCATCCAGCAATTTAAATTGTAAAATGTACTGAACTGCGGTCTTACCGTGTGTCCTCTTTATTTCTGACTGTTTAACGACAGAAGTGGCGGTGACCAGGAGCTCATTAGTTATAGGCTCCTGCGGTTACTTAAGAGTGCCTCATACCCAGAGCTCTTTCTGCCTGAAAACCAGTAGCCCACTTGGTCACTTGCGCTTCGCGCACGTCACCAGTCGCTTTTGCTTTGAGCTTATTGCTCGCCATACTCGCGAAAGCCTGAGTAATGGGTACATTGGTCTCACCAGGCTTTTGTAGGGAAATTACCGTCATAGGAAATATGATACAAAATAATTTGTTATTATTGTATTTTTTAGACAAGAGTACCTTTTAAAGATCATGAAATTTTGGTTTGGAAGAGAAGTTTGCTAGCTGATTGTTGTATCATATACAAGCGTTTCTAAGCTCAACTATCTAGTTATCTCAAAAGTCTACTAAAGTTTACCAGCGAGACTCACTCATGGCAGACTTGGGACGCTAACGTCAATGTAGAGTGTTCACACGTAAAACGTAAACGGAACAAGGCGGAAGAACTTTCACTCTGACCGTTTGTCAGGCGTAGAATAAATTACCTTTCCCATACGAAAAACAAGTGCACTTAATGCTTGAAAACTCTCTTTAAAAAAAGGATTTCCAAGATCAGCAGCTTTCTCAAAATTATTCCTCTTTATTAATTAATTTCTGCATATTTACAATGATTTCATGGTTTGTAAGAGATTTTCAGTTTTTTTTTAAAGTACTAAGCGATGCAAAAGTTGTTGTAATGCAACCATGATAGCTATTTTGTATTTTCTAAAATGTCTTATATATAAACGTTACGTGAAGATAAATAAGCCCATCAGCAGAGTTAGTTGTTGTCGGCAAAGACCGGCCGTTTAGAGAAGCTTTATAGAGATATTGGGGTAATTTTATTTTTCTGTCGTTTCAGAATTGATATAGTCAGGAGCCCATGGGCTCCTGTACCGTAACATGAGTACAATTTTTAGTGAAAGTTACCATGCAGCTGTATTAATATATTATTTTAAGAACATTTAATTCAATAAAATGGGCGTTTAAAATAGTATGAGCCTTTATCGAATGTAATATGACAGCTACAGTTTCGGTTTGATAATGACAAAAAGGCCAATTAAGTAAGTGCGGATCATATTTGACGCTTCCCAATAAGTTTACTCCTTGATTACTCCGATTCCTCATCAAATGAACCTCTGAAATGGTCACCAAATTAAGGGTGACAAGTGTTTAACTCGTACATATATTCATTCATCCATCCTTAATTTCGTCCAATTTCAGTACGCAAGTTCGCTTACAGTCATTCCGATTCTAATCAACTAAGCACATGATATAAAGATTAAGAAGACTCCATGGAGTACAAATATTAAGTAATGATATGTAACGTGACAATTTTATTGGATGGTGAATAACCAATTCTACGTGATGATAACTTCCCAAATATTACTGATTTGCCTAAGAATTGAGAAAGGCTGATGATACATTCTTCTGATTGTTTTCGTTTCGATTTGAGATTGGGGAAACAGTGCTTTTGCCCAGTATCCTTTCTGCGTGACGTGTTTGTGATTTTGCGTGACATGTCACGAGGGAAATTTCCCTGCAAAGAATCATGGAAAACTTTGACGTGTCAACGCATGCGCAGAATATTAACCGAAAACAAACTTGTTGTGCAGTCTTACTGCTAAGGTACAAGATAATTTGGCGTATAAATCAAAAATCTCTTTTAATGACAGACTGTTTGGTTATTACAAATAGAATATAGATATTTTATTGCAATGCTACCGGAGCCTGCAAATTCGTCTTATCATTCGCCCTCAAAGAAGCGTTCGCGATGTATGTCGACCTCGATGCAGTACAAGTTTCTTCGTCGGATCTTAAAATATCGGCATATGGATTTTGAATTTGCCCTGTGGCAGATGCTCTACCTTTGCGTATCACCAAGAAAAGTGTAAGTATGTTGTTATTTCTTCCATGATTTCAACATACGGGGCGAAATTCTTGACTTGCCAGCTTTTAAGGTTGCCACGCTTGTATAATTGGCTGTGTCAGCTTGACGTGTCTGCCAGAAAGCGAGACCTTATAAACATAGTACCGTATATTTTACCTGCGAAAGCTTATGCTCAATTGAGAACACATAATTTTTTTTTTCTAAAACATGCGAGTTTGTATTCATGAATGACTTTGATGAGCTGTTCACCTGATGTGACGGTTGAAACCAGTTCATTTTAATTGGTGTGAAAGTTAAGATATACGTTCTCGAAATGAAACTTTTTCCTCTTGTTGATTCTTCCTTTTTTTGTCAAATTATTCTTGAATTTGTAACATAAAATTTCACTTTATATTCTGTCACAGTTATCACACTGTCCTAATATTTCTAGCAGTTTTTTGAGAGCAACTACAGAATACAGAGCCACTGAGGTCCACCTCGTCAGCATGTTTTGAAGAACTAGGCTGAACACTTTGATTGAATGACAAGTTGATAAGTGGCCCTGTATTCTGTTGTTCCACTGTTTTTTGAAACATCAAAAGGTGTGCTCATAGGTAAGTCAATGCCTTGAATACAGAAGTACATGTACAGCACTAGAAGTAGACTTGGTAGTCTGATTCATCTGCTCAAGAGAAGTTCCAAAAAAGGCTGTAGTTGTAGACAGTGACTGACATTTTGAAAACCAGAGACGAAGACATCATCAGTTATTTAAGTTACTCTGATAATGACATGAATCTGATGTTGAATCCATTCAAGTTGTGGTTATGTTTACCGTTGTCCAAACTCTCTTTTGATGACCAACTGTTTGGTTGTTATGAGTAGAGTTTAGATTTTTATTGCAATGCTATTGGAGCCTGCAAATCTGTCATATTATTCACCCTCAAAGAAGCATCCTTGACGTATATTGACCGAGACACAGTTCAAGTTTCTTTGCCTCCATTGAATGCAATTAAAGTATGTGATCTGAGGTTGTCATCAGAAGCTAGTAGATGGCAAAAACTGCAGACATCAGTGGCTGGATAAAAAAAAAAGTTACTCACATACATCCCTGAATGCCAGATATCACATTTCAGAGAACTTCAAATTTCAAATTATGCAGGAGCATGCCCTTAGACCCCCCTCCTAGAAGGGTGTATTGTAAAGCAACACCCCATACTTGCTTTGCTCAAATAATTATATTCATAATCAATGTTGTTCTTGGTCTTTTACTGTTTTCAGATACAGAAATTTTCATTACCACAAACGTAAGTACCTTGTAGATGTAAACCATGGTTATTTTACTCAAGTGACAAAAGCTCTCTCCTGGCATGGCTTTTCATACTCGTTTCCTTGTCAGATTTCAATCATCACTGCACTACTGCATTACTCACTCAATATTTAGACTAAACATGTTTTGTTCTTTTGGTAGTAGTGTATGGCAATTTATCCTGCATTCTTTATTTTATCAAATGACAATTCAGAAGACACTTACTTGTCAAAATGGCTCACCTCAAGGTGTACTGCTGTTACTGAAAATCTGTATATTTTTAGTGTATTTTTTTCAGTAAAGAACATTTTCTAGAGGTATGTTAGAATTAGATTTTTTTGGGATATATAAGCACTGCCTTGTTTTTTTAAAAGAAACTTTCATCAGAAGCTCATTTTGTGATTATTACTGGAACATATAGTTGACTTTCCTGTCTCATACAGAAACAAAAGACCAGTGGGCAAGGGATGATCCTGCTTTTCTTGTGTTGCTTAGTATTTGGTTGTGTGGTAAGTAACCAGCACTGCAGACACTTATTTCATGTATTAGTTACCCTTTTGTACCAGTATTTGTCACAGGAAAGGAGATGTTGAACATCTGTTTAATAGGGAATTAGATTTAAAATGGGGTTGGTGACAAGTCCCTGAACAGGATCATGTGCTCTTAGAAGTTCTATTTCTATATGACTGGAAGTAAATGGTTAGCGTTAGAAAAATCTAACAAGCAGGGAACAAAATAAAATCAGAGTTACCCTGAGTTTGAGGTTCTAGTGGAATGGTTTTGAGAGAACTGAACGTGACTGGTTAAGACCAAAGAATAATTTGATAACTTGACATTAGTCAAATTGTCTTCAGTTTAGATTACTTTAAAGCGTTCTTCAGAAAATGGTATGAAAGCTTATAAAGATTGACAAGTTAATTCTATCAATCTGATATAGCTTTTGTTCATAAGTAACTTTGCACTCAAAATAATTGACTGGTGAATTTGGTTGCAGTGTTTTGTTTTCCTTCAGCACTCAACTAGTCCTTGTTTCCTTTTACATCCTCAGCATCTTCTATTGGCTTTGCTGTTATGTTGAAGCTGCCCTTTTTAGGATTTTTAAAGTTTTTATTATGGGTTGTATTTGTGGATTGCATTGCTGTGGGTCTCATTATTGCATCATTATTATGGTAAGTTAGTACCACAAGGCTATTGAGTTTGCTTATTATTTCGACCACATCCTCTCCTTTGGTAGCCATTTGGCAAACATTCTGCTTGAGTTCTCGTCTCATATTTAAATGCGAGTGAAAGTCACTCACTAAAAATGAATCTGCTTGTCCTTGATTGCTTGTTGTATCTTCTTCTGAGCTTGTTTGATGGAAAAAAATTATTTGATGCTTTGTTAAGTAAGCTACTGTATCTGATAATGGTTCTTTTACCCCTATAGGTTCTTTTGCAACAGATACCTGAGGATATCCACTACACATGATCCAGGACAAAGAGTAGAATGGGCCTATGCATTTGATGTTCACCTAAATGCTTTCTTCCCTTTGCTGTTAATATTACATGTCATCCAACTCTTTTGTATGAAGAGTAAATATGCTTTTTGTGTTAACCAGTTGTTAGTAGCTGAAATGGATGATCACTTTAATTGTGTATAGTAACTTGAAGTGTATATTGCATTTCTTATTCCTTGTTTGAGGAGTAGTTTTAATACTAACATTCATTGATGAGTTTTGAACAAAGGTTATAAATACTTGAACCAGAGTTGATATCAAAGCACAACATAATTATATTTATAAATATTTCGTGTGGTGATGGTTTTCTGATGTTTTGCATTTGTTTTCAAAAGCATGTGATGTTTAGATATGTTAGATGAATTTTCTAGGAAGCTGTTTGGCAATTCATGTAAATTTAGTTTAATGCTAGTTTTAGGGAATCACTCTGCCCCTTTCATCAAAGGCTATGCAAATTATCTTCAGTTAGTCTTGTAGTATTGGAGTAGTACATTGATGTGGCAATATCCCAGGAGTGTCACTTTGAGAAGTACTAGAATATGAATGACTTGTATTATGCGTTTCCCTTTTGCAAAGCTAGGCAAAAGGTCTGTATATTTCCCCCCCCCCCCAAAAAAAAAAAAAAAAACAAAAAAAAAAACAACAAAAAAACTGCACTCTTTAACAAGCTTGGAAAGTTCATGGGTACATGTTGCTCCTATTTGGTATTAAAAGGACAAATAAGGGTGAGGACAGCACCATGGTAGCTTTTCAAAGTTGGTCTAATGAATAACCTTAACTCTCCTTGTCTCTTTCAGTTATCATAGACAATCCCTGGTTCATATCAAGGTTTATCGGAAACTCTCTTTGGCTCATAGCTTTGGTGTATTATATTTATATTTCTTTCCTAGGATACAGCGGTGAGTTTTTACTTCTTCAGATATGTATAATTATTATGATTTCTCCTTATAATTCTGACTATCAGTGATGTAGCTTGCAGTTGCAATGCTGCTCTGTTGCTCACTGATATTCTGTCCTTTTTGGGGATATCACTTTGATTACATGTAATGTATCTTGGTCAGATTACTTTGTTTTGGAGTGATGATGTCTTTTAAACCTGTTGATGTTTTCATTGCTGTGACATAACAACCTCCTGCCTCTGTTAGCAATGTCTTTCCCATTTAACACTAAACTTAAATATACTTTCACAAAGTTTTTTGTTCAGAGGAGCATTTACTTGAGCCTCATAAATGTAAAATTGATGAGCTTCAAAAGTTATTAACTGTGAAAATGACTGCCAACCCTTTCAATCGATGAGCCATGAAAATTTCATGAACATTCAAAATAATTTAATTGCTTGCATGAGTATTTGATTATTAACTTCTCTTTGATTTTTTTTTTCGTAAATATCCACAGCATTACCATTTCTTCGAAGTACTGTAGTGCTACTGTATCCTGTCTTGTTGGTAGTGATGGGATACATTGTATCTCTTGCTGTGGGCTGGAACATAGGGCAGACATTTTTGCACTTTTATGAGTATAGAGTGGTGACTCAGACTGCCAGCTTGCCTCAAACTATTAGCTGAATGTCAGGCAGGAAATTTCTGGAGATCAGAGGATGTTGACCCATGGATCATAAAAAAAGATGTTAGCCAGCATAGTGTAAGTCCTCTTCATTAGGCTGAAATAGAGTGGGTGCTCTACTATGGAAAAACCAGAATAATTGCAGCAGCAAGTTTCTTATCTCATGATGCATCAGAACTTGGGACACATTTCTGGATGTACATAGTGTATCTATAATTTTTGATAAATCTATGACACTTGACCGTGCATTTCAGTAATTAAAATGGTGTCAGGACTACAGCAACAAAGAGATATGTGCATGTAACTAGCCTGTTCAAGTGAATATGCAAAGGTCTTTGGAAAAGATATTAATTGATAGATATAGAGATCGTACCAATGAGCTTCCTTTTACCTTAAATATAATTGTAAGATGTCATTTAAACTAGTTGAGAAAATGTTTGTCAGTCTTTCATTTGGATGCAATTTTCTATGATGGAAAATATTATATACAGGTTGGAAATTATGCAGAAATGTATAATAAAGTAAATTATTACATGGAGCAAAACAGTTGCTTTACTTTTTACTGCATGATAAGTAGCAAGGATTAGTCTAAGGAGCTGAACTGACCATTTCCCACAGACAAGCATGAGCCCAGATCTGTATATAAACATTGTAAAGTTTTATTGGATTTGTCTTAAATATCATCCAACATTCATTGCAAGACTTCTCTTTGCACAAGTACACATCTGTTTCCACTTGTAGTAATAAAAATATAATATTTGGTGACTAAACAGTGATTTGATTACCAGCATTTTTTGCTGACCTGGTGGTACAATGTCCCAAGATCTGATCTTTAATTGATCCCTCCTTCTGCCACACATTTCCTTGTATATAGTTACAAGAACTTTTTTCACAAGTAACAATGAAAGCACTTTGGAAAATAAAGCTGGGCTAGGATTTTCTCTCAACTCCTTCCATTCAGTCTTGCACTCCATGAAACTTCCTCATAATTGAAGGGAAATTGTCTAAGGCTTGAGTAGCTTTGGAGCTAATCAGGCTGATAGCAGTCTTACAGATCTACATTTAAAAGTGAGAAAATATGGAAATTGATGTTAATTTTACTAACAACTGGTAGTCAATCAGTGTGTACTCGATACAAACAAGTTTTGTATTTTTGGAAAAAAAATATGGAAATCATTCATCATCAAACTGTGAAACTCTGAAGGATGGAGAATGGATGAGCTTTATATGTACATGTTGGATTATCATCTGCTAAAATGTTTTACTAGTGTAGTCAGATAAAATCAACTTTGTGGCACTCTCACAACTGCTATCATTGCTCAACAAGCCATGTGATTTGACTCAAAACCTTCATTCCAGAAAACAGTCATGTTGGTTTGAAAAAAGTTGAGAAAGAATGATGGGATCAGTACTCAGAAAAATGTGTGAGCTCTTGTGCTAAAATACAGTACTTGTCAGTGTTTTAACTGGCACATAATTGCGTTGAAAAGATTAAATTAAAAATTTATAAAAAATCACTTCACAGTTATGAATAAATTTAAATGTTATTACCGGTGACTTTTACCTGAGCGGAGAGTTGGTCTTTAAGGCTTGATGCCAAGCCATCAGCAAACAAATTATACAACCAGCTTGTGAAGAAATAAACAAAATAACATAAAAATTACAACCAGCTTGTGGAAGGAAAATGTTGAATTAAGTATTTCACACTCAAGATCTAGCACTACTTGAGAATTTACTCTTTCCACTTTCTCCCATACATTGCTTATGGTTTTAGTTCTGCAAATCTAGTATTAAATCAATATTAATCATGGTTTGTTCCTAGTTGTCACCTGAACTTGAAAGTATATTGTTATTATGTAGAGAAATTACCTCTTTGGTCTCTTCTGGAAGTGAAACCAACCTCTTCACCAAGATATAATATGAAAACCCTATATTATTCTACTCAAATTGAGTCAAAAACTGGATTTTGCATATTTTGGCCCTATTCCTGGAAATATCCTTCCAAAAAAGTGTTATCTACACAGGTAGGATTTGAATCTGGAAGAAATCAGCAAAATTAGTTGCTTCCTGCTATGGAAGGTGGAGTGGCAAAGCTTTAGACCATCATTATAACTGTTGTTTCTTCGACTATGATGTATGCAGTTGCAATATAAATCATTACCTTGCACCTCCTTTGAACTTGATATGCACAGAGCCAATTTTCATGGTACAGTCTTTTGCACTGACTTTTCCCTTCTTCTCTCCCAAGTTACCTTCAATGCCAGAATATTAAGTTAGTCACAGGTTGTTACAGAGTTTGGTGAATCTGTACAAAGGTGATCCATAACAGGATACTTGGAGAAATGTTCAGAAAATCTTGTAAATTTTAAAAATCACAAAGCCTCCACTTAGGATTAAAAAGTATGCATTTCATGAAATAGTATCTCACTTGTAGGCTTGCACTAACCATCAACATAGAAAGCCATTCCAAGTGACAGGTCTTTGATTGATAGGTCACATGATCCTGAATCAGAGATGTGAGGCCTTATCAACAAAAACAATTCAAAAAATTAATATACTCACAATCTCTTAAATCTTAGATTTTGGAACTGATGGTAAAATTGTATCTAGCACAATAGACAGTAACTAATGTACAATAATTGGCCAACTGATCAGGGTTTTCCCGGAGGAGAGCTGAGTTCAGCAGTATAGACTCCTTCAGTCTTACTCAGAAATACCCATGCACACACAGACAGTACTTTTTACCAATCCTCAACACAGCAGAAGGCAATTCTAGTCTAGAGGACTGTCTGGCCACACAATAAGGTTCAGCAGGAGCCCAGCAGTAGTATGAATATCAGAGCTTAGGTAGGGGGGGGGGGGAAGAGGGGGCTTTCTTCTTCAGTGATCCCTTCCTTCTGTATACTAAATCACCAGATTGACATTATAACCAGAGCAGAGCTGATTTAGTCCAATATACTGCAAGACTCATGCAAAATACCCATTTTCCAGAAGAAAATCATCAACTGAAGGTTACAACTAGTAATGATAAAACAATGCTCTCAACCACCTTGCGTCTAAAATGTAGACAATGCAATTTTGATTTAAATCATATTTTTTTTTTTAATTTTAATTTTTTTCTATCATTTTTTCTCCCTCAAAACAACTTAAGAAACATATCTACTGACAACAAACCAAGAGTTCTCTTTGTAGTGCCAATTAGCTGCCATATTTCCTGAGGCTTCATTAGCAGAAATCCGTAACCCGTGATCAGCTAATAGTGAAACATTGGTCTTCTTAATCACTACATTGGACAACTTGATCCTAAAAATATACATCAAATTGTATAGTATAAGACTGGACTAATTTGAAACTATGATTCAAACAATTCACTCATCTGGTTAAAATATTGATAAAAGTTGGTACAGTTATGCATACAGTCTAGGAAAAATTAAACAAATCTCCATATCCAGGTTGATCTTGAGACGTTTTAAAAAAGAACTTACTGGTTGAGATCGTACTGCACATTTCCTAATGGAGTTTTGATGGTTCCAGAAAGATTGGGAACTGATAAATCATTGAGTTCTTTAGAAATGAATGGAAGAATGATGTGGTCCACTGTAAAGTTGAGAAAAAACCATTAGAAATCAGCCTAAAAAGTTATGTAAATACAAATTTTGAAGAGATCTGTAATATCAAAAGCAAAAAAGTTAAAATTATAAATTGAATTAACTGGACTCGTATGTGACACAGGGTCCACTAATAAACATCTGGATACAGCAGCAGGAGATCTGCACTATCTCTGCTCCCCAAATTTGAGTTACAGTTACAGAAATGTGAAGATGAATGGTGAAAAATTACAAAGCAAACAAAATCCAACTTTAACCACATACCATTTTTTCACAAATCTACCAGCTTAAAATTAGATTAAATGATAGGATAGAGAGGGGATATGATTTTTAATCACATTCACCAGCTGACAAAGTTTGGTATCATCACATCCAAATGACATAACCAAAACATTCTAGCCTAATTAAAAGCGTGCATAGCTTCTATAAGTTGATGGAAAATCATTTGATTCGTTTTACACGTAAATTGATCTGCTTTTTTAAGCTTTCAACCTATCCAAAAAATTATGGAACCTGCAAACCACAAGTCCTCAGAAGTGAAACGCTAATCAAGGTGACCTCTATTAACCACCAGCCGAAGTGCAAATTGGCACCCTATGGTGTACTTAACAAATAAAAAAATATCACTGACATTTTCCTTAAGATAACGGTGAGTATATGAGGCCCTATTGATGGCCTATTTCCAACGGAGCGGTTAGCTGTCGAGGCTTATTAAGATCTGGAACCTTTCCCGTCGTTTATGCAGAGCGATGATTCATTCATTCGAGAGAGAACGATCAGTGATGTAGACTGTATAAAATTAAATATAAATTGGTAAACAAATTTCACAGCACATTGCTTTAAGCTTTTAAAAAGAGCACCAATGCCTCGTTAGCGTCAGTTCAAGTTGTTCTCTGCCAAGATACAAAGAGCAGGGAAAGATTGTGATATCGATTGATATTAAATTTAACATAGGTAACAGAACTTGATCTTCTCAACGAATAAATTTTTACCGTAATCCGACGCTCTCTGAGTAATTTCTCGTTTCCATTCTGGTGCCAAATTCAAGTCGATGTCGATATTTTTGGCTGAACAATGTTCAACGACAAAAATTACCGACGAAAACAAAACGAATACTCTTTTAAACAGTGTTCCTTTGATGAACGGTTCTTCCATACCTGTCGTTTCGAACGAAATGTAATTTACACCTACGAAGTCACGTCATTTTGCAGTTCGTTTATGGGAAAGATCTTCTCAGTTGAAGGTCTCATCAAAAATGCATTTTGTAGACAGTTTTATGGTAAAATCTACCTGTAAGGATTAAACAGGTGAGCTGAACGCGAATTTCCCGCCATCTCTCCCGACCTGAGTAGATCGGCGACGAATATAGTCCGAGAAATTCACGAACTAATCTGAGTTCTTCCGACAGAAACCGATGAAACCCGTGACTCAAAGATGGCAGAGGAGGTAATCTTGCAATTCATGCATTTTGCATTTTGTTTTGATTTCGAGATTAATAAATACCACCGGTTTCTTTCTTTTTGACAGAATGAGTTAGAGGCCAAACGAATCGATGAGCTCAGGCAGCGGTTTTTTCATGAAAACGGTAAATCTTTCCCAGGTTGCATGTTTTGAGTTATTTCTCAGCTGTGTTTTTGTATGCAAGTTCGACGAATTTTATGGAAAATTAACGTGGAAACTGTGCTCACTAGGTTAGCTTCAGCGTACGTTAAATTTTACGTAGTAGAAGCCTTTTGCTTTCGTAAGGAATGTCGGTAAAAAAACTGGAGGAATCATCTCGAACCAGTTCAGGCCACCAAATAACGCGGAAACTTTATTCAGATCGAATACTAATTCAAACATAATTACTTGATGATGAGAATTTCCTTAATTTAAAATGTTTTCAACAATACCATTTAACAGATTTTAAACAATTTGTCTTAAATTTTATGAACGAGAGTTTCATTGTGGTACTAATCAGTTTGGTGTTAGTAAAATACAATGACGTCATTTTCTTCCTACAAGTTACTTTTCTCTCTTGGTTCAAATTTAATTTTTCCGCATTATCAGGGCTGAGTGCTAAGGCAGGCTACTTTCATTCGCACTAAGGATTTTTTTCTCCTCTAATAATTTTTAATTTCTTTTTATGTCTGAAATGTAATGTTTCATCATTCAACAACACATTGTCGAGTGACACTAGTTTTCAAGCGTACACATTTATCTTATAACAACAACAACAACAACAACAACCTTTATTTATGTGTCAAATCTAAAATAGCAGTTATACAACCACTAACTGGGGACACTAAATACTACCTAAAAATTTGAGAAATTTAAAAATAAAACAATATATATGTACAATTTAAAATCTAACCTAAGTCTTACATAAAAGGCAGTTTTCACATTTACTATCAGTCAATTTAGAAACAAGGTCTATTCTACGTATGTTACATTTAAAAGATGATATGGATGTCAGTTCTCTTACATTTCTTGGTACAATTGCCCATATTTTGGGTCCCATATATCTAAGCGAATGTTTTCCAAAAGTGACAGTATTAAATCTAGGTATACCAAAATCATTATTACGCAGTGTGTACCTAAGTTGTGGAATTTGAAAAAGGCTACATATGTAATTAGGAGATAAATTGTTCTTTACCTTATACATAAGAATGGCTATGTCCTGTAGTCTTCTGTTCTGCAGTGTACTTAGGTTAGCCATGTCTAATAATTTATCATAACTACTCCCCTTATCACAGTAAACTGCCCTAAGTGCCCTTTCTTGAATACGTTCCAATTTTCTAGTATCACTCGCCCTACAAAAATGCCAGACAAGATGGCTGTATGTTAAATACGGAAGAATGGCTGCCTTAAACAACTTCAGCTTGGTGTCTGTTGGTATCATATTCCTGAGCCTCATCAGGACTCCAACACGCTGGCTACTCCTCTTACAAATGTTAGCAATGTGTTCATCAAATTGAAGCCTATTGTCTATATATACCCCAAGAAGTTTTAAACACTTGGTAGATTTAACTTCATTGTCATCAATTATAATACTATCCATATCATTATTTTTATTCCCAAGTGTCATTGTCTGATACTTGTCATAGTTCCCTTTTAAGAAATTCGATCTATACCATCTGGAGGCTAATTCGGCACTTGCTATTAACTTATCATGCACCTCAGTAACATTACTGCCTGCAGCATGGAACTGGTGGTCGTCTGCATACATATTGATATTAGAATTAGAATTTACACTGTATGTCAGATCATTTTGGAACATGTTCCATATCAATGGTCCAAATGCGGAGCCCTGTGGACATCCCCTTGACCCCCTCTCCCACTCACTCACTGTGGATCCCAACTTCACCCTATTGTACCGATCAGTGAAGTAGGAGTCCAACAATTTTAGACTGTTCCCCCGAATACCATAAGCCTTTAATTTAGCAAGTGTGAGTGGATAGTAGAGGGAATCAAAGGCTTTACTCATGTCCGTAGAAAGAACACCTACCACTTTATGTTCATCTAAAGATATCTTCCAATTCTCTGTCATAGCCAGTAGAGCTGTTTCGCAGCTATGATTTTTCCTGTAGGCTGTCAGTTTATCACATAATTTATCATTGAAACTATAATTAAGCTGTTTACTAAGTAACTGTTCAAAAATCTTATTTATAGTAACTTGTACAGTTATGGGCCTATAGTTCTTTTTCTCATGGGGGTCCTCTTTCTTAAATACTGGTGTCCACTCTCCTTTCTTCCACACCGCAGGCCACTCACCCAATGTTATACATGAATTGTATAATGCTGTCAGAGGCCCTGATAGTTCTCTAGCACCCAGCTTAAATGCTTTGGGGGGGACACCATCCCAACCAGTACTCTTTCTGGGGTTAATACTTTCCAGTGCGGTCTCCACCTCAAGTATCTCCAGATTCCGAAACTGGAAGTCTTGATGGCCTATCATATTCTCTGTGGTATTCCGAACACTTGAATGAGTCACAAAAGAAGAGTCAGTAATGCCTTCTGTGTCACCAATACCATCAGCAATGGTAGAAAAATAGTGACATAGATGATTTGCAATCTTACTTTGATCATGACTTATCGCTCCTTCAATGTTTAAGCTCAACTCATTAGTGGTACCCTTATTCCTCTTTTCACTCAATATACCTCTCCCTATACCTCTCCCTATACCCAATTCCTTATCCTATAATAAATTAACAAGCCTTTAAGTATTGAGTCACAGAAAGTGGATGTGCACGAAAAGATGAGTAGGAGACAGGAATTGGGCAGAGATTGCGTGGTATTAATCTTAAGGGTTCATAATGTCACAAGCTACCAATCCTTGATTTTAGGTGCAATTTTGCAAGAATTTGATGAACAAGACGTGAAACGAGTCCGTGATGAGGACTTCTGGTTGAGTTGCTTTCTGAAATCTCGCAAGCAGGATGTAGACATTGCATTATCTGTCTTGGTAAGTTATGTGCATTTAAGTCATTTTTTTCCTTTCAGTGGACCTCTCTTAGAGAAGAAATAATTCTTAGATTCTCTTATTGATGGACATAAATCAAACTTTCCTGAGAGTATCTGCATCCTTATTATGTTGAAATCTTGAAGATAAGTGTTTGGAATTTTAATTTGACAGTTTTGTATTCACTGACATTGTTGTAAACCTTACGGTTGTTGACTACTCGACACTGTCCATCCACCAAGAATGTATTATCCAAATGGTCTTGTAATTTTACCTATAACACGGATTGGATCAACTTTATTTTACACCTACATGTAAAGCTTGGTGCACCATGCTTTGAACTTCTGTTACAAAAAACTGTTAAAATAAAGAAACATTGCTTCTCTGTGCTCATGAAATGATTTAAATTTCTACTTTCTTCTGCTAGGTGGAATGTTTAAGATGGAGAAAATCATTTGGAGTTAATGGTATGTTTAATGGTCTACTCTTGTTCACAAAATCAAGTTGATTTACCTTTTAATCTCTAAGAGTGATAAGCTTCTAATTTCTCCCAAATCTAACACCCCTGAATCAAGTAATAGGATAAACAATACAAAAAATATATATCAGAGAACAGTGTGGTGAAGTTGCATACTGATATTAGGGTTTAAAGGATTGATAATACAATTTTGCACATAATTGCATTTGTGATGCATAGATTATTCAATACATTTTTTAACATGTCTTGATTTACTTTTTGATGATATATTTACATGTGCAGAACTTACAGAACGTTCTGTAGACCGGAGACTGTTTGAGGCTGGTTTCCTCTTTCCATATAATCGGGACAAAGATGGAAATACGTTAAGTAAGTGTTTAACCCCCTCTAACCAATGGAGAACCAATAAGTTATTTTTGCTTACAATATCATTATGCTATGAGGCCAAAAGGTGATGAGGAGGAAGAGAAAATGCTGACTGATTTCACGGTAAATTATTTTAGCTATTTGCTATGAGAAATGTACAGCAAAAAGTGGGGAGAATTTATTTTGAGATCTTTTAAATGAAGGTTGATAATGATCTAGATGATTTCTTTGACAGGTGTATCTTATTCAGATGGGGATTCTAACCAACAACAACAACAACAACCTTTATTTATGTGTCAAATCTAAAATAGCAGTTATACAACCACTAACTGGGGACACTAAATACTATCTAAAAATTTGAGAAATTTAAAAATAAAACAATATATATGTACAATTTAAAATCTAACCTAAGTCTTACATAAAAGGCAGTTTTCACATTTACTATCAGTCAATTTAGAAACAAGGTCTATTCTACGTATTTACATTTAAAAGATGATATGGATGTCAGTTCTCTTACATTTCTTGGTACAATTGCCCATATTTTGGGTCCCATATATCTAAGCGAATGTTTTCCAAAAGTGACAGTATTAAATCTAGGTATACCAAAATCATTATTACGCAGTGTGTACCTAAGTTGTGGAATTTGAAAAAGGCTACATATGTAATTAGGAGATAAATTGTTCTTTACCTTATACATAAGAATGGCTATGTCCTGTAGTCTTCTGTTCTGCAGTGTACTTAGGTTAGCCATGTCTAATAATTTATCATAACTACTCCCCTTATCACAGTAAACTGCCCTAAGTGCCCTTTCTTGAATACGTTCCAATTTTCTAGTATCACTCGCCCTACAAAAATGCCAGACAAGATGGCTGTATGTTAAATACGGAAGAATGGCTGCCTTAAACAACTTCAGCTTGGTGTCTGTTGGTATCATATTCCTGAGCCTCATCAGGACTCCAACACGCTGGCTACTCCTCTTACAAATGTTAGCAATGTGTTCATCAAATTGAAGCCTATTGTCTATATATACCCCAAGAAGTTTTAAACCAATTTGAATGGTCAATCCTTGACCTCCCAAGATTTGATTGGAATCTCTTCCTCCAACTTTAACTGCTTTAGATAGATTTCTCTTTGAGTCAGTGTTATCATCATGATGGTAACAACAACTTTGCTGACAAAGTTTGTCTTTTTCTGGTCATCTGTTTGGTTTAAGATTTCTGATGTAGTTGGGAGAAGCTACATTTTGATCATTTATAAGAGTTAAAAGGTTAACCTCATCAGCAGTCAATCAGGAAAGTGATTGATTGTTTTACTGTGCTCATGGGATAAAGGAAAATCTGAATCTAATACTTTCGCAAAAAATAACAACTTTTTTTCCTCTGTGGCCAAGCTTGAAATTTACAACCTCTCTTCTCAATTTTATAGAAGGCTAGCTATGTTTGGGAACTTGACTTTTTTATGTGACTTTGTTTATTATTGGGACAGTTACTTACTGAATATAATTATTTTCATCATATCTTGCCAGTCATCTACATTGGAAAACTTTACAAAAAAGATCCACAGCAACATCCAGAATTGAAGAGGTACCTTGTGTTCCTCCTAGAAAAACATGTAAGTCACATTGACTTATTGTCTAAATTAAAACTTTAAGAAGTCTTCACCTGAATTTTTTTCCTTTTTGAAGCTTTTTTGCACTCAGTATTTGCACATCAGCAGGAGATATATACATTTAATAAATTGTTCTCCCAACCTCCCAAGTGGACTTTGTTTTACGTATGCCATTAAACTGGTAGAAAGTGCGGTGGACTGCTTTTATAATATAAAGTTCAATTTTCTATGGGTTTACCAGTGCAATAAAATGATAGGTTTTTGAAGTATCAGGGTGCTCATGGTATCTCAGGTGTATTTCATGATTTTATATCTACATTAGTAATTAATAGTTCTTTTGTTGTAGGTGAAAATGTTCCCTGGCAGAAAAGTAACATTTTTATTTGACATGCAGGATACTGGGTTATCAAATATGGTGAGCTTTGATATATTTAAAATATGTTACGTGTTTATGTGAAGGTGGAGTTATGGAATACAATTCTTAGGAAAATGTTGCTTATCTTTATTTAGTTTTCTTTAAATTTGCAACATTCTGACATCAATATTTGAAATTAGGTCACAAGCGATAATTATTATTATAATAACTGTTACAAAATGTAATTCTTTTATTGTTGCTGTTTTAGGACCTGGATTTTGTAAAATTTATCATAAGTTGTTTCAGAGATTACTTTCCATCGACATTGGGTAGGAGATGAAATTAAGCTGGATAACATGAATTTCTTTATTCTGATGCAAGTCCACCTTTGGTTACTAAATGTAAAATATATTCCCTTTCCTATCATTAGCATGGCTAGTAGTCGTGGAAATGCCCTGGATTTTATCAGGTATTTTTGTTTAATTCGTACTGATCTGCATATAAAACATAAACATTTAACTGAAGTAGATCAATGGAATTACTCTTTGCTGTGAAGGATTACTCATAATTCAGTGGATATTTTTGTTCTAGAGGTGAGTTTTGGTCAGAGTAGGCCTTTAAGAGCAGGACATCATCCTCTGAGACTCAGGGGCTATGAGTAAATTTTTAGTCAGGGTGGAAGAGCCCAGTCTCAGGGGCTCTTCCACTCTGACTGAAAATCAACTGACAGCCCATGGGTCTCCAAGGATGGTAGGACATCAAACTTCCCTCAGTCTAATAATTATTTCTCAACCAACTTTGCTAAATCACTTCTTTTATAAGTAGGGAGTACCCTTTCTTGCATCTTCTTGGATTCACGTTTTATCTGTTTTGTTTCTTTACCACAGCAACATGGAAAATTGTCAAGTCATGGCTGAGCCCTGAAGCTGTCAAAAAAATCAGGTTCAGTTTAAGATTTATACTTTATTCAAGAGCTGTTTGATATTTTTTGCTGCTTAAGGAGATATTTTGGCTTAGAGATGGTGTGCTTGACTCCAATTCAAGAAATCCATGCTGGCATGCAAGCCTTGTCATTAAAATTCATGGTTTTTTACTTCTTTCAGATTTTTAAACAAACCTGAACTTTTGGATTTAGTTGATGAAGACAAGCTACTTGTTAGATTAGGTGGAACTGTAAGTGCTGGATAGTTCAAAAGTTTTCCTCTGCATGGTTATCCTGAACTCTGAGTGAAAATAAATTGAGAGTAAGAGGAATAAACTGTGTACACAAAATTAGTGCCTTTTAGGATAGATTTACTATCCTAGATCAAAGCGTAGGCAGAAGAGGACAAAAGCATCTCTTTATGGAATCAGACTGGTTCAAGTCATATTTAAAATAATGACTTGTTTCTCATTTTGTGATTTAGGCATGTTGTGAATTGAAAGCATACAGCATAGAGCCAATAGCTGATGATAATTTATTTGTGAAAATTGGTGAAATTGTAAATTGTCAGGTTGAATAGAATAATTTTTTTATGTTTTCTGAATAGGATCCCTATGAATATTCTTATCCACCCACAAAAGAAGCTCTTGTCAGTCTTGGTATCACTGAATCCACAAAGTAAGCACAAGTTTTTCCTACCACAAGCCGTTCTGGAAAATAACATTAACTTTATCTTAGGTTACAGCTACTTCTTAAGTATTTTGAATGTTTTTATTGATCTTTTATACCTGTATGTAGTAAAGTAACTAGTGCTTTTATTCTTATATCAAATACCATTTTTTGTAATCAGAAAGTGAAAAAATTATCCCCTCAAATCGTCTAACTTTGCCATGTCTCCTTATCCCCAGCCTGTCAGAGGCCCATTTAACAGCCCTCCCTCTGCAAAGTTTTATCAAATTATAAAGGGCTTATATCAGAGATCTTATGAAAGATTTTCCGAAAAATTTTGCATGTTTGGCAAGATTTAAGGCTTAAATCGTGCCGAACATGCTTAGCCAATGAGAACACAAGGATAATATTACAACAGTTTAAGTCTATTAAGCTCGGCTCTCTGTTTCTCTGTGGTTCTGAATGTGTTTCCAGCACAAAATCTGTAAAACCCAATCAAAGAAATAAGGGTGTGTTCATGCGGAATGTTGCGGCAGAGTTTGATTGTTCGCTCAGCCTGCACAAATACGTACTGCAGACCAATATTTTATATCGTATGCGATATTTTTTTCTCTATCTGACAACAGTACAGAAGATAACCTCATTGAAAATGGTACCGTAAACCAAGGCAATGATTTTGACGATGACAGTTGTGAAGATGCGCGTGAAGAGGCTCCTCCGTCCAATACAAAGAAGGTACTTCGGGAGATGAACTTCTCAAGGATTTCATAACACTTTCCATCATTTGTACAGATGATTTAGAATTGAACAAAGCCATAAAGAAAGATTCATTCCTTTCACAGAGACCTACAAAATGCATTTCTTTTATTTTTTCGCAAACTTAGACCAAAGTTTAATTTGCAGAACGGCCTGTCAGAACAAAGATAATGATCACAGGGAATTAACGAGAACTCGAATTTTCCAGAATAGGCAAACCATGACTTAACATCTTTGTGATTCGATAATTTGTCCCTTCTTGACACCTTTTCTATCCACTCCTTTCATCTCCCTTCACTTTTTCCCTCCTTCTCTGAGTAGTCTGGTTCGCATTCGTCACGTAGAAGGTCACGTAATGCTTCCTCGCTTGGCTGAGCATTGCGTGACTTCTCACCGAACCGGCTGTTAGATAGGCAATTTCCTTCCTTCCCCACGCAATTCCTTTCCTCGGAAAAAAAAACGAATAATGATAAGAAAAAATAGTTGTCCTTGGGCATCACCATGTGTTTTCTCTTCGCCCCAGTTAAATCATTTTCATGTTTTCTAAGCTTCTTACAACTCAATTGTTACGAATGTTTGACATGATCTGCCCTAGCGGTGCTGAGCGCTCGGCCTTCATTTCCGCTACTTAGGATTAACTTTGTCAGACATATGATTAATCTTACATCGGCTAAACTTCCAGTTATGGAGAACATCTCTTATAAGGTCAAACCAGCTTCTTTTTCGTCTTGCTGTAAAGAACAACCATCCAAGAAATTCTTTGTTGCCGCTTGACTCATAATTTGTTCGTTTTGTAGAGTTCTTGGGATATGAGATTCACAGGAATTTTTATTCAAATCGAACGCATGTTTTACCAGAGCTTTGCCTGTAAGCTTTCGATTTTCTCAATTTTTTTCTTGCTGTTATTTTGATTACTTGTAGGTGACGTTTGAGGATGCGCCTTCTACTGCAGCCGACCAGAGTCTTGAAAATGCATCTTCTCAGTCGAATTCAAAGCAGGTTTGATATTTTCGACTTTAATCCGTTGATTCTCGCTCCTAATCTTGTGACTTCTAGTAGTAGTTTATTTGTAGTTCCTTTTGGGAATGTTACAGATATGGCAAGCTGGCGAGTGATGCGAAAAAGTCACTGTACTAAATTTACTTAACCTGAACAACGTAAACCTTAGATTATTTGGCTGACCAGGCTTCGAAAGTGGGCATGACTTTGCGGTGTCCTGTTTGGCCACCCATGCTGCAAGATACCGGCTTATGTACCTCTTGACTTCCGTGCAGCTCATTTTGTTGTAGTTTTTGTTTGATTTTTTTTTCTCGTGTGGAGTTGAAAAAGACAAAGCAACCGTACATTCAACTTCATGGAAACCACGAATTTCATGAATTTATTTTACCATTCTCATTTTACGATTTTAATGAAATAACAATTTTTTTCTTTGACCTTTACTGTTTCACACACGACCATAAAACACCCCCGAAATAATTTTGGGGAATATCCAGTCATGTTGAGGAAGGTTAGATTAAAGACTGACTCATTTATTTCTTGTGTAGAGGAATAATTCAACAAAGCTCACACTTCGAGCTGTAAGTTCAAGATCATCACAAAGACGAGCACCTCCAGACGGCTTTACTAGAACAGGAAGTCTGCTTACTATTACGTTAGTATTGTTTAATAAACTTTCAGATTCCATTTTGTTGTAAGGCAGCCCGTTCCAGTCTCTCTCAATCCTTGCATATGTGTTGTTTTTTTAGAAGTTCTCCTTCTTCGTTTTGACGTATCTACTAAGTTTTTAGCCAAACCTCAAACTGAAGCCGATGACACACTTGGCGATTTTATCCTCCAATCGCGGCAAATTGATCGCTGGCGAAAATCGCCGACATCTAACATATCAAATATTGGCGATTTATATCGCAGATCATGGCGATCGGCGTATAAAATCGCGAAGTGTGTCGCCATGATTATTGTAGCACGTAATTCTGATCGATTCTGGTAATTGCAGGCCAGCGGAGGAATTAGTTTTCACCGGAACAACTTCAACTGGAGAAATTCTTCAATCGTTGTCGCTCACCAACAACACCTTGTCAACAGTAGCTTTCAAGGTCAGTAGTTTTATATTTGTATATAGAACTACTTTATATAATTTTGTCGTGACTGCCAACAGGTCGTAAGTAGCTGCTGTTCGGTAAATGAGCCCGCACTTCTTTTCCCCGCTTCCCCTCCGAAAATGGAGGACCGGATCGGAGAAAAGGGCAAAACTCAAGCCTAACGCGAATAGTAAAAGATTGTAGACATTGTTCGCTAATACTGTGCTAATTTTTCATTTTACAGGTAAAGACAACCTCTCCAGAGAGTTATCGAGTCCGACCAAGCTCGGGTATAATTCCTGCAAACTCCTCTGCAGATGTCAGCGTATTTTTACAGCCAGGTAAAGTTTGAAAATGTTTTTCTAGAGGTTGCTCAGTATAAGAGGACCATGAAGTGTTATTTATTATTATTTTTTTTTTATGAGATATCAGAAAGTAGCTGAAGGAAAAAATCCCAGCTAATCGTTGACGGTAATTTATTGGAGAAAGATTACAGGGTTTGCAGTAATTTAGTGCTTGCCTCTCTTTTCTATTTAGTCCTTGAGGGAGGGCAACTAAAAATAATCATTAGATCCTTGGTAAAGCGCGAGTAGTATAAAGGAATGTCGTGGTTTTACATTAGGTCATGCTGCCAGCGTAGTAAAAGACAAGTTCTTGGTGATGTCGACTGAGTTACAGGATGATAAGTCGCCAAGTGAACTTGCTGCATTATGGAAAACGATACCAAAAGCAAATATTGTGGAACACAGGTTAGAATATTTCCCCAGTAAATTTTGTGTTTTAACTCTTTTGAGTTACAGTCGCGAGTACATCCCGAAGACTTTCATTTTCATTGTTTCTCTTTTACTTCTGGCACAGCTATCCAAGACCCCAACTTGTTTTACTATTTTTTCTCGTGCAAACCGTGTCAGGCCTCTCCGTCTTGTTTCTTTCCTCTCTCCTCATCTCTCCTCTTCTTGTTTTGTTTTGTTTTTTTGGTTTATTTGTAGTTCTTAGGTGTTTCTTTTTTAATAAAGATATTCCGATGACGTAGCTCTTTTAGTCAGAGCGTCGAATATTGAGTTCAACTGAGCGCGCTTCCAAACTCCCCTCTCCCACCCCCTGCTCGTTTGAGCCTATCTCTGAATTTTCTTTCAGACTTCGCTGCCGATTTCTGGCGTCTAGTTCTCAGCTTTCCGGTCAGTATTCTGATATTGCGGAAGGTAAACCAGTAACTCTTAGTATGGCCATCGACAGCATTCAGGCTCTTCAACGACAGCTGAGTGACGTGGAGAAAAAGGCAAGTACATCAGGAAGGATGGGAGGGGAGGGAAGGGGAGGGAAGGGGAGGGGGTATTTAATATCAACAAGGGTGGAATACCCCCCTCACCCCTTTCACACACGTCGTTGTTCACTTTCCACCGACAAGCTGCCAAAGCCTTGCTCATGCTAATTTTGCACATTTCTTATTTTTCAGCTTGATACCAGCAACAGAAAAATCTCGCACATAGAGACAGGTCTTAATGTGTTCATTAAAGTTCAATTGGGACTCTTTTCCGCCATGATAGTTTTGTTCGCCATTGTGATGTACTACGCTACGTTCCTCATTTAATATGTCATCAAGTGTCCACGGGCCTTCAAAATGAATAAGAGGGTTTAATTGATCTTAAAGTGCAACGTTCTAATGCTCTCTGGAATACATAACCTACTCAACGGTTGCTCATAGATCAGAGTGATTTAGAATCGCGGTTATTTGAATAACCATTGGCAAGAATTGAACTTGGGCCTTGTAAGCGAAATCAAAGATGGAATTTGCCGTTTACGTTTGAACACGGTTTTATAGATTTTTTTTTAATGTCAGGAACAAGTTGTAGAGGTGCGTTTAGGTGTGACCTTGCATGACTCGTCGCGAATTCGCCGCTTTACATTACTCATGTGCGCTATTCCGGGGAAAAAAATGCATCACTTCCAAAGGCGGAAAACTTTTTTAGTCCGTTTTATTCAGGGAACTCCGCCCCAAAAAATGTTTTCGTTACTTGTCAAAATTTCAATTGAACGCTTTTTGAGAAGAAATGAGGCGGAAACATTGACTAACTTTGAAATTGAAGCCTTAGTTTCCTTTTTTTGGGGAACAAGAAATAAAAATTGGACTGATTCCCTTTGCGCAAATGCTGAGTGTTACAGGTTCAAATTCTGTTAACTTGTCTTTTGCGTGGATTAGGTTGATTTCAGCGGCTGTGATCAACAAAATTTTTATGACCAATTATTACCCGTCAAGTAGGTGCGAATCTAGTTCTTTTTTCTGACCAGAGTGTCCTTTAATTTTTCTAAACTCCATTCTTGAAAGATTTTGGACGATTTAGCTAAACAACATAGGACAACGAGTAAGTGATCTCTGAACACTCGAAAGAAAAGTATATTTTTCCCATAAATAAAGAAATTATTTCTTTACATGGCTGTCAATAGATGGCATTAATTTATTAATATGAGCCCTGTAGAGTTTCCATCCAACAGTTGTCTTCACTTACAATATTATTAAGCTAAGCGATCAGTTCTTGCAATATTTTTCCCCAATATCTGTAGTTATTCCTACCGTTCGTATTGGCATAAACATTGTAAAAGATTTAAATTAATTTACGGGAAAATATACATATATTTTGAGAACTCGAAATCCATGATGTCTTGCCTTCAATCTCCTTAAGAAATCCTTAATGTGATTCAACGCAGTTTACGGTTATAGTAGTACGTTATTATAGTAATAATAGTTGGAGTTAGAGAGAGAGAATGCTATAGAAGTTGTGACTGCAAAGCAGTGGTAAAACTCTTGGTACCACTTCGGAGACTACGCTCAGCAAGATCGCTCAAGCTACAACCAATTGCAGAAATGTTGAGACACCTTGCGCGGAAAGTTCATTTCCCTACTTCATCAGAAGTTCGAGAAGTAATCTACAGTGCTAGGAAAACAAATACAGTCTCCCTTCCTCGATTCATTGTTGTTCGTCGAGGTTTTGTACATGATACTGCTTTGCTACCACCATTGCAAGAGGGGGGTGAGGGGGGGATACGTGTTGGATCGCGTGGTGACCTCTTGTAGTGGTAACATGACTCAACTTTTTTTTTTTTCAGGTCCTACTTACAACTACTAGTTTCAGTAGTGTTCTTAGCTGCGAGGATCTTCTAATTTCATCTTTCCACCGCAGTGCAAATATGTGAATTTTCTTATGACTCAACTAATTTTGCAACTGGTGTTAGTCCCCCCCCCCCCCCCAACCTTCCAATGCAGTTACTCCCTCCTTTCTATTATTCATTCGATCAATCAATAATTCATATACTCCTCCACTCATTTATTCAGAGTTTGTTTGTCGCTTTCCCTTTCGTTTTGTCTTTTTTGTTTTTTTGTTTAGCTTATCGTTTATTTCCGGCTTCGCCTCTTTTGATCATCAAGTCGGTAATAACTTAAAATAACGTTAACGATCAAAAGGTGGTGTGAAATAATTTTTTGTTCTCACCTATTGAATGCAAACGAGTTCCTATTGTTCTCATCCGACATGAAGGGAAATATTTCTTCCACCACTTTGGCGGCATCACCTTACTCAAGATAACCTTAGCGCAAATCATTCAAATCTAAATTCGCTTTTTTCGATGTGCGTTTCCCTCTTCTAAGCGAACAAACAGGTCTATCCACATTACGTGAAACTATTTCGATAGTGAAAAGCGAGCATCATTACGAAGAAAGTGGAAGATTGTTATTCCGGTATTTCACTTCAATAACTATTTATAATCACTCATGCATACCCAGGTCGTAAGAAAATCATAAATTTAGCTGACGCAGACGTAATTTTGTGGCGCAATCGTTTTGCATGACGGGTGTGATAGACAGGGCTTGGAAAGAGGGTTCATGAGTAATCTTTTCTCTCCAGATGCACTGCTAATGTTTGCATGGAGTCTATTTTGGGTGGTATTGTTTCTTGACACACGTGGCCCTTGTTGGTGAGTGGGTGGAACTGTTTACTTCCAGAGTTTAAACGGTTAAAAAAATAAAATTCCGAAGGTGAAATAAGTATTTTTGCGTGACAACTACGATTAACTTTTTCTTCCTTTTTTTGTTTTACTGCTACCAAGTTTTTCGACAGATCTTAAAACGAGTCAGCAACAACTGACTCAAAGCATGACATTAATTGCTTCCGATCAGATCAAATAGTCAATAAATTGACGGCGGAAATCACTTTTAGAAAAGTGTAGAAGGGCAAAAGAACAAAATGATTATAATGTCTTAAGGTGCCTTCACTTCATTGATCGTTGCCGAGAGAATATTAAAGCTGTAACTACTGCATTGGCGGCAAATAAGAGGAACTGCTTACTAATCGTCAAGACAAAAGCGCACCAATCATATCATATCGCCTTTTAAGTCCTATAAATTTCCCACGATCCCCAGGGTCTGGGTGTGAGTGACGTCTCCCGCCAAAAAAGCGCACATGTGAGGTCGCACACAGTGAAGTTGTCATTTGAGGACCTCGCTAATGAGAACTAGGTTTCAGTCGAAGCAATACGTTAGCCAGCCAAAAATCCTCAGCTAAAATGAACAGAAACTTGATGTACGGCTACTATCACACTGATTGTAAGTATCTTATTTATGGAAGACAGTCTCCCCTCGTTTATGTCAATGATTTTTCTTTGGTAGTTTGAAAGGCTAATGGTGTGATAAAATTTGCCAGTGTTAGCGTTGCTCGCAGATTGAAGACAGCTGACTCACAGATAGTTTTCGGTTATTCTCATTGCAGCTAAAGCAATAAACGTAACTGAGTCTTCGGAAAAAAATAATAACGAACCTCGGATGGTGAGTACCTCTATCTTTCTGGTATTTCTTAGTGTTTGTGCTCAAGGCAGTGTGCGAATTGGCGTGTAGGTGTTGTTTTTATCGAATAAACATATATTCTTTTACTTTAGTTCTTTCTCAAATCTATCCTATTTCGTGATGCATAGTAAGAAATAACTGAAGGTGTTTTTCCTTACAAGAGCTTTCCTTGCATTGTGGCTCAGTGCTGAAGTATTTGTTTTATTAAGAAACAGTTAAAACGTTATCTCGCACCTTGAATAGAAGTTTCCTAAGCAGTTGAAGAAGTTTCCTAAGCAGTTGGTACAGTAAAAAAAAAAAGTAGTTTCATGTTTTTCTTTACGTCTTCTACTGATAAGTCATTATTCACGACGGGTTATTCCGTAGGACTGTCCAATCTCAAATGTTAATGTGAATGCACTAGACCTCTCAGTGAGTAGCATCTAACTTCTCAGCACATCGCCCTGAATCACACATACAAAGCAATGAACACCAGTCAGAGAGGCTCATGATTGTTGAACAAATTCTCTTTGTAAGAGCCTATGAAATGTAAAGAGAATAGTATGGAGGAAACGCATACTGATTTTAATGGTAAAGTGTACACTGGCAACATTTAAAGCATGCCTACTTGCTGGTACATGCTTTTTTATTCAACTGTTAAAGGTTTACTGAGGAAAAGCCTGCTCTTCATTTACTTTAAACACACTTTACAAATTTTGCAATCTATAAAACTAGTTTTGTTGACAATGACCTCATCAGTTTTCTTGTCTATCTTATTTTGATTTTTAAAATTTTTTTCTTTCAAAATTATTTTTGCATTCTGCCTTTTCACTTCAGTAATCTCACAATTTATTTTCCCATGTAAGAGCTGTTACTTATTAGTGTAAAGCTATTTTAAATCCTCAGGGAGTTCCTAATGATGGAGTGCAGAAACATCAAACATTGCGTTTTTTATTTTTAGGAGGTTGCCTGTAACTGTAACAGATCTCCGGAAACAATCCAGTGCAGGGGATGTGGAAAGTCATTTGTGGGAAGAAAAAGAATTTTATGCCAACAGCACCGCAACACAATCCATCTTATGGACTTCAGTTTTTGCGTCTTCTGCAAACAGAGACTGGAATGAGATTGCTGTAAATACATAGTGGTCAGATTGGATATGAGGAGAAAAGGATTTAAATTTCCTGAAGGTTTTGTGATTCTCTCTTACCAAAGACTACAATAAGAGAGTTGTAAGCACAAGCAAGTGTTGCACAATGGCAATTCCTTTACTCTGACCCCACACTGTAACATGAGTAGGTTTTAATATGTACCATATTTCCTGGAACAAACACCCTTCTCATATGGTCCCCACCTCATAGGCAACAATACCAAACAAGCACCCCTTCCTTCCTCACTTTTTTAAATAGTTGGAATACAATAAAAACCTGTTGCCACTTCATTTACAACTTTTTCAGCTCCAACTACAGGGTAATCAGGACAGGAGAGTACTTCCATTTCAGCTTCAACTGCAGGGGAATTGGGGCAGGAGAATACCATCTTTTCCATATAAGTCAGTTCCAGTTATTTCTACCTGCATGTGCTTACAGAGTTCCTTTATGTGCATTATCTGTTATTTTAATTTGTATTACTCCCTACCCCCTCAATAATTAAGTGCCTTTTCTTTTAGCTGAATTTTTAAATAATAACTTGGGTGTTTATTCTAGGAAATATGGTGTGTACATAGTTTATGCACCAGGGTTGTCAAAATAAGTTTGCATCTGGCACATTTCACCCCCTACCCTGAAAAAATGTGTTGACTTTTCTGAATGATTGCAGCTCAATGTTTAGCATGGAAGCACATTGTTTATGTATCACTACTTTGTTGACAAGTCCAGTTAATCATTAACATTTTTGACAACCCTGATGCACAGATGCAGCATGCCCCAACAGTGGGTACTCAAGGATGAACACACTCAAGTGGGAAGATATTTGTTTAACTTGAAACCCCAGCACCAGTATGCATGTCCTCCATACTGTTCTGTTTACAATTCCTAAAATGCTGATGATGACAAATTGTTTAAAAATCAAGGGACTCTTAGGTTGCTGATTGCTTCCTTTATTTTCATGGTTTCATTGATTCAGGGATGACATTGTAAGGAGAATAAAAATGTTGAGCCATCTTAGGGATCAAAGGGTTAAAGATTTTGAGGAATTTCAAAAGTTGAAGTGTTTGGTTTTGTTGTAAATTTAGGATTTTGGGAATACTTGAGACTGAAATCATTAATTTGTTCACTTTTCTTGCAAATTGCTACTGAGGTCATGCACACTGAATCTACGTTGGAGATAAGAGGGACAACTGATGAAACATGACATACTTCCAAAAGTGCAATTACTGATAATATGAAAATAAACAGACCATGTCTAGGCAATTGCTTAATCAAGGGAAGGAAAGAAATGAATTGGTAATACAAATAGAGCTTCCTCTTTTTTATTGTGTCTGCACAGGCAAGGAATCAATTATGCAAGTAGTGTGCAGGATACTTAAAAATGTATGATGCTCAGTCTGACAGTCTAAGCTAGGGACCTAGATTCATTCATATACAGAAATGAATCTTGGGAGCTTGAAAAGAGTAAGTGTACAGTTGTATTAATTTGGTATTAGAAAGAGAAAAAACTGTTAATCATGGGTTTAAAGAATTAATTTCCCAGTGAAATACCCAGAAAGAGACTGCTTTGAGTTAGGTATGACATGTAATGTTGTCATTGTAATCTTATATGAATTTGTAAAGGATGCTTTTTGTTAGTTTTGGATTTGTATGATCAACAAAAATGTTCATTGCATGTGGTACTTAAGCTATAGTTTGTTTTTGTTCTGTTGTCATTGTTGTAAAATGTTGCCTTGTCAAGTACAATCTTACATTAGCATTCTACCTTGCTTTACAGTCTTGTCAGTTTATAGTGTATGGGTTGAACTTCAGAATAAGTGATTGTAAATAAAGATTTTTTAGTGCAAAATGGTGTTAATGAATAGTTAATGGTAGTAATGAAGACACAACCTTCAAGAACAAGATCCAGTAACTTCATGCTTGGCTTTCAATGTGGGTGATGTGCTCATGCCAATAAATTTGCCAGAGGAACTGAATAACCATAATTGGGAACACTTGTTGCTGTCTAAATTTACTTAGCACTGAAAAAATGGTGTTGGCAGCCAGAATGCCATGCCCTTTTTACCTACTCTCCAACTAAAACTCCTTTCTTTTATTTATTTTTCATCATTGTTCCTTTTGTACAGTGAAAATCCATTAAGAGCTTAAAACTTCAATTTCAATACTAAGAAAAATTTCCAATCCCCACTCACTTTCCAATGCTACTTGAAGTAAGGTTTCACTTTAAGTATTGCTTTCTCAAATTCAAGCACAACATCAGTGCCACCAGATTCCAGAAACAATCATCAGAGTGATGGTGAGCTAAGGCAAGGCTACAATGATCTACCACTGAGACAAAGAGACCTTTCCAAAGTAAGTTAGTCCTAAAGGAAATGTCTTCCCTCTAAAATCTACAGGCCTGCAGTGATTGTATAAATGGTAGATGAAAAAAAACCTGATATGGAGTGGAGATTTACCCTTAGAATAGTGAGATGTTTGAAAAGGAGACCTTTCTAAAGTGAGTTAGGCCTAGAGGAAACACCTTTCATATAAAGTTTACAGGCCTGTGGTGATTGTAATGAAAAAAAAGTTGATATGAGGTGGAGATTTACCCTTACAATAATGAAATGTGTAACAATTGGCTCAAACTCCTTAGGATTCAATGATTTCCCACAAAAGTTAGGTGATTCAATAATATAAATAAAGTTAATAATCAAAACAACCAAACAGAGCCTGGATTTCCTTGCATCATTACCATAACATTTAACTTTAATAATTTTCTTTAGTTGCAAAATTTCTTATAGTACTACTTACAAGACTCGATATATATATTTATAAATGCATGCTTTAGCAATAAACAAACCTTTTTACACTAGTGTAAAAACTGTTAGATTCCAACCAAGCACTTCCAAGGTAAAGACTTAAACTTGCTTGATTTGTAGGAGGGTTGTTTCAAGTTACTATTTAATCATCTCACCATGTTCCATGTTTTCCATGAAGGTGAAAAAAGGTGGACATATCATGACCTAAAAAAGATTACTCTGTTTCCTTTTGTTGTTGTTGTTGTTTTTCTTTAGAAGATGTTGCTTTTAATTGCTGGATAATCACTAGGTTTTTGTGAAGAACCAAATCCTGCATTCACTGTAAAATTATTTGAAATTGTTTCAAATCCATACACATTGGCTTCATTGTGCTTGCCCATCAAATCTAAACAGCAAGTACGATAAACACAAAAAGGGAAAAGGCAAAAGGGAATCTAACACAATTGGTCCAATCCTAAAATGAATGTACACTTAAGCATGCATAAAGAGCAATATATATCTATCTTTTACAACGATCATGTTAAATCTAAAAAAACTTTAAAAAGATTTTAATCAGTTCTTCATCATAACTATACTTGCCACTGTCCTTACTCCTGTCAAATTTTTCTACATGAAAATCTTGCTATAAAAATACTAAATATCTACAGTGTCATTGTATTAAAAACTGCACAAAAAAATGTCTTGAGAGTTCAACAAGTGATAAGCTCAATTCAGTTTTGCTACTTTTTTGAGTAGATAAGTTGTCACATTGAAGCAAAAGAAGGAAGTTTCAAACAAACCTGTTTCTTGGGCCTTAGACTTTCTATTTCTCAAACTTTGAAATACCATGACCTATCAGTTTTTAGGAGTTCCAAATAAATGCACTTATCTGATTGCTGGTTCATAGAGGTTGTTTAACAGAACTGTGCAGTTTTTGTCTTTAGTAAACTGATCTTCTTAAAAAATCTTCAACTGATGAAAAGGATATGGACCCTAGCAAAGCATCTTGTAACTTAGGAACAGTTAAAAATCTCATTAAGATTCCCCAAAGGAAAAGAACATTTGGGTGCCTAGTTAAAATGCAGATTTACAACCTGTTGAATTGAAAGCTGCATGAAGCAGTGTACAGTAGCCAGCATCAGGATGAATTGGAATTATTGTTGGAAGTTGGCCCACTGTATGCTTGCCCTCCATTCACATATGATGTTCCCAACCCATAAAGGTGTCCACAGTACTTTGCATCATCTATATTATCTTCAAAAAACATCTGTAGGATACAAAATGCAGAGAAAAATTATTAAAATGGTTAAATTGAAATTCTTTACCTGTTCTGATCAGATACTGTCCTCAGTAAAACAAGGGCTGCATCTCCAAGATAAACATATAATGATATACCTCTCTCATTCTAAAAAATGCATTTCCTGTTAATAGGCTGTCACTTCCTGCTTGGTGCTGGGGTCCCACTCTTTCAAGCTATAAGAAATGAAAAAAAAGCTAAAATGTAGACTTGGTTTTTATATCTATCAAGTATTTGCATGGGCACTTTATTGTTCTATTTTTCTCAAGACTTGTCCTTTTGTTGAAAATTAAATCGCAGAAACTGATACACACAACTTCAAAATTTTCGCACACCACTCTCCAATGTTCTACCACTGGGTGGTACAGCATCACAATTGGATGTTTAGGGTTGATTCTTCATAGGTACTCTGATCTTTTTCCTTATATCACACTCAAAGCAAAATGAATAATACCAATTTGTCAAATGTTATCAGCTACCTTTTGCAATATCATTAAAAACCTTAGAGTTTTACCTCTGATTAAGTTTCAGACAAACACCATCTCTATTATCTCCCATCCCTCAAGAGACCGTTGGATATATATATATATATATATATATATATATATAAAGATCCCAAAAAGGCTTATTAATGAGATTATAATAATTGCTACAATTTGATTGAGCTATGATGAATTGTAAGTTATAACTTTACCTCTAACAGTTCAGCCACTTCCTGCAAGCCACCCTTAAGACTCTTGCAACTCTTCATTAAGTATTTAACATCATAAATATTTGGAAAGTAGATCTTCAATAGGTCAAAGAATTCTGATTCTTCGCTTGGCAAATTTTGTGCTGTCACCACTTTCAACAGGTATGCAAAATCATAACCACTGGTGAAAAAATTTAGCCACAAAATCAGAATGGAAGAGAAGGAAATGTTGAATAACATAAAGGAAAATATCTTTCTCTATGGAAGACTCAATGATTATCAAAATATGAGTTTTAAAACATAATGTTCCATAAAAGAAAACCTTGTACACCTTTAAATATGAGAAAAGTATGCAATACTGAGCAAAGAAACTTATCTCCCACCCAGCATGTCTTTAGTAATATTTACCTGTGAAATGATAGCCATTTGACATCTTCATTCAGTACAAGTCCTGATGTTATCAGAAGCTCTGCAAAGTCATTCACATCAATTCCTTCTTCTTCATGCCTTTTAAACTGAATACCTGCTCGGTTGAGTAAATCTATTGAGTCCTGGGCATACATGTCCTCTCTGTGGTAAATATTTGTAAAATCAATAGAATAAATACTGTTAAACTGGTGCGTTTGCAAAGTTTAGACCTATTATGTTTGGTTTCTGACAGCCACAAACTACATCAGAATATTTTCAACCTCTTTAAATTTTGAAACAAGAATTCTGATAATTGAAAAAAAAAACCTAGTTCATGTGCTAAGTGGATCACACTTCTATAGTTTGCCAGAGTTTCTGAAGCCCAGGTGCTTATTGTTCCTCTGCCACCAGAGGTACCCATCTGTGTTTATCTCAACCCACTTCTTCTCATGGGTTGAGATAAGCAGGCCTTACTCAAGAAATATTCAAGCTTGTGTTGAACATTTTCTGTGCTGTTTGCATCCGTGATTTGTTTCACAGTTGCGCAGAATAAAACTTACGTTAGGTTAAACTTGAAGTTAAACTGGCAAGTGGCTCCAACAGGTGCTTGTTGTCCTTTCTCGTTGTAAAAGGATAAGCCAAGTTGTATGATTTTCAATAAGTCCACATTACACCTTAGAAGTTGATACTGATACTCTGAAGTGCTGCGAAACTCTCCTATAGGCCTTGCCACAACACCTGGAAATTCTGTGTCCTACCATCAAAAAAACAAGTAAAATTAAGCTTGTCTAGTTAATTTGCATTGTCAGGTAAAAACAATTCTATTAACTATGCAAGCTTTCCTCTATCAGTCAAGAAATAAGCAATAAGAGCTCACCAATACTTAACTCAAAGGCCTTTGTACTATTTGATGATGTTAACCACCGGAATGATTCACTTTTAAAGCAATTTACTCCAACAAAGGTTAAAACGAAATATTTTACTCTTACCATGGCTACATAAGGATAGTTTTCTACTACATCTCTTATTTTAGCGAACTCTTCTTCCATGTTGTTTTTCCATACGTCTCTGATGTTGAAATTATTCACAGTGGATGGCATTTTTTTCCAGTCACAGTGAACCAACCTAATCTTTCAGCCTCGGTCAACTGGAGGTGCTTCTATACATAAGTAAATCCACTTTAACCCTTGCAGGAGAGTCCCTGCAATCCGTGAAAAACGATCTAAAGAAGTAAAACACTCGAAATTATTCGAATATATCGTGGCACCTATCGATCATGTGGGGCGACTCCTACAGCTGTCATCAAATGATGATTAAGTATGTTTAGGATAATAATTCAAACAGAAAAAACACTCACCTCTGTCTCCTCAGACAATTCGCTCCTGTTCTGAATTCTAAACTCGAGAAACAGTCCAACTTGACCCAAGAAACAAGGACCCAAACAGGTACAAATTCGTATACCGGTCTTCCGCAAGATGGCGCTCTGCGCATAATTCGATTTCTTCAAGCGCATTCATTTTCGAAAGAAACCGCAGCCAATGAGAACTAAAGAGATCTGGGAACGAGAAATCTGTCACACAGGTGAGCAACGCAGATGCCAGATGCCTGATGCCTGATATAACTCCATTATTTTTCCTCAGGCTGAGTGAATATTATTGAACAATCCCCTCGACTTCATTTCAAGTAGAGGAGCCCACCATGTGCTCCTGTCAAAGATTATTCAGAAATATTCATTCCAACATGAGGGAACAATTGCTAGTTGTAAGGCTCACGCTCGAACCTTTAGCTCCAGAAACTATACACGAAAGCCAATTTACATTATCAAGAATAAAGAAACTATGGCGCTGCATCGGGGGGTGGGGTGGGTGGGAGGTATTACGAGATTAAACCAAATTATCTTGTGAAACGATTATCATCAACCCCCTTATGACTGGCTGAGATGGAGTGAGGGGGGGACTGGAACCGTGTGTGTTCAGTACTAGTTGTAACTACAAAACAACTGACCGCTTTCAGATATTTCCGTTAACGTGCGTGATGTTATGAAAGCATGGCATCCTTCGCTGGGCATATGTTCAAAAAGCTCTCAAGCGTAATACCTGATTTCGTACTTATAGGATAAGTTAAACAGACTTATGATTTGTTGTCGAAAAAGTGTAAATCCCCTAGTATACTATACTTTCTACTTGTGGCAGAACTCGTCGCATAAGGTGGAAGAACTCGCCACAAAGACCAGGGCGGGAAATGTATTTTTAGTTCACAAATGATCTTAAAATAACGTGATAGATACAACCTTAGGAACAAGGCCAATATTGAAAGCTATTCAACTTTTTCCTGTCTTGTGTCTGGCTCGCATAACCTCAGAAGAATATCGGTCTTTTGCGCTGAGTGTACATTCAGTTTGAGGCGACAGTTCATGATACTAACGGGAGTAAACTGAAAGAAGTTAATTCTAGGCCAGAGTTGAAATAATTTCAAGAGAGAGTTTGCTGTGTTTTTATTCCTTTTTCCATGTCCTAGGTAGAAAATAATTCAGTAAACAAGCCTCTGATTATATCTTAAATCAGTTCTGTGATAATGCTTATTTTTTATTCTGTTTGTTTAATTGTGCTATGCCGACAAATGACTAAATGAAGAAAAGATACACCTCCTTGATTTAATAAACGAAAGTATAATGTATATATAATCACGTTTTATTTTACTTTTCTGATCTTCTGTTTGCAAGAATGACTGGGAAAAGGAAGGTCCTTATTTCCAAAATAAGTTTGAGAAATATCTTGTCGCCTCGGTCTTGTATTTTTAGGTATTGGTTTATAAAATAAGGGCGAAAGGGGAAGGAGGAGACCTTCTCCAAAACCTTCTTTATATCTACCACTGGATTACTTCTTTTGTCTAAAAACAAAATTCTTCAAGGTTTTAAAAATTCTGAAGTACTCCGCTCGAATTGAACGATTCATGATACCGTATATGATGGGGTTTAACGAAGAGCTGGAAAATCCAAAACAAGTGTAACTCACATACACTTGCCGTTTTAGTTTCCAATCCGCGTTTATAAAATCGATTATATCAATCACCAATACGGGAGTCCAGCAGCCTAGAAAACCTATTACAACCACAAGGAGAATGTTTGTAATGTTCACTTCTTCGACAGATAACCCACTGTCGGATCGCAGGTCCATTTGCCTCCTTCGTTGCCTGCGTTGAAGGTTATGTTTGCGCACCGCTATAAACACTTTTGTGTAACAAATAACGATGATCATTAGTGGAATAGCCACGTAAACAAGAACCAAATAAGCCCCATATCCTTGATTCAAACTTTCTAAATCGTGCGCGCAGAAAACTTTACCAGTGTGAAAGAAAAACTCGTGACCAGAAACGATGTATGGAAGGGGCGCAAACAATGCCAGGATCCACAAAATCGCGATTGTTATCTTCGTTTTCTTTAGGCTGAAGAGTTTTTGATATAGCGCGCGGGATCGGGTGACACGAACATATCTGTTGACGGCAGTGACAGCTAAAGTTTCTAACGAAACGGCACACATAAGAAGAATCCAGAAGCCTTGAAGTTGACAGAAAAAGTTGCTGAGCGGCCATTTTCCAACGATTAGAGAAGCGACTGAAAACGGAATTCCCAGCAGAGACATCAGGAAGTCTGAGACAGCCAGAGTTATGATGTACATGTTGGGAGCAGTGCTGCGAAGATTTGGGTTTCTGATGACAGCGATTCCGAGCAGAAGATTTCCAGCAAAGGAAACAAAGTTGATCAACAACATGAACAACGACTCTGTGGCTTGACTTGTAGGAGAACGGTCTTGTAACTGGCGGGCGAATATTTCAATTGCGTTCAGTGTTGCATTCATTTTAGACTGAGTAGGTATAAAGGTTGTCCACTTTCGTGATCAGCAGATGTTTGTAATCTTCGATTCCAAATAAATGTTACAATTCCAATGAATTATCGAGAGACTTAACACCTTGTTAACAACTCGTCTGCAGTGAATCGTCCTCGTGGTTTCACGGTGATTACAAATTTACGCCTGCCCACTCTCCTTCCTGAAAGCCACGGAATAATGAACCCAAACATTCTATGCAGATTTTTTTATCGACAATATTAAAAAATGCGTTACTGTGGTTTATATTAGCCGCATTCCACACAACCGCAGAAACCAAAACTTTCGAAAACGAAAATGAAGTATTTCTGGCATCAAGAGCTTTTAAAGTTCTGGTGGTGCGCATGTGTGATGGCTGGTGTACTTCAATTTTGTCAAAAAAAATTAAGACTGAAATTGAAGTTTCCATGTTGAATAACTCTGAAATAGTTGCTTTTGAGTACATTAGTGTCTTAAAAATTACGGCCATAAGTTCTAACTGGACTCATGAATTCTCAAGATGAATTTAATGGGCCAATAGAAGAGGCTGAGGACCTACATACAAGGTCACGGGGGAAGGAGAGCTTCCGGGCAAATTAAAAATAATGTTCAAAACAAGGTGACTGTAAGACAGGGCATCACGAAACAATAATAGTTTTCGATCTCAGTTATTATTTAAAGGTTCGGTCAAGCCTTTTTAAGGTATTTGACATCAACTGAAAATTCAGGATTAATTTTATGCGTTGTTGTCGCTGTGCTGTGAATCTACAGAAGTTGAAACTTCATACAGTAGAACCTCGATTTAACGAACCTCTTTAGAACGAAGTCCTCGGTATAACGAACCAATTTCCCCAGTCCTTCGGCACTTCGTTAAATCGAGGTTCCACTGCAGGAGGTTATTGGCAAGGCTCAGGCTTATGAAGACCGAGGACTTACAAGACTTACGAGGACGCTCACAAGATGCAGGGAGAGGGAAATGTTTACTCAAGTCAACTTTGATAGCAATAGGAACTGGAAGTGGAACCAAGGTAAGAGTAGAATGATTGTTTACGACTAAGACGGCCTACTTCTACCATTAGTATCCTTACGACCTACGACCTACAACCGTACAAGGTGCTACTTTTAACATGCGTGGCCAACTGTACCGCGGGCACGCCGACGCCACGGCTTTGTCCAGTAGTCCAGTGGTCAGTGCACTGGGCTCCGAGTCGGACGACCCGGGTTCTAGTCCTGGCCGAGGCAAGGCGTTGTGCCTTTGAGACGTGCGGGAAAAAAAATGCGAGCTCCGCTTTTAGGCTTGGCTAAATCTATATATTATGGAGTGTACCCCTGAATAACTAAGACGCTGTTTTCACTCGCGTAAGAACCGACAGCTGAAATCATTTTTACCGAGTACCCAAGTAAAACAAAACCGTGCAGAGTAATAGCTGCTAATCAGCGAAAATAGGGACTAGTACAAGAAGCTGGAGAGAATTTATACTCAAAGCATCAAACTGTCTCAAGCGCAAAAGAACACTTGTGATCAGGTTGCGATTGGATTTACAGCGTTTTGGGGAGGATATGTTTGGAAAATGAAGAGGGTGGTGCGAGTTTGGTGATTCAAAATTCAGGTCAACTGCAGCGTCCAAACATTGGTTTTCAATTGCTTATTAAATGGCCCTTCCTAATTCGTAGACGGAATCATCACTAAATATCTTCATAATTTGATCATGACCGGGAGTTAAGTCTATTTACTTTGAAAAGCGAAATTTGCCAAGTAAAATACATCTAAATTTATTATGCTTCAAAATGTAATGTTCCAGCCACGTTTTTCGCTCGAAAGAGAGCTTTAAGACATGGCAAATCGAAAGCAACCTTGCCAGGAATCTGTCCTAAATGCTGAAATTGCTGACAACGATTAGGCTTCCACGACACAACGACCAGACACTAATAAAGAAAAAAATATTTGAAGAAGATTAGGCAAACAAATTAATACAATGACATAAATGTTGAAAATGTCATCGCCTTTCGCAAGCAGGATATATAACTGTTTTGCTTAACCACAAAAACTAAACAGGAACTTGGCATACAGACGTAAATATAATCGTCACATTGAAAATTATGCTTTTTCACGGCACGTCTACGATTTGGATATTTCCGGCGAGATCTAGTGATGACTTTGTGCAATTAATATTTTAGACTCCAGGTTTTAAGAATCTGACAGTGTTATTCGGCACCATGCTAGTTTGTAATATTGCCAAGATCTACCGTCCTCTGGAATAATCCCAATTAGCTCCGAAAATGTGTCGTTCACATTGAATCGGAATTTCCCTTAGTCACCGAATTAAAATTTTTTTTCAGAGAAAGAAATTAACTTGTTTACTTAAAAGAATCAATCCAAATAGTGTGGCGGTGAATTTTGGCTTTTCTGAGCATCGAAACGAAACAAGGAAGAAAAGTAAAAGCGGTACGCGACTATACTAATATATACTAATATATACTATAATTTCCCATTTGGTTTCTGGAGTTACAGCACGTGAGGTAAGGAAGATTTCTCAATCGAAAGTGATCACGGAAAATAATTCGATTCTCTTAAGAAAAATCTTATTGGGAACACGTTGCTAATCATCCTGCGCAGCCTCCAAAACAAAAATAAGGAAGTTGTCAGAGCGGAATGCATTCAAAGCTGGCACCCCTTAGGCAAGGGGATGGGATGACCGAAAGATAAATAATATAACTCATCATGATCTAACCGGCTCCGCAGAAGCCTGTCGTTTTGGCCCCTCATAAGACCAAATAACTTGTTTAGATGAAACCAAGAGAGCCATGCCCTAAACACGAAACACGAGCGGATACAAGATGCGTGTTGCGGTTCTCTTTCGAGTTCTTTTTAAAGCAATACACTTGAATTAGGAATGGACTAGCGATGGGCTCACCGTGCTGATCATTCATTCACATTGTTAACCATTACCAAAAAACAAACCTGTTTGAAGAACGCGAAGAAACGAAATACGCTGGCATAAATACAAGCAATTTTATAATTATTAAAAGTGACTTTTGTAAAACATAAAAAAAGTGGAGCGGTAAACCACACACAATTCAAAGCCAAAATGGCGCCATTTCAATTTCCCTACGTACGCTGCAATTTCCCGCTGTGAGCAGGAAGGCAAAAACATTTCCGACCGGCGTGTGAGTAGTTTGCAGGTTGGATTGCGGATTGTTGGTCGAATCAATTGCGGAATAATCCAGGAAAGAAATTAGTCGGTCACAGGGCTTAGAAAAACGAATAACCTTTTCATTATTTACCGCAACGTGCTTCTGGGTAAATGAAAGACCGGCGTGTTGTAGTTAATTAGCAACCTGTCTAATACTGATAAATGAAAGCGTTATATATTCAGGTTTCTTTTATTAAAAAAACGACAATTACCGTCTGTAGGAAAGGATGCAAGATAATTAGAACTTGTGGAATCACACAAAGCCGTTCAAGTTAAATGCACGTTCATTGAAATTTGTGGGTGATTCAACCCCGCCGAATACGGAATGTTTGTTTTGGCCGAGTGTTCTAGAAAGAATTTCAACATTTGACTCATCTGACAATGCAAAAACTGAGTCCCGTTTGGCTCAGTGAACACAATTCTTGCGGTTATCATTTGAAATGTTTTATTCATCAAGATTTGTCCTCCCTATTCTTCAAAGTGATCAACGTAAGTCTCCGACAACTTTGACATCTTGCATGATAAACTAAGTGCTTTCAAAATTAACCAGCATGAATTTTAAGGGAACATTTCGAGTGTTTCCTGCAATCTTAGCACAGTTGACGGAAAGGTATTGTTCAGAAAGTACCTTTGAAAAGCATGACTGTTTGTCGTGTTATTTTTCCACCTTCATCTTCGCGTTGAAAGAAAATTTGATGACAACTTTACAAAAAAAAAAACCAACTGATAATTAGGGAGGCGTTTATGAGAAATAATAAAGTTCTACGTTTCGGTTTTGCTAATGAATTGCTCAATCGGAATTAGTGTTGGAACAGACGTGAAAAAATAAATGTCGAATTACTTTCATTTTTATAAGTGAGGAAATGTTTTTGCAAAAAGTAAATAACATTTCCCGAATAAAACAAACAGAGACAAAACTTACTAACATAGGTCACGAATTATCAAGCAGAATATTTCTAAGATGACCTATCAAATTGGTAGATATGATGTTTTGCAAAATGTATTTGAGCCTTTTCTAGACATATATTGCATTAGTCGCGGAAGGAATCTGATACCGCTCGCTCACATTTAAGAGCCACGATTCGTTTGAGTTACAAGCAAACATTGTCGGCTGTGTTGACAAAAGCTGAAACATAGCTTTTTAAAAACGGTGAGTTTACTTTCACACTTCCATTGACGACACCTGCAGCCCGCCTCTGCTTAATTCGGAAAATTTTCCTCTTTTGTAACTGAAAAACGGTAAAAAGACTGGAAAACCTGTACAACTAAACGATGTTTAAGCTATTATGAAAATCATTCCAAACAGTTAAAGTTTGAGTGTAAATCCGAAAGAAGTGAACGCCCAAGAAAGGATATTTGATGACAAGTACGTATCCGAAAGCAAAACTATCACGAATTTTCAATTTTCGCTCGTTCTCTCTATCCATATTAATTCGGTGATATATTCGTGAAACTTCCGCGACGAAACTATCATTTTTTATTTAATTATTTATCAGGGCCCATCTAAACATCACGAAAGCGTTAAAAATCCAGCGACACCTAACCATATCATAAACTTTGGTAGCAAAACGATCGTTTGGCAGGGACTCTGAGTCTTGCAGTCTTTCAATTACACCACGGAGATCAACCAGACCACAACCATGGGCGATAACGCATCACTGACTACAATTGAAGTCTTTTCTTGGCAGTTAAAAAGCCGATCGACTGTCATTCAGGCCACAGAGTCGTTCTTCATGTTGTTTATCAACTCCCTCTCTTTCTTTGGGAATCTTCTTCTTGGAATCGCTGTCATCAAAAACCCGAATCTTCGCAGGACTGTTCCCAATGTGTACATTATAACTCTGGCTGTCTCAGACTTCTTGATGTCTTTGCTGGGAATTCCTTTCTCAGTCGCCTCTCTGATCGTTGGAAAATGGCCTTTCAACAACTTTGTCTGCCAGCTTCAAGGCTTCTGGATTCTTCTCATGTGTGCAGTGTCATTACAAACTTTAGCTGTCACTGCTGTGAATAGATACTTCCGTGTTGTTCGATCTCGCACGCAGTATCAAAAGTACTTTAACATCAAGACAACAAAGGTAACAATCGCGATTTTGTGGATCTTGGCTCTGTTTGCGCCGCTTCCATACGTTGTTTCCGGACACGAGTTTTTCTTTCACACTGGTAAAGTTTTCTGTGCGCACAATGCTGAAAGCTTATACCAGGGATATGGAGCTTACTTGGTTCTCGTTTATGTGCTTATTCCTTTGATTATCATCATAACTTGTTACACCAAAGTGTTCTTCGCCGTTCGAAAACATAACCTCAACTTTCGACTCAGTCAAAAACGAAGACAGCTCAACCATCGCAGTGATAGTCTTCTATCTGTGGACGAAGTAAAGGTTACCTATATTCTCCTTGTGGTTGTAATTGGTTTTCTAACTTGCTGGACCCCTGTGATGGTTATCGACATGATTGACTTCATAAACGCGGACTGGAAACTCAAACGCCAAGTTTACGTGAGTTACACTTGTTTTGGATTTGCTAGCACCTCCCTGAACCCCATCATCTATGGCATCATGAATCGTTCCATCCGCGCGGAGTACCTGCGAATCTTAGCGCCTTTGAGGGTGTGGGTATCTTACGGTACCGCGAGCGATGTCAAAGCAGACACTGCAACGGACGAACCCGCGAACAGCACCCGACGAACTTTGGCCGGAAACAAAGTCGGCGTGTCATTTGAACGCAGTGAAGAAAGATTGCCACCTCAAGACAATGGCTCTCATAATCAGAAGCCATCTTTGTATCGAGCAGATAGCTCGACACAGCCAGCAAGCAGCCGAGGTGTACATGGGATATCGAGCATTAAATTTGGGCCGACATATTCCTTGTGACGTAGAAATAGTCGCCACGGTGATAATATGAAAAGAGAGCTTAAAGATCACAGACCAACCAGCCAAAAGCATCAAAGCAAGAGGTATGACACCTGATGCAAACGACTGTGTTGTCGATCACTACTTTTCATGTAAAGGACTTCGAAACGTCACGGAGGAGAGACAAACTTTACTCTTAGATTTTTAAGCTCTTAACTTTTTTCGCGAATTCTTTTTCTCGGAGAATCGCTTCATTTTCTCTCGAAAAAAATCAAAAGAGACCAATATAAGACAAAAGTCTTCTGAGGTGAAATCCTAAATATAGCACTTTTTGTATCATACTTATGCCGCTTATTTAAACTTAGTGCTTAGTGATATTTCATAATAAAAACAAGCGAGATTAAAACATTTCGGCGAAGACATGTCATCATTATCGAATGTAAAATTATTATAAGTTCAGTGACGTTTTATAGAGAATGGAAAGTGTGAAACGAAATTAGAATAAAATGAGATGGAGTGAATCAGTCGTGTACTACAACCAGTTTTCACAAGTAGGAAAATCTCGAAAGGTTTAAAAATCACGGAAACAAAGCTGTCACTGGTAAACCAACAAAGCGTTGTATATGAATCTAAATGTAATTCGTGTGATGCGAATTTTATAGGCTACAAGAACCGTCACCTCCACCTTCGTATTGAGGAGCACAAATATTCCGTCATCGGAAAACATCTTAAAGACGAACACAATCAAAGACCGAACAATCTTCACGAGCAATTTGCCATCCTAAAGAAATGCCGCGGAAAGTTTGAATGCCTTATCTGATGAGATGTTTTTAATAAGGAAAAAGAGACCGACTCTGAACAATCAAAGACTCCATTCCAGTGAAACTGTTTATTTAATTGTGTACATTCTTTTGTTTCACTCCATCTCATTTTCATTCTGATTAAGTTTCACACTTTCCTTCCTCTATAAAACGTCACTGAACTTACAATAGTTTACATTTGATAATGGTGACATGTCGTCGCCGAAACATTATGTTTTAATCTCGCTACTTTTTAATATGAAATGTTTTTTCTAAATCTTTCGTTATCTTCTTATCTGGATCTTTTGAACAAGTATTGCTATAACGCAGAAAATTATTGTATGCATATATGATTTCCTATACCTGGCTAAATTGTTTAAATAATCTTTATTATTTTTTAAGCCAATCAAACACAGTCGTATTCAGCAGAAGAAGAGATACCCTTAGTCGTCTTTCTTTAAAATCGTCAGATGTATTTCGAGTGCCTAGTGCTTGAATGTAAATATGATTTCCCTCTCCTTTCCACCTGTGTGCGATTTCGGTTTCAAGGGTCACTCACCCAAAACTGACCAATCCTATCTCAGGAAACGAGCGATGAATTCCACCTACGTTTTAGCCCAATCTTCTCTAGTTTGATTAATATTTTCGTTTGCGTTTGGACCCGGTGACAGAAGCGGCAAAATATTCAACTGCATGTAAGCATTGTACGTTTTCAGCAATTAAGGAAAGCTAAGTTTTAAAGATATTTATCAATTTGTAGACACTTCTTTCCTTCTATAACAAAGAATGTATTCAGAATTTGTTGGCCGTTAATTTTCATATGTTGTGTGATGGTCGGCAGCAGAAGAAGAGTTACCCGTAGTAGTATGGATGTGCCTTCAATGCTGATGGGGGCCTTCCCATGACCTACCATATGAGGTACAACACCCAGAGAGGCCAACAACGTAGCTTTTCCATCCTCCATCCTATTGGCCTTCGAAAACAGACACTTTCTCTATAACCCTTAGAGTGACTGGCATCTAATTTCACCTTACAATACCATCCTTAAATTAAACATTAAGATCACGAGAATAAAGAATATGATAACCACCTAAAGAACCTCTTGATCGTTAAACAAATTCTCTCTGTCGGCACCTTTGAAAGTGTACAGAAAACAGTGTGGAGAAAATTCATACTGATGTCAGGGTGTAAAGGGTTAACATCACATTGTTTGAAAAGAAATGGATGTCAAAACTCTACCCCACACCTTTGTAATCCCATCTTTAATCCATGTAAGTAAGAAAGCAAAATTAATCTTTTGATACAGTAAGTACAAAAATTCTAAAAGAAACACCACATACATTCCATTGATTTCATCAAGCAAAATAAACATAAGAACATATACTCTATCAGTTCATTAATTACAAAATTTGCTTTGACCTTACATTGGGATTTAAACAAAAAAAAAAAAAAGCAAGATCATGATTGCAAAATTCTCTTTGGTTATCTCCTCTCCCAGGAGTGACCAAAATATAAATTCTCCTTGAAAATCTATACCATGCTGAACAACAGGTAATAATAATTTGTAAAACGATCAACCAAGGGAAGTATCCTGATATATGACCCAACTGTTGTGAAGAATCTACAAAACTACTAAAGCTGATTCAGTTTGAGTATTTAAGCTCAAAACATACACAATACAAAAACATATACAATTACAGTCACTTGCAGCTGTCTTGAGCTTGAAAGAATTTACATTGCATTGGACAATTAGAGTCTTAGCTAGATATCATCAAACTGATTGCTAGTTTAATAACATATCTGCTGATGTCTATACTATTTACAATCTGCGACTATTTTTACCTGCAGCAAATTTTCACTTTTTTCATTGGTGTCCAAAACTCAAGACTCCTTATAACATTACCCACCTTTTGGGTTGTTGCTCAAACCTAACACCAAAATTAGGTTTTTAAATAAATTTACTCAGATATAAAATTACATTTAAGAAATAATGACCTAGTCTAGGGAACTTCAACAAATTGTTTATCTTGCAAATCCATAATCCATGATCTATCAGCCATGTGATAAATAAATCAAATGTTGCTTTAACACATTTTAGTCTCTAGATTTCTCTCAAATCTATACAGCATTCCATAAATGTTTGGCGCAAAACTAAAATCAATGTACACTTGCAGTCATATGTAAATATCATAGACTAAGCACCAAGTACTTTTCCAAAATGGTCACAACATGTTATTCAACCACTGGTTCCCAAGTCAGTAAGAGTCCATTCTTTGCTTGAGTCGCAGTGAATTTTTCCTCTGTTCCAGAAAATGGAAAAGTTTACCAGCCAGCATTATTTTTTTTAATGACATTTATGTTGATGAAATACTGCCTCAGCAAGAGTCCATGGCAAACACCAACAGTTCCAGCCAGGGAAACTAGCGCTTCAGAGTGAATATTACAATGCCGTCCCATCTTGAATGTCATCTTCCTGAACTGCCAGCACATCTGGTTTGGCCCTGTGAGCATATGGCACCTGAGTTTCCACTTCGTTCTCATGCAGCAGCTCTTCTGATGTAATATCAATGGCCACAGTTGTAGAATCACCTTTGTCGTCATTGGAGTGGGTGTCCTGTGGATCCAACTCCCCTTCCTCCATCCATCTTTGCTGATCATTTAATAACGAGTCTTGCTCAGGTTGGTTTACCAGTGGGAAGTGAACTCCGTCACCAATACTGTCCAAGAAATGAAACATTGGAAAATGTCACTTCTTAACTCAAAATTGAGCTAGTAATTTTCAAGATTCTAAACTAGGCTGCTATCAAACAATACTACTATGCTATTTGTACTAGGAGTGCAGAGTAATAACAGTTTTGAGTTTTGTATATAAACCCTCAACTTGTGGATATACAGAGGAACCTCTGGGAGTTTGAGTCAGCAGGGTTCTTCTTTATATTCTTTTAATAAACCAGTATTTACCATTATTAATTTATTTTTTATTATTTCTTTATTTTTAATTTTTATGAAACTTGATAAATCAGATGGTGGGGTTCAGAGTAGCTAATGGTTATTATGTAAGGAAAACTCCAACATGGCTTTTTAGCTGGGTACACTGGGAGGGGAAAGTGTGTGTTTGTCTGGGAGGGGGAGGGGCAGGGGGAGGGGGAGGGGCAGGGGGAGGGGGAGGGGCAGGGAGAAGGTAGTGGAATGCATTTACAAAACTCTTACCTGGTGAAAATAGGTAAAAACCAATACCACTTGTTGAGTCCCAAAACTTGTTCTGCATTCTTAATTACAGTTCCCAAACTGAAGCCATCCTTATTTGGGCCATAAGAGAAATGAGGAACTCTGAATGACTCTGTCAGGAAAGAAACAGAGGAACTACATGTACATCATCGCAGATAAACAAATTTTAAAAACTTTTCTGAACTTAACACTACTTTACAAAATATTTGAGAACTATACATGAATAGCATTGCAACTCATGCAGAGAAAAATGTATAATAAGCTTAATATTTTCATTGAAAAAATCAAGCTCACATGATATAAAATCATTGAAGGGTATGTGGAGAAGGTAGAGTTAAAACAAATTAGGCTTCCAAGGATAGATTACTTAACATGTTTAACGAGTAGAGAGATGATCTTCACAGGTGAGCTGCAATGAAAGAAATTGCAGAATGGATGGGATTCAAACCAGGGCCTCCTGGTTAAGCACCTAACTAATAAGTGGGAGGCTCAGTTTTGAATTCTGTTGAGGCCTGAATTTTTCAGGCCTCTTTTCTGTAATTGATTTAATTGCAGCTTACCAGTGAAGGTCATTTCTCTACATTGTATATCATCAGCTGTTGGTAAAATGTTCATTTCATTGCTTATGTTTAGCTATTTAAAAGATATCTACTTCATAATCATGCACATATTTGGCAGAAGAAAAAGATATGAACTAAAACTTCAAACTCACCAAGTGTTGTCTTGTTGTTACCAGTAAGATATAAATGGTAACCAAAAAGTGACCAAAGACTTATACAAAACATGAGGGCAACAAAAAACAGAAATAAAATGTGCAATTTTCCATCACCTTCCAAAGAGTTCTGTAAGAGACAAGAAAATGACAACATGAAAAATCTTCAACACACTGTTACACTGGGTTATGTCCTTGAAACAAGCACCCTCCTAGTGAAGGACAACCTTTTCTTGTCAACAATGATATTTTACAAACATTTATAAAATTTGGCAAGGATGGATCTATCTAACATCACCCAAGGAACACACTGCTATCAAATCTTTGAAATCCCTTTAAATAACAAAAGTAAAAATGGAAAGATATTGAAAATTTCTTAGACTTACATTCCAAAATGCAATGAAATACTTTGTAACTGTTGCTGTGACATAGAGTGTGTAAAGGATTGCATAAAACAGGAATAGCAGAAAGAACTTGTAATTTGTAAACCCAACACAGTTATTCACCCATGGACAGTGGTGATCCATTTTCAAAATACATCTGTAATAAATACAAAATAAACTATTAAAAAAACATTATTTTCCCTCATCCCCATTTATAATTAATTATTAACCCTTTAACTCCCATGAGTGACCAAGACAGAATTTCTCCTTATAATATCAATAAAACATCAAGCAGAAAAGTGACGAGAGTAAAGAAAAATATAAATTAGGAGATTATAAGTTGATCCAATCCCAAATTCTTCACACTAAAATCACAAGAACTGTATGGCAATAGTAAGGAGAATTACTAATGAGATCCTGGGTGTTAAAGGGTTAAGGTGAATCTTTCCCTGGCAATATGAGGGCCACATTACCCTGCAATCAAGTAAAAAGAAAACCGAGTACTTGTCAGTTTAATCCTTAACCTCCCATGAGTGACCAAGATGGAATTATCCCTTGATCCCATACCAAATTCTCCAAACTGACCTCATAAGAATTGTATGGTAGACAGTAAGGAAAATTGCAGGTAATTTAGTGTTAACAACTGAGTTGAAAATGTAAATTGGCCACTGTTATGGGTAAAAAAAAAGCTGATGTTTCGAGCATTAGCCCTTCATCAGAGCAATTGAAGTAATCATGGGTTGTGCGTGAGTTTATATGCAGAAAGTGGAGCTAGGCTATTGGTGGGAATATGGTGACGAGAACACAGGAATAAATTAGTAGAATGAAAAGCGCTCGTTGATTCCATGGGGATTAAGGGTGCTGATTTGGAAGATAAATTTTTGTTCTAGTGTTTTGTGGCTTTCCAAACTGCAAAAGTAAGGAGAATTGCTATTAAGATCTTGAGAATGAAAGGGTTAATGGTGTTATCATAAGGTTACACCACATCCTCTTGGTTTAATTCACATGGAAATGTTAAGATACTAAAAGGGAAAGGTAATGATCAATCTGGCCTTGCAAATTAAGAGATTAACAATTGCGTATGGCTTTGTGAAACTCCTCCTCACCCCTTCTAAAAATTTTGTAACTAAATAGTTTTAATCAGTGTTTCAAAATGCCTAATTTCCCTCGCTATAATGTTCTACCATATTAAATAACAAAATCAGATTTTGTTCAACTGAAAATGAAATTTGTCTCCTCTTGTTCAACTTACTTTCTACACATGGAGCAGTGATGACATCTGTCAGGTTTGATGGCTTGACAAACATCACAAAACCTAGCAGCTGCAAAAGAATTCCAATTAATTATTTTAAAAAAACTCCATAATATTGAAGTGACAAGACACAAGAAAATCCAATAAAATCAAGATCTTACCTCCTGATATGGTCTGTGTAAAAACTGGAAGTTTTCTTGATATTTTTTCTAAGACTTCTTTAGGATCCTAGAGACAGATTTCAAAGGAAAACAGTTTTCATAAAATGTACATTGTACACTAAAATGAAAGACAACACATCACAAAAAAATAAACTTTTTCCTTTAAAACATCTGTTTTAAACTCACTGTCACTCCTGAGCAGCCTCCCTAATCAGAATTCAGTGTTAATTAATTTTCCTTAATGATGCTTATTGCAAAAAAAATTCACTAGAATTATTAAATAACGTAAGTTTGTTACTAGGCCAGTTATTACTAAGCATTTCTACTGATCTATCTGCTACCATCAAGCACAGTTTACTTGTGTGCTTGATGGTAATTTATTGATGGAGATATATTTCCAATCATTTATATTTTGAAGGTTAAAAGATAACAAAAAACATCAGCAAATACATTGTGAACCTCCAAGAATATTGATGCAGAATTCCTGACCTGAGCAGTTTTATTCATTAAGGGTGAAATTTTCTTGTGCCCCAAAATTCATGACACATTGTCATCTAATTACAAAACCTGTGTTGCAACAAAGTTTCCCTGTGTATAAATATACCATTTTGTGGCAAACTTTTATCAGTGGCTGTGTACTACACAGGTTCTTTAATTTAAAGAAGCTATGTTATAAAACTTGCATTGGTAATTCTTAGATCTGTTGAGTGATGTGCCTTTTGAAACGGGGCAAAACATGACTCTTATCCACATAGATCTAAATAATTTGGTTTCTTTTTACTTCTTTCAAAAAAGCATCATCCAGGGAGCATCTTTAGTCTAAGATAGCTTTAAAATTAATAAGAACAATTAGTAAATTACATACTCCATTATCTAATGCCTCCCTGTCTGCTCTTGACAGGAAAAACTGCAAATTGAAAACAAGATTAACATTTAATTACATATGATATGCAGTGTAGTCTTAAAACTCCTTTTAAAAAGGATAACCATTTCATGAAAAAGTGTATTAATTCCAAATTTTATAATTTGCAATGTTGTACAGAATTTTTCAAGAAACAGCTTTTTGCAACCAAGTTTGTATTTTAACTGGGAATTCTTAGTAACATGTAACTAAAGTAACATTTAGAACAGTTTTGGCTCTAAGTTAGGAGCAACCTGGGTTTTGAAGTCCGTGATTGATACAGCTGTGAGTTGTCTTCTACAAATGTTTCCTATATATATAATAGTTTAAGATCCCCAAGTTCAAGATCAGGTCATCTGATCACACTTACGGCGGTAGAAGTAATCCTAAACTATTTTCGTTTTCACAGCACTCTTTACAAATTAAAAGTGCGAACATTCTCTGATTTGCAAAGTATTACAGCTTTATTTGCTACATCGATGACATCTAAGCCAATATTTGAAACTAAACAAACCTGCGAGGGAACAAGACCAGAAGAGGTACATATCGTTCTCCAGTATGAGATCAACAACATGAGGAAGAAAGGATGATAGAAGATCAAATACGCAGCTGAAATTTAAAAGAAGGAGAAATCATAATTTGGCAACATTTCGAAGCGATCAAATTACGAAATTCACAAAAACATTAGTACGCAAGTTGTATTGATTTTATCAGATTGTAATTCGTGTATTCCTCACACGAAACTTTTATTAACGTCTCTAGCAGAGTTTCGTTTACCTCTTTCGAATGGAGACTGCACACTCTCTGAAATCGAAACAAAGAGAACAAGATCATAAGAAAGTTATTTAACCGGAAGGCAGAATTTCAGATTCCTAACTCGGCACAAGAGCACTAACTGTATAATCAACAATTCAACGCCTTTAGGCCCTAAAATTTTGAGCTCTCACCAAAGCAAAGAACCAAGACGTAAGCATAGTAAGACCAGACAATCACTGCGTTGATAAAGAGTACAGGAATCCATTGAAAGGATTTAAAAAGACAAGTCAAAATGGCAGCCATGTTTGAAATGGTAACGAAGCAAGCGATCATGCGCAAAATATTGCAGTGACGTAGCCAGGAGTGAATTTATTGAGATTTAAATATATTAAATTCCACCTAATAAAATCAAGAAGGGGGACTAGCTCAGATGGTAGAGCGCTCGCTTAGCATGCGAGAGGTACCGGGATCGATGCCCGGGTCCTCCACTAAACTTTTTATTTTCCTTTCTTTTTGTTTTTTTTTACTGACTCAACTTGGAATTTTGATTTATAAACGGTTGCATTAATATAACAAGTATTTTTCACAACTCGGGTCCAGGATGGCTGACATCACAGTGGTTCACTTACCGGTAACAACTTGTTTCTTGGTCAATTACTGCTCTAAATATTCTGCCTTGCGCGAATACCGCTCAAACCTCTTAGTTTGCGATCATTTTCAAGGCCACACATCTGGAAAATAGTTTTGTTTTGAGTTCACGATAAGCGATATTATACGAGATTTTACGAAGTCTTCGTGTTACTTACATGTCACTAGTAAAAGACTTGTTTCCACAAGAGCAGAGAAGATGGAGCCGGCATACCTTTCATGTCTCAGAGTGTCTCATCTGAGAGAATAATTGTTATTTTTTCTTTCGATGACATGATTCATCAAGAAATATTTCAGAATGCGAAGGTTCCCGCAGCAAAAGCCAAGAACGAACATATGTGGAAATAATTGTAATATGCGTGTTGATTTAGAAGACAAATTTCGTGGAAGAGACAACCAACCTTCGGCATTTCTTGAGGTGCCTAGAGACTAAAGAAAGCGGAAGCTTCAATTTGTGCATATCTGAATTTTAATGTAAATATGGCCAAATTCAATCATTTCAAAAAAATCCAGTTAGGGAGTAGCTTATAATTATTAAGAGCTGTGGAAGACGGGTGAACGGGAGATTGCTTCACCCCCTCCCCCCCTCCCCTCTTCACCTACCCACTCTCCATTAGAACGCCAGTCCTAGGAAAGGACACTAGACTGAGGAAAGATATTCCTTCAGGGGTGGGGGAAGCTTTTGATGACATCACAGCTTAAAAAACAAATGGGGGGGGGGGGGGGGTGGAGGGCCACCCAATCTCTTTGGTTACCCGAACTAGCGATGACTCGACACTTCCGCTAACCGAAGGCAATTTTGTTTTCGCTTACCTTTATATCTGAAAAGCGAAACTGGGCTAAGGACATGTTAGGAATTCTAAATGACCTGAAGTTAGATGCATAGGTCAGGGCTTTTATGTGAGGTCTGTTTTTGACCAAACTGACAAGCGCATTGCTACAATAAGCATACCTCCGAACTTCCAGTCGCATATCATGTGATGCATATGAAAATTTTTCCCTATGTAACCATAACCTTAAGAACCATGATTGCCTAAAAGAGACAATTCATATACTGTGGTACATTAAAATCTTCTCGTTCAGGCGGAGCCATGCAAACCAGTCTCACATCGCTTTGGGAAATGTAATTCAATAGCGACTCTGCGCATGACATCTATGGCGGGGAAATAAACTTAGCTTCTGTTCATTTTCATTAAAATACCATTCCTCACATCGTTTCAGTCAATAGGAAAATGGCGAAAATCTTTCATTCACATTACAATTATATCACTTTGAACAAAAATACTAAAAGCAGACAGCAAATGATTGCACCTTCACTGTATCTGTTAAGCCTCAGCTCTCACAATAATCATCCATACAAATGCTTCCCGATTAAACTTTCGGTTGCTAAGTTCCCAGAACATTCATATTGATCAATATTGTTCATACTTTAAAATATGTATCAGAATTTCTGAACTATTTTCAGATATCTTATCTACCTGCAATAGCAACATCATTGCTCTTACTTCAATCAAAAATACAGTTAACCAATACCTTAACGACTTTCACGCATTTTATGCGTCGGAAATTCCTCAAGTGCTCAATAAACTATCATCACAAATTATCACTCACGCGCAAGGAAAACAAATTGCCATGTGATTCAAAGACTTTTTAATCATAACATCCACGAAGTTAATTCAAAAAGCATTTCTTGATATTTTGCTTCGGTCACCTTTAAAAACTAGCCCACCGTGGTTCTGTAAGTGTCTGAAGTTATGATTTCGGCCGATAAAAAGGATTATCTTAAATCTTAAATGGTTATCTACCAGACGATCGGGAAGGTTATGTAGAAAGACAGCATAGGCTATCACTGACCCGCAGGACCATCGGGAAAATACTCGTCTCGATAGAACTCTTTACTTCTATCCGATCATCATGATCGTTCGGGTCGTACAGTAACTAGTTGTGTTGTGTTTTCAAATACTTCAGATCGTCTTGATTTTTTTGTTTGAGATGATTGGGAAGATCCTATGAAACCACACTTGAGAACTCACGCAATCATGAAATAGCTTGATTTTCAAGTGGCCGCCTAATGGCTGTGATCACTTTGTGAACGTCGTAGGCCGTCGGATGATTTAGCGACAATTTTGAAAACAGTCTCAGCATTCCCTACTTCTCTTGAGCGCTGGTTCTTCTATTTTTTCTTCTCCATCTGCTGGGAGGTAAATTTCATCTGTGGCAGAAAATTCTTTGCCTTTAACTTTATTCTCTAACCCCTAAATACAAAGAAAACATAAAAAAAGATAAGCAGTATGAAAAACTCTTACTTTGGTAACGGAACACAGGCCTACAATTTCCAAGAAAAAAAAAAACAAGGACACTAGATTATCTCCATACAGTCAAACGGTCATATACATAATCGGTTGTATCATGGAGCGGTCACCCTAGGAGAACGACGGCTTAATACAGGTTGACCGTTAAATACAGGTTCCACAGAAGAGGGGTAATGTAAAAAACGTTAAAAAAAAAATGCCATTTGACTCCATAATTGACCACTAATGTACAAAAAATTGCTAAAAAATACTACCAACATTGATTTCGGGAGAGAAACATGGATTTAATTTTACTTGAAAGATTATTCGTGGTTTTATTTGAGTGGTTCCTCCTAAATGACCGTTTAATACAAGTGGAGGAGAGTACAAACAGGCCTTTAGGACTCATTCAAAGCTGACCACGACTGCTCAATAGAGGTGTAAATTACAGTGATAAAGGGAAACAAATTCGAGACTTTGACAACCGACTGCTTAATATAGGGTGACCGCTTAATACGGTGCTGCTTAATACAGGTTCGACTGTAGTATCTAAACAATAAGTGACACGACGCATTCCTATCCGCTTGTGACGTAGAATTTTAAATATGGTCAAGTTTACTTCGTTTTATGCGAGCAGACAATACGCGCCATTTTTCTTTTCTTTTTTTTTTTTTTGACAGCCAGATGTGTGGGAGTTGGAAACCTACACATTTTTAGAATCTTTTCAGAGGGTCTTCAAAACTTTGAAATTCCAGTTAGACAGCTTCGATTCCTTTCAAAAAAAGGAGAAAAGGAAAAAAAATTAAGGGCTCAACACTTTTAGTGGCACAGTGATACATGGACAGAATTTCCACCTTCAGTCTCTCGTGTATACGGTAACAGGTACCCAGTAACATTAACCCTTAACACCCTAACATCAGTAGGTATATTCTCCATACTGTTCTCCATACATTTCCCAAGGCACTGATAAGGAGAATTTGTTTCATAATCAAGAGTATCTTTAAGCTGATGATCATTTTCTTGGTTCTCCCGACCTTAATGTGTGATTCAGAGGTGATATTGTAAGGAGAAATTAGATGCTAGTCACTCTTAGGGGTTAAAGGGTCAACACAAATAGCTGAATAAACTCACCTCTCCAGCATAGGAAAGAAGAGGAGAAATTTCACAGACTATAGATGTGGTCCTAGAACCAGAAAGAAAAGGAAAACTTATTCAATCTGAATTTTAAATGGAAATTACTGCACTTTTGTGTTCTCAAAAAATTCCTTCTGTTTATTTGTTTGGTAAGCATATCTGATATTAATTTGGAATTTAACAATCCACTCTGGGCACTCAGTCTTTGCTGCCATCCTTCAATACTCCTGAGTGGAGAGAGCATTATGAGAGTTGTGTATCATGTCCAAAAACACAACACAATGAGCCAGTCAGGGCTCCAATCTGAAATTCACAACTTCTAGTCAAGCAAGCTTACCATTAGGCCACAATCTAATTAAGAGCCTGGTACAGGCTGAACATTTTACAACTGTTTACAAAAGAGCTCTCAAGGACTTACCCATTGGCATCTTTGAACTTGGCACCAGCTTTGGTTAGATATCTATGATGCAAATTTGACAAGTCCCTGAGTGCTGTTTCTGGACTCTCCATTGGTAATTTTACAGTTGCCAAAAAGGTATAGACACAAGTTGCATATTGCATAAGCTAGTCGAGGCAAGTTGCAAGGAGAGAAAAAAAAGATTGATCATTTTTACCAGCAGTAAGCTTCTGGTACTAATTACATTCTCTTGAATACCAGCTAGACTCAGTAAATGTCACACCTATCCATTCTATCAATAGTACCAACTATACTATAGTACCATCTCTGTGCTTTCATGGTCTGAGAGGTTACGCCTCATCAATTGTGAACGCTTTACGTTACCCTGACTTTTTCACATTTTCTCTATTTCTGGCTGCTTTCGATGTCAGAGTACTATTCTCATGAGTTAACTTAATTAATGTTCCGTTTAATTAAATTCTCATTATAATCAAAGGCTCCCCGTATGTAACTCAGGCATGTTTAGTTAAGTTTTCGAAGAAGGAGAAAAATAGGACAAGGGTAAAAATACAGAAAACAGACGAATTGTTAACCTCTGATCGTACAAAACTTTATTTAGCAATAATTCTTATAAAATCCTCTACAGTACAAAATGATGACAGCGTAAAAACGACCCAAATAACTCACTTTGCACTCACATTTACTCTTTTTTAATATCAAAATGTCTGGAAAACAATAAATAACGGGGTCTTCTTATAAATAACAGTACAGCGGTCTTATTAAGACTGTGGCAGGCATATTCGCGCGCCGTCACAAACCTGAGTCACCAGGCTTCCTCTTCGCCAACCCAAACAGGCAGAGAAGAGGAAGGCCTGGTACTCGGGTTACGCTGGTTCGGAATAAGCATAGAAATGCAACTGACTTGAGATGTAATAAACGTTTTTTGAACTGCTCACTTTTCGGTGGACGAAATGATGAACAAATGAAGCCAGCATCATTTTCCTGTACCCAACAGTTACAAGCTAATGAACCCGCATACAACTTACGCCAGCCGGAAAACTCTGTCGGTGGCACACCCCGTTTTGAAACACACAGGGACACTTTGGAGCAACCTGGAAACCCGTTGGAAAGCGCCAGGACACCAACTATTTTATGTGATAAAATCAAACGTGTACACCCTATCCACCTATCACTTTGTCAACAGCCATGCAGATCATCCAGGAAAAAAAGAAAGGATTCCCAATCGTTACCACAACACCCCTCTAAGGAACTTAAGTGGACGAAACATGTACCAAGTGTAAGGGCTCCTCGCCAGTGATAATCACCTCAGAATCAAAAAACGCCAACCAATAGAAAAACGAGATCTTATCCTTTGCCTTATTCCTCCTTTTTCTGTCTGTTCGTGAAATTCAATTTCTCAATATGAGTCAAAGTAAGTTACTTTAAAGATAAACCCTAACAGTTTGAAGAAAAGAAGAAATTACTCTAAAGTGTTTAGAAACGCCTTCGAAAATCCCTAATTTCAGACAAACGGAACGGGAATATATTTAAAAATAACAGAAAAGAAATGACGTCTGTTTAAATAGAGGAAAATGTCGAAGTAGATCTCAAACAGCCGCGTCAAGATTTTTGAATCATTTTTCGAAACATATGGAACTACCTTCAACTTGAAGGAAGCTACAAAAATATTAATTCGGTGAGATAAAACACAACAGAGGAAATAAGAAAGCACGAAGGTACTTGACTTAAACCGATTCCAAAAGACGAACTGGAAAAATTTAGGATAAAGTTTACAAGATACAAAAACTGTGACGCAGCTGCTTTTAACAGGAAAGAAACAAATCCTGAAAATTCAACCTCTGAAAACTTTTGACAAAAAAGATTCCTTAGGAAACAAAAGGAGTTTAACGTGACAAAGTCAAATCAACATATTCTTTAAATCGTTGCAAAGGAGACTCTTACGAATGGCGTTCAATCATTCTGATGTGGAGGACCAAGTTGAAGCTTTGCTACTGGGGTCCCAGATGCCGCCTCCAAGAGAACCCAAAGGATCAAAAGTTGGTGTTGAATCTTGGTTGGACTGTAGCTGCACTGAGTAGGAGGCGAAAGAAACCGCAGTTGAAGTAGGCAAGGACTCTGCAGTAGAAGCTGATCCAAGGTATCCACCGCTCCAGATGGAAGAGACGTCAGGCGGTGGAGTCCAAGTAACTTCCTGGGTGCTGAACGGTGACTCTGGTCCCACGACAGCTCCTTCGCCAGACCAGTTTGGCATATGACTAAATAACGCATCCACAGCGTCTGCTTCAGAGCTTAGAGGCTGCCCGGGAGACGAGGTTGGTGGCCTGTATACGGACCATCCATCACTGTCTTGAGGGGAGTTGCCTACATCCCATATCTCAGCCATGGTCTTATTACTGGACACTACGCCGCTGTTGGTATTGCTAGCATCTAGGAAGTTTACCCAGTTGTTGGACAGTCGGGAGCTCTTTCCAGGAAACTGGTCCTCTGAAGAACGAGAGCTAGAGCTGAAGAGACTGTCGCGGTTGTGGTAGCATTGCTCACTACTGTTCCAATAGGGACGATGTTCGGCAGGGAGGCCTCGATTGCGTGTGGCACTGTTATCGGACAGTCCAAAATCACCTAGGTCCAACGGACGAGCCTTCTCTTCTCCAACAGATGCTTGTTTCTTTAAACCTCTTCGGTTATATGACTGACTATCCAAAAGAGATGGCCTGTGTTGAGGCATGAAGTGCGAGGATGGTGCCATCCTGTCAGGTCTCTCTCCGACCGGGCCACGCGGAGTCAAATGTGAATCAACAGACGTGGACCAAGGGTTTCGCCTCAGACCGGACAAGCCAAGGTCTTCGCCAGATTTGCTAGACTTTCTGGAGCCTGCAAATTAGTTATAAGAGAAAGAAACAGTATGACCAGTTAAATAAGGTGAGGATGTTAACACTGGTAAATCAAAGTGAAGCTATTTACTTCAAATTTGGTCCCTGGAGGTTTTACTTCCTGTCATAGTAACCATCTAACCAAATTTTGCTGGGAACCCACGGAGTTGATAATATCAAAGATACTGAAATCTCACAATCGATCAAATCACCTTGTGGTAACACAATGAAGCTGATTCGCAGAATTCAAATAACTTTTTTGGTGAAGAAAAACTCTTCAAACTCGAGCTAGACAGTTAATCATACCTGTCGAAGACCACGGTGGACCGACACCAGCCTCCAAAGAAGCTGATTTGGTACTTTTGACACGTGACTTGTTTCCTTTCAACACTGAGGACTTCACTTGCTCCATACCGTTTGAACTATCACTGCTGACAATGCTGCTGTAGCTGCTGCTCCGGCTGCTTCCGCTCAACAGGGTTGGAGAGGTTGGAGGTGGAGAATCCGACAAACTTGATGATAGGGTAGACGTTTTGGTGTACGCCTTCCTCTTGTTTGGCTCCTGCTCGTCATAGTTATTCTCTTTAGAGGATGCCTGCATGTTCTTATTGAGTGCTGAAACGACTGCAGCGGCGATGGCGTGGGGAGATGTTGGACTGACAGGACTGCATGTATTACTCTGGATCTTACTGCTGTGTGCGTTGCACTGACTCTTCCCTTGAACCTCCAGGACCTTAGGTCGAGCAGTTCCAGTCGCTAGTTGTGTTTCTTTCTTGCCCTTACTATTTGCATTTTCCGGAGTAACTTGGTTTTTACGTCCCTTCGCTCTGTCCCTTGAGGTGTCTTGGAATGATTCACCTGTATGGTTCGGCTGCTTGGAATTGTTTTGCTGTTGTTCTTTCAGTTGTGTGTCCGGCGGCAGATTACCATTCCGTGTTCTGTTGATGTCGTTTGAAGGCTGTTGTATTTTAACCTCAGGTACAGACTTGTCTGAAGAGCCATCACTGCAGCTATCATCTGACAACACACCTTCATCTTCCTTCCCTTTGGCTGCAGTATTTTCCTTCGCCTTTACCCTCTTTTCTTTTCCCTCTTTCTTGCTGACAGGTTTGGTTTTTCGTTTCTGCTTTCCTTTCGACTCCTTAGAGTCTCTTTTGGGCGCTGATTCGCATTTGTTAGGGATTACCACACTGATAATTTCATCATTGAAACCTTCAGGAATTGATTTACTCCTTGGTTCTGTTTTCCGATTTTCCTCGCATACTCTCTGTTCGGATTTCTTCGGTTCAACGACCTTCCGCGTTATATTTGCCACCGTTTCTGCCAAACCCTTTCCTCGATTATCCACAGTACCTTTAGGTTTATTGTCTTTTCCCACAGAACACGTTTTGATTTCTAGAGGAAGACTAGATGCCTTGATGGCACGAGTATCCGCGTTTTCTGTCGCATTCGGCTGGATTTTCACCGCTGCAACTTCAGTCCTCGTATTTCTATTTCTCATTCCGTTATTCTCTTGCCGTGACGTACTGGCTGTAACAGTTTTGATATTGTTATTAGTTGGTAAAGTATTCGCCAAGCTGGTTGTCACGCTGTCACAACTAGATGGCCTCTCACTTGACACAGGTGTTGTTTCTCTGCTTTCTCGCTGCTGATCGCGTCTGGTCCTCTTTTGACTCACTGATTGTTCCTCTCTGGCTGGAATTCTGCGGACACAAGGCGAGTTATAAGATTTTATCGTAATAAGGTATTTGATATTTTTTAGGGATTTGGCATTTTTTCGTTCGTATTTTAACGAAATCTTAACTGTGTAGAACATCCCTGTCCGCGAGTACCGGAAAGATAAAAACAACTCACAAAAATCGTCACGTTTTCCGATCGCCTTTTAATAATCGCCAAAATAGATGGTCAAACATCGCATATCTTGGAAATCTCCAATTCTTGTTCATTTTAGGTAGTGCAAAACAACCTCTTTCCACATGTATGTCAGAATCAAATTTGTAATCTCATTACCCGTATATTTTCATGTCTATTTAAATTGTAATGAGAGTCCAATTCTGTGGGTAAAGATCAGAGAAGGCTCTCATTAACATAACAAAGATGACCTTAACTCACTTGTTCTTCTTAACTCCAGCGATGGCATTCAAATCAAATATCGGCCCTCGCTCTTCTTGTTTCATCTGCAGTAGTTGCATTTCAGGATGCGAGAGGAACACGAGCCTGCGCGCCTCAGCGTAAGCGGCAATCATGACAGCTAAGAAGACCACACCCATGAGGACAACAGCCACGATTTGGACCACAGGTTCCCAGGAATTGCGGCCCAAAGCCGAAGAACACAGAGGAAGGAGGTGAGTAGGAATTGTCGCAACCAGAGTGAATTCCATTACTGGACCGACGGTGGTTTTCACTTCTAATTTCCGAGTTACTCTCGACATTGAAAAATCTGGCGTAAACCTGAAAAACAAAATTGCTCTTTCTTGAATAGAGATCTCCCTTTTTACAACCATTTCAAATGGATGTAGCTGAAACACGAAACAGATAGGGGGAGATGGCTCCGCTAGATCAGCAAACTAAGTTGCTTTTTTCTCGTCTACAATATTTTTTTAACTAACTTCATAACATGACTGCCTTCTTGTGTTCACTACCGAAATAAGCAGTACAAAGAGACTTAATCAGTCTTATGTAAGGCAGTATAACCAGGTTTCTATTATCTTTGGTAAACAAAACAAGTTTTATTGTGCACCTGACGGTTTGCTTTCTGTCAAAAACTTGCATAATTTCGCGTCCAAAAAAATGATCATTGCTTACGTGATTTCAATCTTGCGTGATGTGTTTGGTTTGAGGATGAATGACTTGCAGTTCATGATTTTAAAACCGTATCCTTCACACTCGTAGCCATTGATACTGAGTGAACTGATGAACATGGAGAGCTGACCAGGATTTGTTGCTGTAACTGTCTTCATTACTGATAAAGGCTGCAGGGATCGGGTTCGAGGAGCAGCTTCTGATATAAGAAACAGATCTATTTCATAAACTTGCAATCAGATTCCTAGGCAGTGAACAAAGTTTCCTCGCGAAATCTTAAGAATATTTGTGCGGCTCTTTGCTCAAAAACCTGCTTGTTCCGTTTCGTTCCTCGTTTTTTTGTTACTTTCAAAGTTTCTATATCAAAATTCTTAAATGTAAATAGGGAAGACTACCGAAGGTCTTAGACCCCGACTCACGCTTATCGCGCTTTCTGAAAGGAAATACAAGAGACTGCCTTGCGGGCAAAACTGCCTGTAGACGTGTTAACAGTACAAAGTGACTTACTGTGACAATCTGTCAACTGACTCGGCTTAATTTCAAACAACAGAGTACTTTGGGACCCAGGCCTCTTGCCATTCAAAGTGAACTCTCCTCGGGCTCCTTGACCTTGAACCACTATTCCATCCAAAACTGTCAGATTGTTCCTAGAAACATCCGTAAATAAATAAGTAACAAACATAGATAATCAATAAATCATAAATTCAAAAAATTGATAAAATGACCTCTCGTGGATAACAATAATTTTGTTCAGCGTAAGTAGAGGATCAAAGTGGTCCCCTCGACTACCTCTGGTTTATGCAAGTAATAAAAGAAGCAAGTCATTATTCAATGAAGATGGTTGTCGAGTGCGACCTGTCTTACAACGGGCGAAATATATAAGAGTGATATATTAATAAGGTGGCTTCTCGTTCACTATTTCAAGATCGAATTAGAATTTGAAAAGCTGTTTCTCGTGGACGGAAAAAAAGGCCGCAAACCCACAGAAAAAAAAACCGTCGAGGAATAGGCGAAAATCAATCAATTACAAACTCGACCCCAATGCGACACCAAATTTACAAACAGAAACCAGGAAACAGCGATGGAGGTGAGTTATCACACCACAATGCCATCTCTACTTCCCGAAGAAGAATCTTTTTGCATCTTTCGCTACAATAATTTGAAATATGTTTCAATTTAAATAAATCGCTAATGAAGCTGGGTCTTACGTCTCAGCAATTAAAGAAAAAGGGTGGTGTCTACCTGATGAGGACCACAGATGTTTTGAGTCGTTCATCTTTGGGTTGAAACAGCACTGGAATCCTGACGACCGCGCGGGGCTTGAGAATAGTCAACAACGTACCGGACGCGTGAGCTATTTCACTTCCCAGAGTTGACAAGTAGTCCTAAAAACAGGCCGTAAATTTTAACTCGTCTTCTAGTAAAGGTGATACTCTAGTTTTAGCCATGACAGAGTTAAAGTTTCGAAAAAGCTGATTCATTCCTTACAAATGGCCTCTACGTGTTAAATGACAGAGACAGAAAGCGGTATACCTCATGTGAGGGCACAGAGAAGGTCGTTTCATCTGGATCAAATCCATATGTTTCTGTATCAAACCTATGAATAAACAAGGAAAAAAAAAACGATGTGATTGCAGTTGCGTAAATCACAGTCTACCGCTTACTACTAGCACTGAATGAATTTCAGTAACACCACAGCTATACCAACAAATCAGTTTTCGCCTAACGGCCAATAATACGTACGATGACGTACGTTGGTAGAAACGTCGCCACTGTCACCGAGAAGACTCCTTTTCGATAATATCCTCACCCGGACTATCAGACTTACTTATAAATTGTTGAAACGATTCCAGAGATGCCCGCGCTCTGATTGGTGGGAGATTACAACATATCTTGGTGCAATCACCCTGGAGGTTCCCCAGCGCATGGTGCTAACTAAACTGAAGCGCTAATTTTCAACTTAACGCCGTCCGTTTTCGTGTCATCGCTCAAGAGAAATATAGGGAAAAATCCGTTGGCAATAACCCCTGTAATCTCTTTAAAATAATTTTTCTCCACAACCTCAGCGAATATCGAGACATAATAATTGGTCTCAACGACCAATCGAAACAAAGATCAATTTGTTACGTTATGGAGAAACTAAAAGTACTCACAAAGAAAACCGGCCTCGAGCGCGGGGACATGTGTGTGACCAACACGACCTTTTACCTTCCCATGTAATTGGTTTGGAGGGATGTTGCAAATTATCGTTTCAACCAATCAGAGAGCATCGTGACGAGAAACCAATGCAAACATAAATAACTTTCGACACTTCTTCATTAAAAAAAAATGGCAAAAAAGATCTATAATATTGTATCATTTTGTCATTTACCTATCAGTTAAAATATCCCATACACCTTGCGGATAAAGCGAAAAAGGCACAATCTGTGCCAAGACAGGAACATCTGCTGGATTCTCCAGCGTGAAGAATTTGACTGAGACGTTACCAAGATGTGTTAGAGGAAACTTGACTGGTTTGTCTGATGAAAACGACGGCCATGAAAGACTGGCTTGTGCTGGGATTTGGAATCCCTTAACAACATCTGTATCTATTATGAATGATAAATTTAATCTGCAAAAACAAAGGCAAGAGAGCAAGATATAATATTAGAAATTGTGCTCTAGTCTGTTACCGCGAGCAAAGGGTCTCTAAGAAGAAAAAATCTAAAAAAAAATTCAAACCCAAAACACGGAAACACAAAGATATACATAAACAAAAAAGAATGTAACACCGTAAGCCAAAAGTAGAGAGACTTGCCTAGTCTTTCCTGACCGTTCTAACGAAGAGAACAACTTTTGGTTCCTCTCTATGAGCTGACTGTCAATTTCCCCAACGTTGGAGGGTAACGAAAAACTCGATAACCACTGTTCACCTGCATAACAAACAACACCTTTCAGACTCTACTAAAAGCAATATAAGGATTCATTTTACTGATCCTAACTTACGACTGATAGCGCTAGTTAGGAGATTCTAAAAGTTTCATTTTTACCACATCTTGAGACAAAGTGCCATGCTCTTTACTTCTTTGTCGCATTTCCCAGAGAAAAAAATGCTTTTTTAATCAAGGAAATTAAACCTTGGAGGCAAAGAAAAGTCATTTTATGTCTTACTTGAGTGTATTCCAGTGTGGCAGAGGTTTTTACAGCCTTTTGAAGGATCATAATATAACTGTCCAACCTGAGAAAAAGTGGGAAATTTTCACTAAGGCAACTAACGACAAAACCAACACAAATCTACCAAATGCACATCCTCAACTTTTTAAATAGCTGCTGTCTTCATTGAAAATTTGTGCCTCTATAGATTTCTGTACCTTTAATGTAATTAGTTATATTATCTTATACAGAAAATATACTAACCTCAACTCTCTCATTGGGAAGTAATTGAACCTCAGAAGTCACAGGCTTGAATGAAAATTGATCACTAAAAAGATGAGGCTTCACAGATTCTAGCTTCAAGGTATTGGAAAATGAACTAAGCAGAGTGAGAGTGTAATTTACAATTTGACCCTGAAAAACAAGAATATGCCATAGGTTTAGAACTCAGAAAAACAGAAACCCGAAACCTTGAAAGTAAACAGGATTGAAATGTTTTGGCTCATCTATGCTCCATGATTGACCTATCAACTTGTGCCATGGCTCAAAGACCCAGAGAAAAAAACAAACAAACAAAAAATCAGCAACCATGGTTTGTCCATTTGCAGTTCCTTTAGCATGTTTTTATTTTGATTTCTGCAATTCCTTGTGGCATTTTTCTTCTGATTTACAGTAGTAATTTAATTGGTTTTGGTGTCACCATGCTCAATCAAAATTAACTGTATTTTGCACTTAGAATCTTGTTGCTGACAAGTGGCAAGCTAGCTAATTACCAATCACTGATAAAAATCGCCACTATCTAAAACTGCTTTAATTTCTGTTTTGATGCACAACAAAAAGCTTGTTACTCACTGGAAAACCAGGCTGAAAAATTACAGATGCTGGAGCAGAAACTATTTTTCCATCCATTGACTTTAAGTGAAGAGGAATATGTAATGTCTGTAAAGTTGAAAACAGGGTGTCATTTCTTACTCAACATTCTAAGAAAGGCAGTGTAATCTCAATTTAAAAAATTACATTCAAGGGGGTTGACAAGTGATCCTCTCACCTCATAATCTGTTTCCATTTCTATTTCTCCAATATACTGTCCCTCTCTCTTGGGTACAGCAGCCTCTACACTAAAATATGCCACAAAGCCAGGTTTAATGTGCACCTGAAATCAAGAAAAAGTGAAAGTAATAAAACCATGAATATCACTTTTGAAATCCTTATGCAGTTAGCCATGGTGACAAAAAAAGACATTCTTCTCTTTTTACCTTGCCATCCTCTGCCTCTCCATTGGCAGGCTGATCCATTGCATTTGATAAGCTTTGATTCCCTTTAAATAACTTGCTGTCATTACTAGATTTGATCGCTAATAGTTTTAATCTTGCAAACTGGATATTACATTCTATTCTGTAAATAGTGACCTGAGGAAAATACAAACAAATCTGAATTACCCTTACAATGTAGATATTTCCCAGTGGTTTTAACCCTTTAACTCTCACAAGTGACTAACATCAAATTTCTCCTAACAAAATCACCCTTGAATCAAACATTAAGGTCATGAGAATAACAGAGATGATCACCAACTAAAGAAGCTCTTGATTGTTGAACAAATTTTCCTTGTCAGAACCCTAGGAAATGTCTTGGGAGTAGTATGGAGAATATTCATACTGACATTAAGGAGTAGAGGGTTAACCACAGATTTCTTATGCTGAATGACACAATAATAGCCTGGGTTGGAGAGAGGCCATATGAGGGACACAGTGTTGAACCTTGGAACAGTCACATTTAAGATGTTATTGGTAGAAGATCAGTTCTAAGTCCTAAGTCCTGTTATACCTCTATTGGATTATTGTTGATGATTTTGAGGAGTTTTGTTCTATTCTCCCCAGTTCCTACAGTGCCATAATCAACTACATCTTCCTCCAAGCCATCTACACCATACTGCAACAGAAAGACCAAGCAAATGTCAAAACTTCAGGAAAACTAGAATGCTTATGTTCTTGGTGATCTGTAATCTCTTTTGTAATGACAGGGACAAATCACATGATTGCCTCTAATGAACAGGCTATCCAGCTTTCAGTGAACCAGACTATCTGCTTATCTCTCCGTTCTGGATTGTCTGTTGGCCTGCCTGCTTGCCTGTCTAAATGACTATCCATCTTTATATTGGTCTTTCTCTCCTCTACATCCATTTGTCTATCAGTCTTTCTGTCTGTCAGTCAGTTGGTCAGTCAGTCAGTCAGTTGGTCAGTCAGTCAGTCAGTATGCCAGTTAGTCTGTTGCTCAGTATGTCAATCTTTCAGTCAGTTAGTCAGTCTGACAGTTAGTCTGTCTGTCAGTCCATCAGTCATTCAGTCAGTCACTGATTTTACACCTGTCTAATTATCTATCTGTCCATATATATAAGCAAGGATTAGATTAACACAAATTCCTTTCAAATCAATAAATTCAGTTTTTAATCTAAATGTACATATTACTGGTATTGCAGCTAGTGGTGATTTCTATATGAAACCCAAGGAAAAGTATTTATTTGTAAGAAACTAACCACAAACTCTACTGACCTTGAGCTTGCCATCATAACAGTGAATGGGTACAGTAAAAATAGAAGCATTTGTGTACACTCTAAGAATAGTAGAAAAAGCCATATCTGAGCCATTGGCAAGGAACCGGACATAGAATGGTGTCACTGTGCTTTGTGGTGGTATCATGGCTGGCTTGGTAAAATTTACAATCTGTATGAAAAAATATATGTTTATACGTTAAACAAATTATTTCTGTCGATTTTGTATATTTCTTTGTAAAGGCAAAAGGATACTTAAACTTACAGAAAATATATTTTCCATCTCAGCAGGAAAGGCTGCATCATAAATAACCATAGTAAAACTAAATGTGTTTGTGATTGGGAGTTCCCTTGAAACTGGATCAAAAGGAGGTTTCCCTACAAAGAATCTTGTCTTGCTAACAGAATATGCTATGGTCCTGAAATTTAACATAGAGAGCAATAAAAGCACATTAAAATATGTTTTAGTATGAAAGGCAAAGTTTCTGGGAGGCCACCATTGCATGAAGGCAAGGTAGACAACTAAAACATATATGAAATATTTCTATTTTTAAAGGCATCAATTATGAAAAGTTTAGGACTCAAATCAGTTGGAACACCTCAAAATTTCATTGTTCAGCCCTCAATTAGTCAATTTTTCTAAACTACATTTTTCTGTAAACCTAAAGCAACAAAACATGCTTCACTGATTTAACAATTGAAGATATAATAAATAATTTTCAATTCAACCTGGAAACATTTAGTTGCAGATAACACCTAGCTAGCACCTAACACTTTAGCTGATAGGGTTCTATAAATTTCATCACCTCTTAAGTCTTAAAATCCCATATAGGCAGGTAAGAGTTCACTGCTATATTTCAACATAACTTTTTCAACTTACCCTTGAAGTATATTAACTTGATAAGGGATCTCTAATCTAGGAGAGATTTTGCTGTTTGTTTTTATAATAACCTTTCCGGTTGTTTGTCTACTCCTTTTAACATGGAAAGCTGTTATAAGAAAATAAAATAATGTTAAAAATGAATTTGCATTGCCTGCTGCATTAAGACCTTTATTTGTAAGCATTTAGGATAGCTCGCAGCTTATTTTAAATTCAGCTAGTTGTATAAACTTTCCAAAATAACTTATCCTTTACAAGCAATAACAATATACTCGTGATAATCAATGAAGCATGCACTCAATGACTAATTTTAAATTGTTGCTATCTTACCAGAATAAGTTGCAGTTGCGACTTTGATGTATTTTGATCCTGGCTTCAAGAGTATGGGCTAAGTATCAAAAAAACGACTCTATAAACCAACAATCTCCTTACTACATTAGAGTTACAGCATAGTCTACATAAACTGATCATGAGGAAAATAATTCAGGATAAAAGTGTTGGTGCTTGACTCAATTTACTGCTCATTAATATCTAAGGCTCAGAAGATATCTTTTGCTTTACTGAGGCCAGTTTACATCATTAACCCAGTTAATAAACCAAATTATTAACAAATATTGTTAACTTTTTGCTTAGGACTTTTTGACAAAAGGTCATGACCGGTTAGTACTTACAGTGAAATTTATGGACAGTGCACTGTTTGTTGGTTCTACAGATATTGCCTGAAAAAAGGATAAAAATTATTAAGACAAAGAATATGGCAAGGACTAAAGTATTTGAATTTGCTTGGTTAAACAAATGATAGTAAAAGCTGCTTTAATACCGATATATGAACTTGCTTGTGACCAGCATTTAAAAGATACAATCCAATACTTTTAGGCTCATCTGTGAAAAAAAATAGAAAAATCACTTCATGTCACCACTTATGAAGAAATACTATCTCACTGATCTTACTGAACAACCTTTCAGTCCCCCCAACACTTAATTGTTCTAAAAAAAAATCAGTTTTTGAGAGATTTTGTTTGAGCTACATGCGAGTAAATTTTTTCCAGTCTATTTTCTTTCTTTTAACAGTTACAAATATGATAGTAAAAAATGCATTCACCAAGTATCAAACACTGACTTACCCATTGTTCTAAGAGTTCCAAAGTCTAACATGTCAGTGGAGGAGAACAAGCCAGGAGCTGTAGGGGAAAACATTGTCTGTAAGTACTAACTTCTGTCCAAGGCAGGGGTTGTAAATTCTCCTTACTATACAAACACAGTTTAAAGCAGATGGGCGATGAGAAGAGAATGAATATCAGCTGGGGATGCTTGATAAAACACCAAATTTTCAGAGTTGAAATAATGAGTAATGTTTATCAGACAACACAAAATGTCAATTAGATCCAGAGAGTGAAAGAGTTAAAAGTGAAAGCTACCATTTGGTAACTATATATATACATAAGTTAAAGAATTAAAGAGGAAGCATTGATTCTCTGCGACTCTGAGTTTTGTGCCTAAGCACTCGTCAGACAGAACTTTCTGTCTGACAAGCGCTTAGGCATGAAACTTAGAGTCACAGAGAATCAATGCGTCCTCTTTAATTCTTTAACTAATGTATACTTAGCTCTGCTACCACAGCATTGAGCACTTTATGCCAAGGTAGACTCTACCCCCACATTTATCTATATATATATATATATATATATATATATATATATATATATATATATATATAAAAGAACCCAAGATTCTCATCAAAAAGAGCTCAGAGCTAAGTATACATAAGTTAAAGAATTAAAGAGGAAGTATTGATTCTCTGTGACTCTGAGTTTTGTGCCTAAGCACTCATCAGACAGAACTTTCTGTCTGACAAGCGCTTAGGCATGAAACTTAGAGTCACAGAGAATCAATGGGTCCTCTTAATTCTTTAACTTATGCATACTTAGCTCTGCTACCACAGCATTGAGCACTTTATGCCAAGGTAGACTTTACCCCCACATTCATCTATATATATATAAAAGAACCCAAGATTCTCATCAATATTTTAAGAAGACATAGATAATGTTGTACCTGATGTAACTTCTACTTCTACAGGTAAAATTAGAAGCTCCTGAATAGGTGCTGGTTGACTTGCTTTAATACGAATAAATGCTGTGTGATTTGAAGCTACTCTTCCAACAAAGCTAACTCGCATAAGTGCTTTAGTTTCGTAGGGTGGAATTTCCTATAGGAAGACACATGATCACAATGTTCTTTAGGAAAATGTACTCAATACTGTCAGATGGACTCATCTTAATTATATGAAAAGAAAACCAACATTTTATAAAATCCCAGCAGAAGTGAAGCAGGTTATCACACATACCCAGTGTTTTTGTGGTGCTTCCTCCAAACCAGAAGGAAGTTCTAAATGCAAATCACCACCACTAGAGTACATCTCTATTACCTATGACAAACAAGACAATAGAAGAGGATAAAGTAATAAAAAAATGAATAAATAAAGACTAATTTTTGAATATAACTAACAAGAAGTTTTGTCCATTGGTCACATATCAGGCTCCTGACTTAAAAACCCAAAACCCAAACCCATTTACAAGCAAACAAGGATATACCTAGGGCAGATTTTTAATAAATTTCTCATTTTCCACACAGTGACCAAAAAAAATCTAGTCACCTCCAAAATAAGGAAGTTCCCCATAAAAAAAGGAGACCTTATAAAATAATTTTCCTAATTTTTGTACATTTCATTCCTGATGTACTCAAATTTTAAGGAAGTATACACCTGTTTATAAAATAACTGAGAAACTGCTAGCACCCTAACCCTTTTACTCCCATGAGTGACCAAGACAGAATTTCTCTTTACAATATCAATACAATATCAAGTAGACAAGTGACGAGAATAAAGAAAAATATGAATAAGGGAATTATTAGTTGATCCAATACCAAATTCTCCAAACTAACTTCAGAAGAACCATATAACAGACAGTAAGGAGAACTACTCATGAGATCTTGGGAGTTAAAAGGTTAATTGATCAAAAACTTATCATTTATTCCACTGGTAAACCCATAGAAAATTGAAGTTGTTTGTTAAAGCAATAGCTGTACTAACCCACATGGGATGTTGGGAGAACACAGGAAAAGTTGTAAATCATAGGCTGGAGGCAAGTGATTTACAAACTTTTCCAGTGTGTTCATTGTTGCTCAAACTAACTTCATTAAACATAAAACTGCCAGACTCTACATGTAGTTACCTGTAAAGGTGAGTCATATGGATTATGCATATTAATAATTGTAGAAAAACTATAATTTAATGGAACTCTTGCTCCTAGGAAAGGACGCAATCTGTATGGATTTGGAAGTCCCACACCAAATACCTGAAATAATAGTAAATGAGCACATTACAAAAAATATATGCATATACTTATTTATTAAACCAAACTTCCATTGTAATCAATGTTTTCAAAGGATTTCAATGTAATGAGGATTACAGCAAGACTTGAGAGACCCACTTAATGCTCATCCCAGACAGATGTTTGTTGTTATGGAAATAAATCATGATTATTGCTCAGAACACCACCCAACTTGGCTCTTAGATATGAAGGATTTTCTTCCCCAAGCAGTAACATCGAACCTAAGTTCTTTGATGAATAGAGGCCAGGCTTTTCAAGGATCTTAGTAAAAATCCCTTGAAAAGCTACCAGTAGGGACCTTCCATAACTTTTGAGACTGTCATAACTATGGTTACTTATAAAGGATTACTGATGTGAATAACCAATATATAGGGTATAATACCTGATAAGGATAAACTCCTTTGGAGGTGTGAATAAATAAAGTGTTTTCTACATTTCCAACTAGTCTTGCTAGAAACACTATTTCAAATGTGGTATTTCCTAAAGGGTAAACTACCTGAAGGGAAAATAAAAAACAACAGCATTGTTTAAAACAAACTTTGAGAAATTTATGAGCAGGTTTTTGCAATAATGCAATAACTATGGTGTCTAGATTTAGTAATAACTTACTTTTGATTGAAAAAAGGAAGCATGAAAATGTGAAGTGCTACCAGATATAGATTGCAGTTGAAGATTCTGCTCTGTGTGCGGGTTTATAACAGATACTGTTCGTATACTTGGCATACCCACTGATCTGAAATGACAGATTACATAAACGAGTTAAGGCCTCTCCAGAAACCAAACAAGCCTTAATTACACTATATTGGGTGTAAATAGGAGATTGCAAGCTATCATCATGATGACTAGTTTCTTCTCTCACACCTGTGAGACAAACATACCAAAGTAGGATTTCATCTTTTAGACTGCAGACTCTAAAATCTCCAAATTTCAGTTAAAAAAACAGCAACCATAAATTTAAATGCTGTGCTCATAGAAGATACAACGGGGTGCCTAAGGGCTCTTGACCCAGATATCTCACCAAGCTTTCATAAAAGTACCAATACATATATATGTATGTATGTGTATAATTTAATTCACCACTAAAACCAAAAATCAGTTGTCTTCAGTACTAAGATTCTGCTTAGGCACAACCCCATTGTTTTGTATGATTCTGACTCATCATGCCAAACAAGTCTTTCAGACAGTTTTGTGAACAACTTCATTGATACATTGTAGAAGCCTTAAGTAACTTTAGAAAGTAAAATATTAAAGCACAAATTTCATCATGGCATAGTTTTCTTCAATACTGGTTGTCAACTCTACAATAATTATTGGTACACTCAACAGAAAAGAGCAATATACAGATAACACTCTTGACTCAGGAAAAAAAAAAAAAGAGGTGTAATTCCTTTAACATAGTTCTTGCCACATGTTTGTTAGCCCGTTACTTGGTGAAGTTACAATTGAAAAAAAAAATATATATCTTAGATATTGCTGATGCAACTAAATTAAATTCATTAAATATTCAAAGAGAACCAACTTTTCTTCAATACAAATAATAATAAACACATTCAGACCAGATCATACTATTTAAATGCCCAAAGACCAGGAGCAAATGACATAGATAAGACATTGACATTCATAGAATTGATTTTTCATACACTTTCAGACCAAGAAAATTTGAGATTGCACTAAGATTCAAAGTTCAAAGTTTCAGTAACGAGATGGGCATTCTCGCTGCATATTATTTACGTACAGTGGAATTTAAATAGGTGTGAGCTGTCAAATCTATCACATGCCAAGTGTGTGACATATAGTTATACAGTTTCATTTTCACAACGTTTATTCAAAAAATACTATTGGAAATTTAAAATAATTGTTAACAGAAGAACTTACTGTTCATAAAAATCTAAGTATGATGGCTCGAAGCGAATATGCCTAATATTGGGCTGTTCTCTGAAATAAAGAATCAAGCAACACAACAGATTAATATATGAAATATTCAGTCATAACAATAAGTGAACATATTTACCATTTTATTGCCAACGGAGGGATTCCTACAGCTCAAATTAACACTGAGAAGTTGTGGGAATACATATCTTAAAGTTAATGGTTCTACCAGCTTTTAGACAATTACAGAGATTTTTCACAAACTTCCGTGCATTGTTGGCGAACTTGCGATATATCAAGATTTGACCTCAAAGTACTACAAGGGTTTCTGCCCTATTTATGTTCATGCTGTTCGATTTAAAGTCATCCCGAATCGCCTAGATATATTCCTGAGTATTTTACATCGGTAGAAATAATCGAGCAAATTCACAGTGAGAAATAACTCTAAGAACAACGGTACAAGATAGCGGAACAGTATGACAGATACAATACCAAATACTGAACCATCACCCAGTTCATACGGAAACAAAGGCGTTTTAAAACTCATTTTTTGGGGAGATCATGCTCGAATAATGTCTAAATAACCCCGATGCAAACTCTAAAAAAATGGATCACTGTTTAAACAAATTATCGAGAATGAGTACAGAATTATACCCCAGTGTATGAACGGTAATGGCAGTGATAATATACTGTCACGTCGATTAAATAACCTGCCAAACCAACAACACGAATCAAGAGCCTTACTTGCACAAGCACATTATAGCGATGGAATGAACGAACGCAGTCCTAATAAACCCAGTAAACATCTTCGCTGCTTAGTTAAACACCAAAACAATAGGCAAACTGATCCTAAAATAACTGGAGGAGGCCTCGTGTTACGTGGGCGACTGAGATACTTTTAACAGTACCTGGGGGTGTTGGTTCTACGATCTTTCCACCCTTATCGCGACAAAAAAAATCGAGATGAACACGTGTTCTAAACTGCAGATCATGTCTTAGTGAATATTCCTACCTTCTGTGGTGGTGTGAGCCATCACCCTGCGAAGAGCACAAAAAAAAAATTACTGGTTCTACACCAAGTGCAAACCACGACTGAAATTTGACAGACCTCAAACATGAGTGCACCATCATCACCATAATCAAGTTCAAGCTAAGTTCATCCTCAGTAAAGCAGTGAAAACTCGATGCAAACGGTTCGCTGTAAATTATCTCGGTTTCTGTTTTAGTGAGCAACTTTTTGGTGGGACTTACGTTAGAATGATAAGACCATCTTTCGGAGTTTCTAGTAGTTCTTAGCATTAAACATCGTCAGCTCATCACACCTTTCACTTTTTGACAGCGAACGCTTACCTGTACGTGGCTCCCAGAGAACCGCATATCGCCCATATCTCCTTGGTATATACCTAAAAATATTCCAGGTAGACGTATTTGACTTACAAACCACGAACTCCAATCATAATTTGGCCATAAACTTGTAAAACTCTACCGTTGTCACGATAGAGCGACGAGAACAAACGAATCCTACCAAACGTCAACACAGCCTCTATTCCTTTACTTTACGCCACTTACCAGGTCTAGACATTGGATTGCACTGCATCATACATATCCTATGTGTAACGAGAAAGACTAGGCATATGTAAGCAAATAAAATGACTCCGAGTGCGGCCGCCATGGCTGCGGTTCGAAGTCCTAACTTTACCGTGGAATTCTCATACACAAACCAAACTTGCGCAAATTGGCCTCATGGGATCTGAGTACAGGTGCTTGTTGAGTCACGTGACAAGTGAGAAATACATTAGCATAAAAAATTAATGACATTTCACAAGTACGTGGAAAGTTCTCATTGAAGATTTTGGATCCCCTATGGTTTTATCACTTCTTAGCTTAGTTCTCCATGTCAGAGAGAAGTAATACGCAAGGAATACTAAGCGTTAAGTAACCCGTACGCAGGATGTGCTGTCGATGAAAGGAATTAGGAAACACGCAATTCACAGCCATCACGGAAGCTTTGCACGTAATGTTTACAAAGTCAAAAGAGCTGGGGCCCTGACAAGTTTGTTTTTTCTATCAAAGAGATGCTTATTCTAGCTTTGGTTCTCCAGCTGTCATTGGTTGCAAAGTAAATTAAAAGATCTTGAAGGCAAATAAAATAAATATAAACAAAGTTAATGACATGCCAGCTGCCTTCCTGTGTCGATGAAACAAGATGATCTGTTGAAAATAACAAAAGACAATAATTTATCTTTCATAAGTCACGAGCAAAAATAAAAGACATGTCACTGTCACATGGTGACGTTTCCACGACAGTCCATTAAGACAAGAGTTTTTGAAAATAAATATGTTGCGAAACGGAAATGAATGGTGAACAATAAAAGCATTGATGTCATCGCATTGTTCGTGACGAAAGTTAACCTTATAATTTCTAATAAACTTTCAAAAATTGATTGAAATTTTAAATTTTCAAGTGGTTCGATTAAATGATGGTTTATATAAGAAAAAAGAAAGGACTGAGACTATTGAATTTCCAAAGTAAAAGAAATTTCATGAACTGATATATTTGGTATGATGTTTAAATCTGGTATTCAGCGAACATTAACGAAACAGACATTTCGAGGAGCCCTAATAGAAGTTTATTTGAGTAAATATTCCAATTTGTCAACAGAATTTAGTACAAATAACACAACTAATAAATATTTAAATAACCTAAAACTGATCTTTTTTAAATTATAACATTTCATTTTCATCGCTCGAAATGGGTTCACGAGAAGTTAGAGTGAAACCCATTCTTAGTTTCAGTGAACCAATAAAACAAAGAGTTTATTTTGTTGAATGGACAGAACCACTTCACTTTTTTTTTATCCGATCACTCCGAACCACTTCGTCCTTCTCTGCATGTTTTTAGGAGTGCGACCATATATCAAAACGATTCAGATGATCAGTTGAAAATAAAAAATTTAGTTTAGCGGTTTGGTGATCTGTAAGTGCTTTTCCCGTTGAAAAAATGTTGTTATTTTCATTATCTGTTAAGAAAGAATCATTGATCCAAGTCAATGGAAACATACACCAATGCAACAGGAAGTAAAACTATAGAGGAAATGACAGTGGCTGGAGAATTAGAGAAAAGAACGATCCGCTATCGATGGCTGAGCACGTTTACAAGAAACCACCGAGTACAAAAAAGAGGTCAAGCTATAACGTATCTGATAAAAGCCCATATTTTTTCTCACTTCTTTTCGGTCTCTCCCTTTCTTTGCTTCTTTCTTTTTCCTTTTCTTCTTAGTCTCTGAATTTTGCCTGCATGCTCAGGATTTAACCACATCCTGAATTTTCACTTTCACCTTTAGAGGCGCTGCCAAATGTGGCCCTTAATGGATAGACCTCAGTCAGGGAGAAGGCATCACGATTTTGGGATTTCCGTTCTCCTTCTTTATTAAAAAGCTCAGATAAGTTTCATTTTCCATTCATGGAAAGCAATGCAGTTTACCCTATCTGACCTTCTGAATTAACCTCTTTCTCGGCACATAAGGAAGAAGGGAATGATTTCGACTCTTAATAATATACGTGCGATCCGCTTGACGACGACGAGCCTATGCCCCATTCACACCAAAGCTTAAACATGTTTAAAAGTTGTTTTGTTAAACACAGTTTAATTTTTTTTTCTTCATAGAAACTATTTAGCCGAATATTTTTGACTTGAATGTAGCACATTGGAAATGCAAGTTAGCAAGTACTTGAATCCAATGGAAAATCAAGTTTTTCAGTTCTCTGTTTATAATTTTCATTCAATGAAAACCAGTTTAACAAAACATGTTTTGCTGGTGTGAATGGGGTACTAGTCTATATCATAGCTGTTTCAAGCGATCTGCTTTGATGATTTAAATCAATCAATTAATCATTGTTTATTTGCTCCGTTCACGATTTGATGTACTCATGTGGGCTTTAGTAATATTTGCATTGGGAAAATTGCTAGAGCGCTGATTATCATTCATTTACAAAGGATATAAAGATTTGAATAAAGAAAAACAACGAGCACGGAATGTGAAATAAGATCAAACATGGCGTCTCTTTACTAAAACGCCGCGAGGATGGTTTATTTTTATCCCACTTCAAGCGATCAACCATTCTACGTTTCAATTAACGCCTTTTTAAACAAATTATTATTGTCTTAGCTAGCTAGTTAGTTTGCCATTTAAACAGGTTGGCATAAAAAGGATCCGATCAGCAGTTTTGTGACCTTTATGTATCTGGGTCTCACTTTCTTCTGTCGACGGCCTCCGACCAAATGTAGTTTCGTAAAAAGACGCTTCAAACGGCCCATGAAGGCTAAAAAATATCACAAATGCGTCGATTAACTTTACATTTAACTTTATTAAGATATTCAGACCGAGGTGTAATTTAGATATGCAATTTTCAGAGCTTTATTCATAACCCTCATAGATTTTGTTCGTCTCATGTCAACAATTACTAAAAAAAACGTACCTTTTGCGTTTCAAATAATGCCTTTTAAACAACTGAGTGAGGTCTGTAGTTAGCCAAAGAATCATGCATTTGTTGTGTACTTATACGAATTGGAATAAATGTATTTCGTAATCTAGTCGTTTTGTGAAAGTTAATGGCGCTAGCTGGAGCACTTGGCTGTGTCACAAAAATTGTCATATTTTTATCTGGGCGTCAGTCATCAGCGATGAACATACGCACTTATTCGGTGTTACGACGAAATTTTATTTCCATTGTGTCGATGGTGATTTATTTTTCTCCAACCAACAGCACATGCACTATGCAAGGAAAATTGGATCAAATGGCAGAGTAAATTTAGGTACAATTCTACCACACCGTAACGTAATTGGGTGTGAATGTCTAAGATATTTAATCTCTTCATTTGTTTCTCTCGAGTCTCGATCGGTGTTCTTTAATTTTGAATAACCATATGACAGGGAACTGGTGGACAAAACACTGAAAATGTTGAAAATAAGGGAGCAAGGTTAAAACTGCTTCCCGTAATACTGGTTTTGCAAACACATTTTTCTGTATTGGTTCCAGCTTTTTCCTTTTTTAATTCAGTTTCAGTGGTCTGTTATTGATCATAGGGCAAGCTCGTGTTTATGTCTTGTGGTTTCAGAAGGAAGGGAAGTTGTCATTTGCTGGAGCACGTGATCATGGCCGGATTATAGCACGTGAGTAACAAGTGTGGAACAGACTCAGACAGTGGGGCATTAGAGCCTCTTGATCAAATACCGAGAAAAAGGCCATAATTTGCATCAAAACCGAAAAAAAGTCTTGAAAATGATGATCTAGAGCAGCATAAAATGATGAAATCTAAGAGTTGGACGAGCCAGAATTAATGATAATAATAATAATTAACGAGCGAAACAAACTGGCCTAGCTGTCGCCAGGGCGGCCGGTTTACAGTGAGGCTCTCAATGTGAGTTGTAAATTTGTCATTTGTTATTTTGCGTTCATGACAAGCCCCTCCTTTCAAGAGACAACGCCAACAGTTTTATGTCCTCATACTCATTTCAATTAAATTCTCAAAATGCTGATACAAAATTCCCTTTCAAGACACTAAACTCTACCCCTACTCTCTGCTTCATAAGGAGTAGCAAAGCGTGACAGCTTGCTTGTCAGTCAGTAGAATCAAAGGAAGATGACGAGTGTATGCTTTTTTTACATTAGGATAGGCATTTCCAGAAAAACGAATGCCCCCTCTAGGGTTCAGCTTATTGGTTGCACGAACCACCGAGCCAGCTCTTGACCGCGTTTGTAATGTCGAACTCACAAAGCCTGCACTCCTGTAGAAACACAATGGAACGATTGTTAACATTGCTGATTGTATATACACAAAAATTAAGACATTCAGTTTCTGACGCAAGAAAGATGTTACGATATTTGGTACAAGTATTTAAATCTTGTTTCCAGCTTACTTCGGTAGAAATACCACTGGAAGCCCTGATAACAGTTTGATTGATCTGCGCCGGGATATATTTCTTTCAAGAGAATATCTATAGTTGATATCTCCTCGTTTCTTTGCATTTATTGCACTCGATACGAGTTCATGATCGGTCAAAATGGAAAACAATTAAGTTACGATCGCCCGGGTCCTTACTCGCTCGTGATAGTCAGTACAGTGTCTCTATAAAATGTAACCGACCGTCTCGAGATTTTTTTAGACGACTTGAACAATTAGGAAAATTTTCTGAGATGAGGGGAGCCATTTTGAAGGGTTTAGAAAGCTTCTCTTGGCCATTTGATGAGCCTTTAAACTAAAACATCAGGTCAGGAAAGTTGTAAATTTTATTTCAAAAAGATGCTGTTCCTGATGTAGGGATTCTTAGCCTGAAGTTTATGCGTCATTTTCAAAGTAGAAGTCTCTGTTACATGCAAAAAGAAAAATAAACTTCAGAGAGTGTCTGAAATTGTTGGCTTCTCTTGTTGCATCTGATTTTAAAGTGAAAGCTGGCACTGAATAATTTGAGTGTACGAGGTAATAGTATTCTATCTTGGAGACCGGAATCGATGCTGGAAACAACGCTTACACAGAATTTTGAGTAGGCTATCTGGACGCACGATGGGCAAACCGGAATAAAACATCTAGAGGAGAGGAAAGGAAAATGATACAACTGTAAAAAAAAGAGGAGGATCACAATCCTGTGATCGACCACTTTTGACAATCACCGGATGGCCTCGGACAGGGCTCGAACCCGGTTCCTTTAGAGCCGAAGTCCAGCTCACTATCGTTGAGCCATAATCGCACCCGGAATTAATAAGGGGAGCAATAGGATATTAATAGAAAGAGCGTACCTTTGGTCATGCGCAATCATACAGAACTCCAGTGAAGTTCCTTCAGTCTTCCGCCGGATATAAAACGGCTTAGAGATGGC